ATTCGGTGAATCCCCCTGCCCTAGGGCAATTTGACGGGCAGGATTACAAGCCCCTCCTCGCGCGATGTGATCATTCCACACAAACCTGCGTACCAAGATTGAACCGTCCCCCCGCGAGGCTCCGGGACACTTGAGTTCGCCCAAACTGAGAAAGACGCACATCATTTTCGGTCACTCCCCTTGCCCCTGTACCTCTATTTGTAGACCGCAATCTTCAAGTCCATGCTCAATGCCTTCCTTAAATAGACGAAACTAAAGGTTGCTTCCCTTCCGAGTAGGGGTTGGCCACCGTCGGGACAAAGAAGGCCCACCCTTTCTTGAGGGCCCCCCGCCCTTTTTAGGGGGTGGTTGGATAGGTTTCCACGTGGTGCCCCATAATGACCCCGAGGAGCCCGGCAGAGGGGGGGGGGGGGGGGGGGTAGGCGCAGCAGCAACTCACGGCCATGGACAGCAGACCGGGCTCCTCGTGCTTCAGGTTGAAGTTCTCGTCGGCGAACGCCTTGGTGCCGTAGATGCAGGTCGACCCGGTGCCATCGCCGTTGAGGAAGTCACCGCCCTGGCACATGAATTTGGGGATCTAGGCAAGCTGTTAGTTATCGATTGACTTCGACGTTGTGCTCCGCTCTCTTGGTGGGTACTAGGTAGCTTACAATGCGATGGAACTTGGAGCCCTTGTAGCCCTGGGGACGGCCGACGTTGCTCTTGCTCTCGCCCGTGCAGAACTGGCGGAAGTTCTCAGCCGTCTTGGGCACGACATCCTTGAAAAGCTCAAAGGTAATACGGCCAAGAGGCTCGCCTATGGTGGGATTGTGAGTACGGTGCGTTCTCAGTGAATGGACGGAAGGAGGGGTAGTTTCATACCACCGATCGTAATGTCGAAGAAAACGCTGTATGAGAAGTGGTGTCAGCATAGGCGCCCAAAGCTCAGCAACATTATGATATCGTAAGTCGTATAATATGTGATGTTGCCGTCCCGGCGCATTCGACCCTTGATTTGCGATCGGTGGGGATTGAGGATGGGGCCGGTCTCGAACCACTGCATGAATGAAGCTGATGATCGAGCACAGCTAATTGCAGGTAGAAACTTACAGCGGGTTACCCGACTCGGGAAGCTCAGTAGGCGGCATGTTTACGGATTCTTGAAATTTGACGATATCGCTGGAGAAGAACCCGGTGATTTTTTTGTTGTTTTGTGGACTTTGGTTCTCACGATTGGAGGTGAAGTGGGGTGTTGAACTTAATCCCCAGATGACGTATGGGGTAGCTACAACAACAAAGGGCAATGCGTTTGTTTGCAGGTGGCGGAGCCTGATTGTCAGGTGGCAAACATTCAGACGAGAGTTTCATGTCCGGAAAAAGAGTTCCAGGCCGGAATTGTCTTGGGGGGCGTTATTGTGGCGGTATGGACAGCACACGGCAGGCAAGGATGCTGGTGAAGAAGGGATGAACCGGTTGTTTACCGCTAGCCACTCAAATAGGATACTTTAGGGAAGGTGCTTTAGCAACGAAAGGAGAAGCAGGTTACTGTCAAGTCACTTCGAGTTGGTCGCCAGTCCAATGTGAAGTCATTGTAAGTACCGGTCATCGGTTCTCCCCAGGACGACAGCGCTCTTTTGTATCGAGAGGTGACTTAACGTGGCGCTCTACGCTATTTCTAATTACACGCTATTTCTTCACCCCAATTCGCATACAAAACCCCCAATATGCTCGCCGGACGCCAGAGGGCTTGTCTCTTCTACCGCTATATATTTGTTCCACCGCCGTATCCTCAACCTTCGGCCTCAATCTCGTAGCTGTTTGACTTGTGTTTTGGCTGGAACTTGAACCCGGGTGGAGCTGGGCCAAGGAACATCTCACTGCGTCCTCGTCAGTTCACTATTCAACACACTCCTTCCCACATGGGAGAAACGCTTACCTGATCTTGATCCAGTCCTTGTAGTTCTTGCTCGCAAACAGCGTCTCGAGATCGTCGCGCCCGCGGTAAGCAGGAGGCCGCTCGTTGAGGTTCGGCGGCAGCCGTTCCAGCAGACCGATGGGCACGTAGCGGCAGAAGAAGCTGAGAAACTCGAGGAGGAACCGGCGCGTGTAGTTGAGGCCGAGCTCGTCCGAGCCCCAGGCTTCCATACCATACCGGACAAACTTCTCGATGTACGTCAACCGCTCCGAGCTGGACTTGTCTAGGTACTGGCCCTTTTCGATCTCCTCAAAGACCCAAGGCTTGACGAGGGCGCCGCGCCCAATCATGACACTGTCAACCTTGGCGTTATCGACGTGGTCAAAGTATTCGACGTGCGAGTAACAGTCGCCGTTGCCTAGGAAGTACATCTTCCCGCCGTTAGGTAACGTGTTCTCGTCCGCCTCTCGGATCGTGTCGGCGAGGTCATTACTCTTCTCGTTGAATTGCTTGATCAGCGCCGCGCACTCGGCGATGTAACCCCAGTCGGCGGCCTTGGTATACCGCTGCAGCCTCGTCCGGCCATGCAGGGTGACGGCTGCGCACCCGGGCGCGCCGATCATGTCGCGCAGGTCCTCGCTGCCGAGAGCTAGACGCTCAACGAGCTTCTGGGCTGTGAGTTTGCCATCCCTGGAGCCCATTCGGATTTTTGCTGTGATTGGCACCTCTCCCGATACTGCATTCATACCCCTGATCATCCTCTCCAGCTTTGAATGTGAATCCAGAAGGGCGGATCCCGACCCAGACTTGAACACGGCGTCCACCGGACAACCGCAATTCAGATCGACTAGACGAAGATGCGGCAGAAGCTGAGATAGGGCCTCAGTGGCCTTCACAGCAACCCATGGGGCATTGGCTGCGATCTGGGCGCCGAATTTGACGTCTTTGGAGTTGTCGTAGCCTTGAACGATAGGGCCGCCCGGGTTGAAACGGGGCGGCACGATTTCGCTTTCGTGAGCTCTCATTAGCGTCCAGTCTGCCTTTAGCCCCTGTAACAAGGGAAGCCCCAGGGCCATTTCAGAATATGTCACTTGAGCCCCGAGTTCGACGCAGAGACGGCGGAAAGGGAGATTCCCCTGTGTGGTTAGGGGGGCAAGGACAGGCGTCTCGCGTCCAAAGTAAAGCCTCCGCTTCTCTGATGGCTTGAACGGAGGCTCGACGTACTGGGCCCTGTAATCATTTGGATTGGTCTCGTCGTCCTTGTGCTTCTGGTAATGTTTGGCGAGATGTTTGGTGTCCTTAGCCAACCAGGCCAGGTACTGCTCCGACTTCTCTAGAGGAATCCTCTTTTTGGAGAGGTCATATTTGATGCCGACCGGCACCATATTGACCACGCCGGGCTTGATCTCGCCGGCTGCCTCCTCCCCGCCTTCCGGTGCCTTGCTAGCGTCGCCTACTAGAACTAGTTCCGACCGACCGTCCTCATGCTTGATCTCGTCCATGTGGCTGTGGACGAACAGACAGCGCCAACCGGACGGGCACTTGCCGTACTTCTCCCAAACCGGGCACTTCCCCCCAAACGTGGTAATATCAGGACGGCGGCCTTCTTTTAGGTACTTGCGGAGGTCGTGGAGGGCATTGCAGCGATCGCCGTGCTTACAAGGACGCGGTGAGAACTCGGGGGTCCAGGCGATTGTGTTGCATAAGCGCTGAGCGTCGGAGAAGGTGCCAAACTCCCTTTCCTTATTCTGCCCCCTTTGACTTTTCCGTTTCCCGTCCTTCTGGGGGGCTTGTTGCGTTTCTTGTGGTGTCGGAGCTGTCCGCCCCTCGGCGGCATCATCGTCATTGTCATCGGCTTCGGCTTCGCTTTGGGTAGGCTTCGCTTTTTGACCGGGTGGGAATAGGAGATACCTGATTAGTTGGTTAGCGGTTGAGATGTCTCAGGATGGACAAAGATTAATTTACTCTGCCTTGATCGGGGCGACGCCCTTGGCCCTGGAGTCTGCTGATGATGGGCTGTCAAGTTTTATTTTCTTAGCAGCAGGTTCACTATTAGAGCCATTGTGACCATCAATTGGGACGCCATTGTCTTCTTCCTGGGGCCGTTTTGTTCTATCTTGCGGCTCCATGTTTGTTGGGTGTGGTTGCAAAAGCCCGGGGTGGTATATTTGTGCTGGATGAATGTTGATAGAGCTATGCTGTGTTTCAATTCGACGATATTTTACAGAATTGAATCCGAAGTTATCGGAGCGCCAATTGGCCCCACAGCGGGGTCGCCTACAGCGATCGGATGGCCCGCTAACCTTAGGTACCTAGGTAGGTAAATAGGTAGTGGGGTTTGCTCCTTCGAGTCAGGGCCTAAGAGGTGGGAAGTGCGATGCCTTCCATGCGCTGCGATGAGATTGATTTGAAGAGATCCCCAACTGCACTACACTAGTTAAACCAGCCCGCCACTGTTTAATAATAATACCTGGAAATAGTGAATAACACAGGGATCCCATTCCAGTTTTGACGCTGAAGCGGCTAACGAACACGCCGGCGGCATGTTGCTGGGATTATTGAACTGTTTTTGGGACTGTGATCAACTGCTACTGCCGATCTTGGCCGAATTCTGCTGGCGCTGTCTGAGTTCTCGATGCGGGGTTTAGCTCCCTACATGACAGGTACAGGAGATGACGGGAGGGAGGTATGGTGGAGGGAGCTTGAATGTCACCAAAGAAGATGTCATCTTGCAGCGTGGGCGCTTTCTGAATCCCCAGCATTCTGCACGCCCGGGGACTGCACGACTGTGTGCATACCGATCAGCCAAGTGGACAGGCGGAGGTTGGAAGATGGCAGATGACATCTTCCATGGAAGAAGTTGCAAGCGGTGTGGGGGTTACACTCGGTGTGTGACGGGGCAGCCACGGCACGCGGGCAGAGCAGGGTTGCTGGGCTGAGAAGCAACTGTGACAGGGGGTGAGCTTCCAAAGCAACAGCGCCATTCAGGGCTCACCGGCTGTTACATCCAGAACCCACCCGAGGGTTGCTTCCAATTCACCTTCAACTCCCGTCCAAGGCTGACTGGCCTTCATACTCCAGTTCGGGGGATCATCCACATTCAGTACAGATACTCGATTGCACGAATTGCGCCTAACTATACCCTACACTATCTCAACGCCCTGCTTTCCGATCGGCCCTAAAGCAATCGACATCCACCTACTCGGTCCCGCTCGCCCCTAGCCACTCCCGGACCTCGCCACGCCGCCGTTTGAGCCCTCTGAACAGTCTCTGCGAGAGGTGCACGTTTAGGAGGACATGATCATTCGTCCCCACGATGGCTGATCAGGCCAGAGCAGACGGGCACGAGGGGCTGCCGCAGCCACCGCAGAACATCAAGATCGTACGCTCGCAAAGAATAGCCCCGGTATCGCCCACAGACTCGCGCCCGCCACCCTCGGAGCTATACGATGCCGAAGCCCAAGACAAGGCGCCCCCGATACCACGATCGCACACACCCGGTCATCTCTCATCCAAGAGTCAGGACCGCCGCAACAGGCCCGCCGACCTCACCCTGCGCCAGCGCTCGCAATCGTCCGCGGCAGCAATCACACCCGTCTCGTCGGCCGGGATAACGCCGTCGCTCTCCCTCTCGGCGGCCTCCTTCTCCGCAGCCTCCACAAGGCAGCCAACACTCACTATAAATCGGCCACCAGCCATTGCCGAAAACGAAGATGCAGGCAGCAGCAAGGAGGCCCCGCGTCCGACTCACTCAGCGCTGCGCTCCACGTCGGCTCATCGCAGGCCGGGCCAGGGGCCTGCGGGGAGTCAGCAGCGGGGAACGGCGCAGCGCCAGGGGCTGTAAGCCGGGTAGGCACGGGGCGGGGCGCGCCGGCGAAGGGGGCGGAAACATACACCGCCTTCCCTGTGCTGGCGGACCCCAAAACGGCGGTGGATGTGCCGGCGGCGCCGGCGTCGGGCATGTACTGGAGCCGGTGCGCGACGTCCGGGTCGCCGCACACGGCGCTGCGAGCACACACAGCGACGCCCGTGGGGTCCAACGTGTTTGTGTTTGGCGGCTGCGACGCGCGCGCCTGCTTCAACGAGCTCTACGTGCTCGATGCCGACGCCTTCTACTGGTCCGCCCCGCACGTCGTTGGTGACGTCCCCGTGCCCCTGCGCGCCATGACCGCTACAGCCGTCGGGAAGAAGCTGGTCGTCTTTGGCGGTGGCGATGGGCCGGCTTACTACAATGATGTGTATGTGTTGGATACCGTCAATCTCCGCTGGTCGCGCCCGCGCATCCTCGGCGACAAGGTGCCCTCCAAGCGCCGGGCGCACACAGCATGTCTGTATAAAAATGGCATTTACGTCTTTGGGGGCGGGGACGGCGTGCGGGCGCTCAATGATATCTGGCGGCTGGACGTGAGCGACATGAACAAGATGTCATGGAAGCTCATATCGGGCCCATCCTCGGCCGACGGGCGGTCGCCCATCACCGGAAAGGACCTCCGGCCGAAGGCACGAGGCTACCACACGGCCAACATGGTCGGCAGCAAGCTGATTATCTACGGCGGCTCTGACGGCGGGGAGTGCTTCAACGACGTGTGGGTTTACGATGTCGATATACACACCTGGCGGTCGGTCAACGTGCCCGTCACCCACCGGCGGCTGTCGCACACGGCGACCATTGTCGGGTCGTACCTCTTCGTGATCGGCGGCCATGACGGGAACGAGTACTCCAACGACGTCCTGCTACTAAACCTTGTCACCATGACCTGGGACAGGCGGAAGGTCTACGGGCTGCCCCCCAGCGGCCGCGGCTACCACGGTACCGTGTTGTACGATAGCCGTTTGTTGATGATTGGCGGCTTTGACGGCAGTGAGGTATTTGGTGATGTGTGGTCCCTTGAGCTGGCTGTGCACGCCTACTACTCCCAAATTAGCCACTTTAAGATCGAGGTGTGAATCGGGGTCCATCTATTTTGATCATACTCAAACGCGCGAGCTACGGTTTTGAATAGTTTCTTGGAATATCGGTTGTTGTTGACTTTTAGCAATTTGGATCTTGGGAGAAGGTTTTCGGTGGGGGAGGCAGGCATTGACTGATACAAGCGTGGCATGGCGTCGCGCGGCTTGGGTATGTAAAAGGAGAGGGAAGCGGACCGATATCAAAGTGGCTTTTCCCGTACAGTTGCTATGCCAAAAGCCATCCATGAATCACGACAGTCTTATGATGGGGCGGTTTAAAGAATACTCGACGGTTTATGTCCCTTGTCTTGGTTGTATATCATTTGTTGTTTTAAACCCCTGGCGCACACCGTGCTCATCCCTTAGACAACACAGACCTCTTTTGAACACAACAGCGCTCATCCATATCCAGCCCCCGCCAACCCCGGGCAAGAACAACATAAGGAATAGAAAGACTCCAGCCGCCGGTACAGTACAGTCTGTAGGAAAAAATGCGCCCGCTAACTTAACCCAAACGCCGTCCGATGCACAAGAGGAGGGATTACTCAAGAACGAGCTGCCAGCCGTGGCGACATTTCGTGGAGCCGAGATGTCTCGGCCAAGGTTTCGATTGAATGTGGGCTGCCTTCGCGAGGACCTTGCTTAAGCCTTGCCCGCGGCGTCCCGCTGCTTCTTCTGCTCCCCAAGCCGCTTCTCCTCGGAAGCAACCATTTCTGTGCATCAGGTTAGTCTTATGTCCTGAGCTCGGCAGATGGAGAGAGAGCCGGGGGGAAGGGGGGGATAGAAACAACGTACGCTTCCAGAGATCCTGGCCCTCGTACTCCTCCTTGTGAATCTTCTTCTCAATCTGGTGTGTCGGGTCATCGGGGTCGACGACCATAACAGTCTCCCACCGGCCCTTGCCCGACTTGGCGTCGGCGGTCTCAAACGCAGCCGTGGCAATCAGCACGGCCAGGGTGAGTCCCTGGGCGTACATACGAGCCTGAACCAGCTTCTGGCTGCCCGTCAGGTACTTGCTGCGGCCGACGATCGCCATGGCGATGCCCATGGAGGCGGCCCAGCTGACAAAGACGATGCTGTAGCGGTTCTCGCGGCCCCAGTCCATGAAGCGCTGGGCATCGGTGCGCTGGGCCCGGCGCGCCTCGGCCTCGACCCGGTGCGCCTCCTCCAGGTAGTTGTTCATGGCGTCGTGCGACCGCTGGTAGTTGATGCTGTACCGCTCCGCCACCACCATGGCGCCGAACGTGCCGGCGGACGAGACGAGGAAGGACCGGAAAGGGAGCGTCAGCTGCCGGATCGCCGGGTACCGCCGCGCGCCGAGCACCACGCCCGCTAGCCCGACCGCGAGACCCGCCGTGCCGCCGATGATGCCGCCGCGCACGACTACGCCGTAGTGCTCCTGCTCCACTTCTTTGGGGATGACCTTCATGTTGGATGGTGGGGCACCGCTGGTGCTGGTGCTGCTCTGTTGCGGTGGTGGATTTGGCGGATGATGGGGATTGTGAGCGGTTATGTGATATATCTAGTAGGATGTATTTTGAAGTGCGTCAAATCAGTCCCTTGTGGTGGCTTTTGTTCTTTTTCGCGGCGCCGTGTAGGTGGGCTCGTCGGCTTGGAAAATTATCGTATGACGATTCAGGTCCCGGCCCGTGGCAAGGGATGTGGAAAAAGACTGGGTCCGGTAGGGACCGATGGCGGGTGGGTCTTCTACGGAGTTCGATATTCGGATAACCGCACTCGGGTCTGAGGGAAGATAACTGAAGGTATGCGTCTCGGGTATGAAAGCACGGAATTAATTGGGATTCTACAAGGCGTGCCCGCGAGGCATCGCTGATTCCTTTAAGTGGGATTCAGCCCCGAGGAGATGGTCATGTCAGGCTTGTGCCATGCGAGGCAAATTCCGAGTCTTCCCCGGAGAAGGGTCGCACAGACCAGAACCCTTCTTTTTCGGGATTCGAGATCGAGAGATGAGTGGTGGAAGATGCCGGGGAGCCGCCGAGCATCTGCGAGCGGTGACAAACAAGGGCTGCATTGCTTTGACTCTTGTTCCTACTTTCGCCGGTTATGTCTGTCCAAGCCGGCGCCTTTCGGAAGATGCGAATTCGCGATGACCTGTAACATGCAAAACGAGGCTTAACCTTGCGCGATTCGGACCAAGATTGCGTTTCTGAGTAATCCAAACCCGAATCCAGACTGTTTGGGCGGCTCCGGCCTTTACACCCGCTCCCGGGAGTCCGGCCGATCGGCGAAGCCCGGCCGGTCTGCTTTTCGCATTGGGTAGAAGAAGGCTTGTAGGTCCTCGAAACTTACACAGTACGGATTTTGGCCATTAGATGACTCAAATGATGATTTCCTATCTTCTTTTCCCCCGATTTCACCCAGTCTCCAACCCTCGGGAATCAAGATGCATTTGTGATATGTCTTCTTCCATCTGGGCCGTTCAAGACGCCGCATCCCCAAAGAGTTTAAATGCCGAGCTCATCTTTGCTGTTTTTACATAGTAGGGCCTGTGGAATGGTTGCAGAGGTTGCCGACACAGAACCTAGATTATAAAGGCGTCTTGGGGTCTTCAAGTTGAGAGCAACTGCAATCTTCTCGTCGCGATTCCACGCGAGTGGGTCTGGTCTTCGACAACACTGGGTTCAAGGTCAAACTGTTCTAGAACTTGATCAGGCACCTGATATTTGCCAAGAGAGCAGGGCACAGGTATGCACGGATTCCTCTAAATCGACGGTATCCCTCGCCATAAAATGACGGTATCTAACCTATTACAGCCAGACTGCCCAGACGCCCACAGCAAAAGTTTGCAGCGAAGTCCCCCCAGCTCTCCCACAGATACTAAGAGTCCGCGTTGTAAGATAGATCGATTGACTCACTACCAAGTAGAAAATGTAGACATAGTCGGATCCCTTCAAAGCGCGATAAAGATCTTTAAAAGGTCTATATCTAACGCGGGCCTCAACCGCATCAAGTGGGTCAAGGGCTAGCGCAGTTCCAGGGCTTATTCGGAGGGTTCGACGGGGCGCTGGACTTACAAAATATGGCAGGTTAAGTGTTGAATTAGCGATTGTATGCGCGTGCAGGATTGTTCGCTGCAAACCTTTACTGTAGGAGGTTGGGCGATCTTAACCGTATTGGGTTAGATACCGTCATTGTATGGAGGGGACACAGTCGATTTAGAGGAATCCGTATGCACCAAGCTCGCTGCGGGAACAAGTCTCCGAAACGGTCTGAATGTGACAAGCAATTCAAAAACCAGAGTCGTAGGTTAAATGCCTCATCTTCGAGGTGAGGTAAGGATATGAGTCAGGATCCTGGGACACATTTCGAACAAAAGTAAGCCCTTCGCTTTGTATATTTTTCCCTTTTTTTTTTCCTCTTGTAAGAAACCCTCTCGAGTTAAAACAGAAGATTCTGTATGCTAACAACTAGATTTTGGTGATTTGGGTTGACCTTACGGAAGGACAAATTCGCAGAGGATTGGAATATGTTCGCAGCCTGTGGAAAGGAGAGGAGCCCCACGTCGAGCCTTGTTAGGTGAAACTGAGAGCGCGCGCGCACTCGTTCACCGGGGATGGCAAAGAGCACGGAAATGCTGACGACATGCTGCATCGTCGGCTGCCAACTCGCGTCCGGGATGCCTTGGGATTTCGATGGATGATTACTTCTCTGCAACAGAACATGGAGCGAGAGAGATGGCCTCATTGGGCCCAATGGTCTTGACCATCCCCTGCAGATCACCCCCTTGGCAGGGCAGCAGCCGGAGGAACGGACCAGTCACTGGCCGTCATTTGATTCTCAAAGTCCAATGTTGAGGATTGATGAAACTTGGGTGGTGGAAGCGGGGAGTCCGAAGAGGTGTCGTGTCTTCTTCCCAGTTTCGAGAATCCCCTTGGCCATTCGATTCCTCGAGGAAGAAGCACGCGACTGTGGGGGCTGCTGCGAATTCAGGGTTTAGTGGCACGTGGCAAGGTGAGGGATGGGACCAAGCCGTGACGTGACGTACCTCCGTGTGCATCGTGTATGTTTGTACGAATACATCCAATACATACATCGTTACAGGTTTGCTGCTCCCTTCCTTATCCAGGACACCGAACACTTCCGTTCTTCGGCGGGACGAAGGTATGGTATGGTGTCTTCCTTTCGAATTTACCATGCTGAAAGCCAATAGAGAGAGAGTGTGCAACGTTGGCTAAGCTTGAAAGGGATTTGTTTGCTCGGTGCACTCTGGATGGCCTGTGGCCAACCCTCGAGCCACATTATGCCCAGCGTTTGGTGCCGAGTCAGTCGCGGTGGCGCTGAGTCCGCGCAAGCACGGTTCTGGCCAGACAGGGTATGTATGTACTCTATTCGACGGTAGTTATCACCCCAATGAGCTGTTTCCGCTTGTCCGCTGAGCGGTGGCAGAGAGATTCACCTAATTCAGCTTTAGCGAGCACCCGGCGGTCTCGCTGTTGATTCGAAGCGATGCGAGGGTACGAAGCCGGGAGAGGCGAAACTTTCAAACGCAGGATGCCTCGGTCTTGCCTACCCGTCTTGTGTTTGCGGATTGGTCGTCGAGGATACGGAGCAATATCCATTGCCCATTATGGTTCCACAAGACGGCGACGACCCTGAGCTCACCGGGCTTGGCACCGCTGGCGAAACCTGTGTGGATATGGGCAGGCACAAGCTTGCCAGCCAGCCCCATGGGCTGTTGAATTGCCGGAACATTTTTCTTCTCACACACGGTGATACTGCGTAATCTATCTACCTATCTTGCAATTCTACATAGTGGTCGAGTACTTTGTACCAACCCGAGTTCAACAACCTACGCGTGCATGCACGGTGGAGGAAAAACGACCTATAGGTGGTTAGAGCAAGCCAAGGTTTCCGGTGCTCTGGGACAGTGCGGACAATGCTGCGACCCTGCGTCGGTCCGCCTGTGACGAAATCAGAACCCCCGTTTGCCATCCATGTCGCCACCCGAGGGACAATTAGACGTGGCGATAGTATGGCAGCCAAACACGGCATTCACACTCTCGGATTTTAGTTTCTCTTGACTGTTGCTACTGGATTGAAACGGGCAACAAGCGGGAAATTGGAGCAAGCTGGAGGTAGGAGCGAGTGGAACTGGAAATTCCAGTACGACTTTTACAGGTACCTTAGTTCTACTAGCGCAGTGTTTCAGCGGTGATCTGTCACCTGAGATCTGGTCAGACTTGCCAAGTGGTGATGACACTATGACGGTACAGATGTACCTATGTACGCACACCACATACAACCGAAATGTTACCTAGATAGGGAGCCAACGAATGTGAATGTCGTAATAGATTTGCCTGCCCCTCTTCCTGGACGCCCCTATCCCCATAGTTACCGCGTTTTGTCCCCTGCGGTCGTTCCTTGGAATCACTTTATTCGAGGGACAAGAAAGCAAGCCACCCACTTCAGCCAGGCGTGAACAACCCCCACTCACCCGAGTCCCGTCTTCCGTCGCCCGACAGTCGGCCTCATAGCATCAAACCTCCCTCCTACCATAACGCAAGCACCTCGACGCCGCCAAAGCATGGGCATCGCCATCTTTATTTCGCGCTGAACCCTTAAACTGTTTTGCTCGGCTCCTTCCTCGAATGTTCCTGCTCTGTGCTTGGATGAATTAGTCATTTCCAAGACTCGAGCCCCACCTTCACTTACACCGCAACCCCTGGTCGGACCTTCCATTCCAGCGGATCCAGCACTCGCACTCACACCGCAGCACCCCGCGGACCCTGTCCTAGGTTGCCCATCTGCACCGGCACGGGCATCTACCTCAGGCAGGTAACGTTCCGGTTTGTCTGCACCAGGCTTCAAACCTCGAGTCGTGGTGACAACAACAGATTCCATTATTGTATAGCTTTTGTCTAAGCCATCTAACAATCCTCGTCAATCTTCATCAACATTATCCTCTTTCTTCATGCTTAGGAACTCTTTCCTTTCCGTATCCCACCGTTTCCGCTAGGTGTCAGGCACTGGACCACCCGGCCCCCTGGAGCGGCGAATCCGTCCCCAAATCGGTCTTAATACCGGCGGCTTGTGGCTGCCCTAGGGCCCCATCAGTCTGCCGCAAGGAGGACCCCCATCGCATCCGAGGCTAGGCAGCGTTGAGTTATCCACATTGGCCCGCCATGCCGTCCTGGAGCCAGTGGTTCAATTCCAAAGCGAGCCCCGAGTCTGCGGAGCCCGCAGAGACCCATCGTAATAAGAAGTCGGGCTGTAACCACACATCGCCTAGGAATAACGATTCGCCTTCCCCTCTCACCCACTCGTCGCGTTCGCAGTCGCCAACACCACCGCCGGCAACACCACGCTGGACAGTCTTCGGCCACCCCAACTTTCCAGAGCCAGCCCACTCGCAACAACTGACCGCAATTACAAGCCCAACCCCAAAACACCCAGCGAGCGCTACGTCTCCCGCCATTGCCGGCGCCGACGACAACTTCGATCATTTGCGTGCCGCCGGTCGCACCGCCGACAGCGCCACCGAAGCTTATCCTAGAATCGCACTAGGTATCGATATCGACCTTGACGAAATCGACGTCGACAACATCGAAGCCGTCGAGATGACGACCGGCCTTGAATTTGGCTCGGCCTCTGGCCGCAGTCGCCAAGACTCGTTCGTCAGCGCTGGCGCGAAGCCCATCTCCATGGCCAACCCGAACCGCGATCATGCGAACCGCACTCGGCGCGAAAGCCTGGCCGGAAGCCTTATGGGGGGGATGAGCTGGGGAGGAATCTCGGTCGGCAGTTTCATCCGGGAGGAGTAAGTTTATCCTCTAGCGTCTTTGCATCTTTGTCCAAAACCCCACCAGCCGGCGCTGTCTCAGATCTATCTGAGCCTTGACCTCTCCCGTGCCCGGCCGGGGCTGGCTCCGTGGAGTTTGTGCCGCACGGCCGGTGACTATGCACAACCTCCCCGTGTTCCCGAGCATCTCGAAACCCGGCGCTGACAAGTCCTATCGCAGTATGATGATGACGGGAACCTCGCCGTACATTAATAACCAGTCTACGTCGTTCCACTCGTCATCGTACATCCCAAGACTGGAGGCTAGCTTCATGCGCGACTTCACATGTTGTGATCAGAGGTGGCCAACGCTTCACGACCTCCTCCAGCATTACGAAGAACACCACCACGCAACAACGACCCCAGCCGCCTCGAGAGACGCCTTCGGCGCGAACCAACCAACCCCCCGCGGCCCCGCCAGCCGCGCTGGATCGGTCACGCCCTCCGTGGGCAGGGCACAGCAGGCTTCTCAATCGCTGCATGGGTTCCCGCAGCAGCGCCAAGTTGGCCCAGGCATGAACGTCGGCGGAATCGGGCAGATGATGCGACAACAGCAGCACCAAGCAACGCCATCCTCCCAGAAGGTCAACATGTCGCACATGAACGATGAAATGGATGCGGTCGGCGACATGGAAATGGACGAGACTGTCGGGCCTATGGACATGGACGACAATACACGCACCATCCAGGCAACCCGTGAACTCTTCGGCCAACAGCAACGACCACAGCTACATCTGAACAGCTCCGGTCTTCCCCACCAAGCGCTCCGTACCTCCCAGCCTCCGACGCCGGCTGCCGTTAGCTTCGGGTTCCAGAACAACCCGACTGTCTCCTCGGTCAACACACCCACCTTGGCGACGCAGCAAGGGATCCCGCAGCGAGGCCAGCAGTTCGGGCAGGATGCCAACGGCGACGAGGACGACGAGCTTGTTGGCATGCCGATGAAGATGAATCTTGGCAATATGAACCTAGGCGGCTCACAGATTGGGGGGCTAGCATTTGGTGCCTTGGGCACCATCGATGACCCGGCCAAGCGCTTGTATAGCCCCGGGGGTACCACCCAAATGACCAGCCAGCAACGTGCTATCGATCAGCAGCTGCAACTGCAACAACAATTACAGCAGCACCTCCAAGCTATGAATCTCGATTTGAGCCAGTTTCCGGCCGGCACCGACCCGGCGCTTGTTTTGCAGCAGATGACGACCCTGATGATGCCGCCCGCCGAGGAGCATAAGCCCTTCAGGTGCCCTGTTATCGGCTGCGAGAAGGCGTACAAGAACCAGAATGGCTTGAAGTAAGTCGCTCACAATCTGCGCAATTGAGTCTTTCACCCACCCCCCTCGAGAATGCAATGCTAACCGTTATTGTAGGTACCACAAGACTCACGGGCACTCAACTCAGCAGCTGCACGAAAACGGTGATGGCACCTTCTCCATCGTCAACCCGGAGACAAGCACTCCTTATCCCGGGACGTTGGGGATGGAGAAGGAGAAGCCTTTCAAGTGCGAAGTCTGCGGAAAACGGTACAAGAACCTCAACGGACTCAAATACGTAAGTTTTGTACAAGAGAATGAAGATAAGGGATATCTCGCTGACGCGCATCTAGCACAAGCAACATTCGCCGATGTGTGACCCCGACATTCGGGCCCATCATCAGACGATCCTGTCATCCATGATGCAGAACCCCGCCACTTTCCTTGCGCTTCAGCAAGGCCTGCCCAACATCAACGAAGATGCGATGCTCTAGCCCGGATTGTGGTTCGACAACCGTGCTAGTTCAGGCATTGCTCGGCAAGCCTGGAGGGCACCGCCAAGGCCATTTCCATCGGCCTGCGAAACAAGACAACACCCACCTCCCCCCTTATCTGCGACTCGAATCTGCATTTGCAGCGTATAGCTTGGCGTTTTATCAACTTGTCTTTTAGTGTTTGTTGCATTACTATGCAAACGGCGTTGGCGGGACTGGATCGCCACAGCCAAATACCCCCCCATAGAGATGGAGTTCAGACTGATACCCCCGGCGGTTGAACTCGGTTCGGAAAAAAACGAAACAAGATGCTGAGAGAAAAACATGAATGAGAAAAGGGGGCGTCGGGATGAAGGGGGATTCTTATCCCTTTGAAGAGCATGATCACAAGATCCAACCGCCGCATCGAAAACTCAGTCCCTGGCTGACAAAACAAACTCCGCACCTTCCACAACCCCTTTCGGCTGTACCTATCGGATCGGGAACATTACTATCCTCTATTTCCACCACACGACGAGACGACGATAGAGAAGATGGTCCGCGACTAGAGGAAAAATGATGACACGACATTAGACTAAGACGGCATCGGACCGGTGGGGGTGGACGAAGAGACGAGGGGCGGATGTTTACGTGTGTTTCTGGCGTCATGTTGCCGACGGACCGGCCATACGAACCGAAGTGCACTGCTGTCTGTTTGTTTGTTTTGTCTATTTCTGCACTGCTTAATCACTAATTCCTCTTCTCAAACTGCTGGCGGGCGCCTACTGGGCGCGAGCTAGCTTCCTGATGAGGCATGTGCTTGGCTTTGGGATGTGGGTGTCTTTGCGCGTTGTCGTTTTTATGTTCCATATGGGTGGTTGAAAAGGTCTAGGATCATAAGTTACAAACAAAAAAGGGGTGGTGGTGAAGATCTTTTTACAAGCCGTTGGCTGTGGCGCATCAGTGGGAAGGAAAAGCATTATTACACATTCTTTGCTTGTTAAACGTTATAGATATCTGGGAAATCCCCTTATTTGCTGATATTTTACATATTTTATCACGTCCCCCAAATCCGCCATGTTTGGGCTGTGAAACTGAACGGGATGACCTCCCACATCATTTGACTTCTAACGCGCTTGGGTCTATTTGGGTTGGATCAACCGCCTGCTAGATATTCGCCCTCTGCTTGTAGAAACGTGGAAACACACATGCCCTGCCAACCTGACGCCTCGCAATGCTCTGTACCAATAGTAACATGACCCCCTTTCTGTGATCTCCGGCGTAAAATGAAGCAGTGTGGCGAAGAAAATACGGCCGGCCATCCCATGATAGCGCCCCCCCCTCCCTGAAAAGAGCGAACCGGTTCTGCCCTTGCATACCACCATCCCATCCCTTTCATCCGTTATCTTGCTCTTGTCGTGATCCAAACCCACATTTGCGGCCACTCGTCTGCCGCCCAAAAATCACTGCCAACCAGGAAAGAAAAAAAAGTCGGCACGAGTGAGAAATGAACAATCACCACAGCACGCGCCGACTCGCTGGCAGACGAGCCCGGTGACCACCACCTCTCCTCCTCGCCCGGATGCCAACCTAGGACATCTCCATGCCATCATCATCATCATCGTCCTCCTCCGTCTCGAGCAGCTGGGTCTGGTTGCTGCTGACACTCTCCTTGCGGCGGGAGGCGGCGGAGGCGGCATCGCCGAAGCGGCCGCCGCAGCCGTCCATGCCGACCATCATGTCGAGCTCGTCGCCGCCGACGACGCGGCCCTCCATGTCGACCTCCTGCGACAGCTCGACCAGGGCGCCGCGCGGCAGGCGCTGGAAACCGACGGTGCGCACGACGCGGCCCCAGTGCGTCATGCAGAAGCCGGCGGCGCGCTTGCGCAGCCACTCCTCGTTGGCGAGCCCCGCGCAGTACCAGATAATGCAGGCGTGGTCGACGTCGAGCTCCTTGCTCAGGCGGTTGACGCACAGCAGGCGGAGGTGCGGGATGTTGTAGATGTTGGACATGACGAGCAGGCCGGCCACGTCCGAGAGGTCGCTCATGGCGTTGGACTCGTCGGCGGCGACGTCGTCGTCGGCCGGGTCGATGCGGTCCGTGTAGAGGTAGTACAGGAAGGCCTTGACCACGCTGTAGGGCTCGGGGATGTGCATCTTCTTGGTGTGGAACTCGGCCATCTGGCTCGCCCACAGGCGTGCAAAATGTGGCCAGCGAGCCTGCAGAATGAGCCGGTGTACGTGGATAGGGGGTGAGGTTGGCGTGTCTGGCGCGAGCCAGGTCTGGCTGCTCTCGTCGGTTGGATCGCTGGTGTGCATGAGCGCGGAGCCCATGACTTCATCCTCGTCAAAGTCACGGGAGAGGGCGGTGACAACGAAGTCGGTGCCGCTCCCCGTGTCGGGAGGCTGGTTAAAGAGCGTCGCGAGGTCCGCCCCCAAGCCCTTGGAGGGCGGCTCCGCGCTGCGAGTCCGTAACGAAGGGCGAGCCATGTCTGTCCGTACCTCGGATGCTGAATTGTTGCCAAGAAATCCATAGCGGCGCAGGTCGATTTCCATGATGTCGGAGAGATACTCCTCGAGGCCATTAGCACCGAGTTCAATCGCTCCGGCTTCCGTGGGGCAGCCCAGCAGCCACGCCTTGGTACCGTGTTCGTTCATGGTGCAATAATGCCACCGGTAGCCGGGCTTGAAGATTTCTCGCCCCTCGGCAAGCTTCTGCCACCTAAGCGTACCTAGGTCCAGCGCGGAAAGCGAGCATTCCTTCGATGTGATGGTCGCTGCCGGTGTGACAAAATCCAACAGTGTCCCAGACGAGTACACGTGGAAATGAATGCCTTGCATCTGCGACGGGACGTACGCGCCGTTAACGAACTTCAACGCCGATATGGCGCCAGGCGCGGGAGGCGCATACGCCTTGAGATGAAAAGACGGGGTGTTGACTTGAGCTGTCCTCGAGTTGGCTGCGTAACCAGACAAGCCGACTGCGGGAGACTGTGACGCTTGATGGGGTGGGCGGGGCGACGCCGTGTTTCTCGTTAGGCCGGAGCGGTCCAGGGTGCCGACTTGCGGCGGCGATTCAAAGGCCGGGTTCCCCTTGAGATCCAGCCACCACAGATCGCTAACCTTGTCCATGTCTTCGCTCAAGCCGCCAAACACCCACACCCTATCGCTCCAGATGTATGCTGAGTGATCAAAGCGCCCAACAAAACGCCACGACCTCGACCACGTGTAAGTCTTCAAATCCAGGTAACATATGTCATCCAATACGTAGTTGTCGTGACCCGTGATGCCGCCCACGATGAAGAGCTTGTCTTCGTGCAGAACGGCAGCGTGTCGGGCACGACCCTTGGGGATCGGCCCCGTCACCTGTGGCTGTGTCCAATGCGCCGTTTTAAGGTCGAAAATAATGAGGTCTGAAAGATAGGTCCGGTGTTCGTTTTCGCCGCCGAAAACCAGCAACTTGTCGCCCTTGTAGAGGGTGGCCGTGTGCCCTGGGAGGCGCCGTTAGCGAAAACCGAACAGGTACATACGTTGGACTCCAAGTACTCACCCATCCGGACGCCCGGGATATCGCCATAGTTGTCAACGAGAGTCCACTGGTGGCTGACCAGATCCAAGCGAAGCACATGATTGTAGACCTCGTCGGTGTACTGATCAAAGCCACCAAAAGCGTAAATCCGGTTGTTCCCACAGTATGTGACGGAAGCATTTACGAGGCAAGCCGGGCGCTGACCGAGAGTGCGCGTGACCTTGGGCCGGTAGCCATCCATTGCAACGCGGTTCTTGAGCGGCGAGTTGGGCATGATATAAGTGTTGTTGGAGGATGCCGATGCGGGGGTCAAAGCGGATGTGAACGGGGTTACCGAGAGGTGAGGCGCGATGTCGGTAGTGGTCTGGCCTGTCCCGCCAAAGATGGAAGGGCCCGTGGTGGGTGCTCCTGGGGTAGCGGGGTTTTGTTGCGCCATGACTGCGGGATGCGCAAAGGGTCGACGGGGAGGCTATTGCGAGTTATGCTGGCGTTGAATAGGCATTCGGCGATACGATGAGGGCGAAACGGTTCGACGCCGTCAATTCAGTGCCCCCTGGTTGTTGTCGGTATGGAAAAGTAGAGAAAGCCAGGTTGTCGGCGGCAGTAGTCGAGGTTGTGAATTGATGGCAGCCAAATGCGCCTGTTTGCTTGCATGGAGCGAGGAAACGGTGATGGCGATCACATTCCCACCCGGTCCCACAAAGAAGTCGGTTCTAGCCAGGGGTAGTGAGACGCGAAAAACGCTAGCAGGCTCGGCAGGCTAGCCGCTGTTCTTTGCCGCATTGGCGTTTGTCTCGACTTTTGGGAGTGCCACAATAGTGGGGCTCAAGCGGCCTGGGGCTGAAATGACAGATGAGAACCGCCTGGGATTGTAGCCCCACCAGCTTGTTGTCCGGCCAACGAATGTAAACAATTCACATTTAAGGAGCCCGTCCTTCCCTTCATGTCCCAGTCTCTCTTACTCCTTCCTTTGCATCACGCTTTCCACCACACACCACTTTGTTCCTTGTCCCGCTCTGCAGCCGAACCTTCGCCACTCGATCCTACGAATTCCGACTTTGGCACCTAGGATTCATTGACAACCATCATCATCCTCCATCTTCAAATAATCTACCTTTGCTGGGCCAGACTCTGAGAGTCGCCTAGCCTTTTTAATTGTCGTCAAAGTTATCGATAGATACAGATACAGCAGCACAGTAGTCGTCAATCATGGCTACAGCATCAGTTTCAACACCCCTCAAGTCCCACAAGGGGCTTTTCTCCTCCCGCACAGCAGGCGGGCGGATGCCCTTGACTCCCTCGCCCTGCCAACGCTCTACTGGCGTCAGCATCAACTCATCCCCTTTTACACCCGACAAGTCGAACAATGACTCCCACCGTGTACCGTCCAAGTCAGTCTACGGCGGTAACCTAGCTGCCCACTTCGCCAAGTCCACCAAGAACCACCGTGACTCGCCGAAGTCCAACATCGCCCGCGTTGTGTCAACCCCTCGCAAGGTTCTCGAGTTGGGCGTGTCAGACTTTACGCTAAAGGGCACGGGCCCCAGTGTCAAGACATCTCCCAGCGCCAAAGCCAAGAAGCCGGTTGCTACCGTCAAGCCCAAGACCAGCAAGACGACCATCAACTACAAGGCCGATCGCTTCATCCCTAACCGGTCTTCGAGTTCGGCAATTGCCAATGCTGGGTCAGCAAAGATCAGGATCCGTGACCAGCAGCGCCCGAGGAGCGGTCGCGAGGACACCTCGTCGTCTCTTGGATCCACCACCGACGATGCTGTCGCCGCTCTTGAGGGCCTCAACATCAACGATGAGGAGCCATCCTCCTACTCGCGGCTCTCGCCTAACTCAATCGCTTACCAAGAATCGCTAGCCGATGCTTGCGGTGTGAACCTCAGCACGCGCATCCTTGAGTTTAAGCCTGCACCCCCTGAGTCATCCAAGCCCATCGACCTGCGCCAGCAGTACAACCGCCCTCTAAAACAGGCCAGCGCGGCTTCAGCCCAGTTTAGGCGCCGCATTGCCACCGCTCCGGAGCGTGTCCTGGACGCACCTGGCCTCATCGATGACTACTACCTCAACCTGCTCGACTGGAGCACGGGCAATCAGGTGGCCATTGGCCTCGAGCGCAATGTTTACGTTTGGTCCGCAGACGAGGGTTCCGTGAGCTGCCTCCTTGAGACAAGCCCGGATACATACGTCAGCAGCGTCAAGTGGTCCGGGGATGGTGCTTACGTGGGTGTGGGCCTGGGCACAGGAGAGGTCCAAATCTGGGATGTTGCCGAGGGCGTCAAGATTCGCAGCATGCTCGGCCACGACACCCGCGTTGGCGTCATGGGCTGGAGCAAGCACCTGCTCTCCACCGGGGCGCGGAGCGGTCTCGTTTTCAACCACGACGTCCGTATTGCGGAGCACAAGGTGGCCGAGCTTGTCTCCCACACCTCCGAGGTCTGCGGTCTGGAGTGGCGCTCGGATGGCGCTCAGCTCGCCACCGGCGGCAACGACAACCTCGTTTCCATCTGGGATGCCCGGTCCCTGGCCGTCCCCAAGTTCACCAAGACCAACCACAAGGCCGCCGTCAAGGCCCTCGCTTGGTGCCCCTGGAACATGAACCTGCTCGCCACCGGCGGTGGTTCGTATGACCGTCACATCCACTTCTGGAACTCCACCTCCGGTGCCCGCGTCAACAGCATCGACACGGGCTCGCAAGTTACCAGCCTTCGCTGGAGCCCGCACTACCGCGAGATCGTTAGCTCAAGCGGTTTCCCCGACAACTCTCTGAGCATTTGGAGCTACCCCACCCTCGTCCGGAACGTCGAGATCCCCGCCCACGAGAGCAGAGTCCTCCACAGCTGCCTCAGCCCTGATGGTCAGATGCTGGCCACAGCTGGTAAGCATCCTTTCTTTCGTCTTATCCAATTAAATACCCACCGCTAACACATAACACAGCTGCCGACGAGAGCTTGAAGTTCTGGAAGATCTTTGAGAAGAAGCCCGGCAGTGGCTCCAGCTCCAGCGGTATTGGTGGGCTTACCAAGGCCACCACGCCCAAGCACATGAAGATCCGTTAAGAGGTCCTCGTTCTAGGGGATAAGGTCTCTTGGGCCGGTCGAAGTCAAGTCAACGACAAATATTCAACCAACGGTAGGTATACATGGTTCCCTTCTAGAAAAAATACGGTCACAGCATCGGATGGGGTTCCTGTTGTTTGATGGGTTTCAGCGCGGCGTTGGAGAGATTGTTCTTGGGTCTCCTCCAGGTTGCATATCACGGAGCTCTCACGCAGGGATGAATGAGCATCGACTCGGTCATGATTTTAACGCAAGGGACATTCGAGATACCATTTTTGTTGATTATACGGGCGGCAGTTTTGCACCGGCGTTTTGGGCATTGGACCAGGGCAGTTTAGCAATTGTATCATAGTTTAATAATTGGGACATGGGCGTCGGAGAATGAATGTGTGACTTTCAAGGAGATCAACTTGAGGACAAAACTCGCAGCGAAAGAATAACAGCGGTAACTTAGCGTTTCCATCCCATGGCATCGATGGCCGACTTGAGTCGCTTGACCCGTCTTGACTGGGCCCGGTTGTATGACGCATCAGGCACTTGTCTCATGGTTTTGGAATTCAAAATTTTCTCAGGTTTAGCAAACTTTTGATGTTTGTCTGCGACAAGTTTCAATTTTGGTAATTCGGGTTGGTTGGATGGGGTGTTCACGATCAACAGATGTAAATGGGACTCATGAGAACTCGATGCGGCGGGTTGGTGGTTGGGAACGGCCACCTAGCTGACTAAGCAGACCGGACTACAAATCCAGCCAAGTCTGGTGCCTTCTCGGAACTTGCCCAATACAACACACACGCACGCTAAACGCCGTCTCCTCCAACCTGCGGCGCAACACTGCAAAACCAGAGCTGCGGCGATTTATCATCTAGAAATACAGGATCACCAGCATTGAAGTGTTTGAAGCGGCCCAGAAAGTTTTCCAAGAAACACGATTTCGCGGCGGTGTCTGAGGGGTCCGCATTCCACCGAGCATCCGCACGCTCGCCAACCACCTGTCGGCCGACCATACCAAACCCGTTCCAGGCGGATCGAATCGGCCTTGGGTGTGCCGAGAGAAACGTAGAGCAGATACGAGCCATCAGCAGCTGTTGAGCAGCAAACGAGGCGACAAGTGCAGCAGTCCGATTTAGGAAGCAATTGTTGCAAGGACCGTGATACTTCCCCCAGCCAGCTCCGCTGCGTCGATCGGAGCAACCTCATCACCATGTCTAACGCCGCGGTTGGGCACGTCTACGACACCATTATCGCCGAGGTCGTCAATGCAGTGCGCGTTGATTTCGAAGAAAATGGCGTCGATGAGGGTGCGTTGGAAGACCTGAAAAAGGTGAGGCTCTCTCTAAATATCCATCCCCCCTTTGTCCTCGCCACTGCAGCCTTGGCCTCGTCTGCCGCCCTCACCTACCATTTCCCATCTTCCCGTCAATCCCGATCATCAAGGTTCATTTCGCGATCGGTTTGCCGAGTCCATTTTTATCATGCACTTTCTTTTCGAGCGATCGTTTCTTTTGGTTTGGCGTTGATTGCGCCAGCCAAAGTCGCGACGAGTGTCGGGCGCTCCCTCGGCGGTTGCCCTCTGGCTCCCAGGGGGGCGGGCGAGAGGGGTGGAGAGCAGCTCGCCCGGGTGGGCGACCCAGCACTTTTGGGTCTCTTTTTAAAGGCCAGCCCAACTGCTGCAGGCGCCGCCCAGTCATCTTATCCGCCACTTCCGATTGGACTGCCAGATCCGCATCACGTGCGGAACCCTGAAGCATCGCAACCGCTCTCTTTTCCCTTAGCCAACCCTCGACACCCAAACACATGCCAAATCCGGCGAGTACTAACACACAAGTCATAGACATGGCAACACAAACTGACCCAGATGAACCTGGCTCAATTCCCATGGGACCCCAAGCCAGAAGCGCAGCCTGCACCGACCCCGGCTAGTGGACCCCCAGCAGCCGCTCCTCCGAGTTCACTCCCTGCGACTACTGCCGGTTACACCCAGTCTACGTTGAGCCCCCAAGGCTCCGCGCAGACGCTGTCGCTCCCAGGCTCTTTCATGCCGAACAACAACCCGATGGCCATGAAGCCAGAGCCCGGTTATGTTCAGGCGGAGCCCACCATTAAACAGGAGCCTGGGCTCCCCGCTGCTCATCCTAGCTACAACCCCGCCAACGGAACCCGCCCAACGGCCGCACAGCGGGCTGCCCTTGCGCTTGAGAGCCAATATGGCCAGCGTGCTGCTGCATCCATCAGTGCCATTCACAGCGGCATGGCCCAGGTGAACCCGGCTGGTCAGCCTCAGCAGGGTCCGCGACCAGGACAGCAGCAGGTGCCGCAACACATGAACCAGTATCGCCAAGGTGTTGCGGCTACTATGCAGCAGCGTATGCAGCAAGTGTCCCGCCCCGCGCCACCGAACGGCCTTCCCCCGTCCCAGCTCGACGGGCCCGGGGATGACACCGAAGAAGCGTCGCCGGCCGCGATGGATCGTGCCCAAATTGACGAGCACCTCCATGCGCAAATTGCAGCGAGAGCCAAGCAGATGGAGGGTGGCGGCTTGATGTTACCGCTCAGTCAGGCTACCAAGAGTCGTAGCCTCGCTGGAAAGCGCACTACTGCCGATGGCCCTGCCCAGCTTGACGGAGGGTTGGATGATGACGTCAAGAGCGAGGAAGCGGACGAGGACGCTATCAATTCCGACCTTGACGATCCCGATGAGGCCGGCGATGATGATGAAGACGAGGATGATTCCATGGGCCACATGATGCTATGCATGTACGACAAGGTGCAACGCGTCAAGAACAAGTGGTATGCACCCCGTCCATTTTCTGTTTGGGTCGTAACCAGGTTGCTAACACACTCCGTAGGAAGTGCGTGCTGAAGGATGGGGTTCTCACTGTGAATGGCAAGGAATACGTCTTTACGAAAGCAACTGGCGAATACGAGTGGTAAACCCGCTCCCGCTTCTACGCTATCACCATCTTGGCTTTTTTCCGGCCGTTGCTACTCTATGACATACGCGGCAGCGGGGCAACACTCTCTGCCTTTCCGAACCAACGAACTCTTGCTTCCTCACACCAACTCCCCTCTAGTTTCTGAGAGGAGTGGCGGCCAGCATCGGCCAGGTCCCCTTTATTCTCCCCCTTTCTGTGGTTGAGAGATTTGCGATGGTTTCATTTGCTCTCTCTCTTTCTGCCTTTCGCTTTTCCCATTTTTTTTTACCCAAAAGATATGACGCCCACTCCTAGGGACAAATATCGTCCATACCTAAAAACAAGGGCGCATTTTCTAGCGGAGCAGTCCTGGATTCTTTCATTCGCCTGTTATCTTTCTTTTTCTCCCCCCTTTTTCTTTCATTCTGGAGTCAAGGCAAACGGGATTGCCCCTTGATGAGGTTTGGCATATTTTATGTATTGTAACATACGGATTCGGATGGGGAGATGTTATGAGGGGACGTGATCCGCCAGGCCGCCATCGGGAATGATGACAACTTCTCGAATCCATGGCGATGCAGACGGCAGCGGTTGGTAATTTATAGAGCACTATCTACCAACGGATTGATAAAAATAGCCGGCTACCTCATCCTACCGTGACTACTGCTGTTGTGACATGCCACATACGTACAACAGGATAAAGCCGCGCACACTGGGAGGTCACACAGCGGCAGGTTGCCTAGAACCTGGGTTAAACAAGATCACTTTGAATACATACAGATACAGGCTGTTGGAATATACACTAATTGTTTAGGTAGGAAGCGCTACTGGCAAGGTACCCATCCTACCGCGTTATGGAGGATGCAGGAAAATGAAAACAAGGAGAAAGATGACGATGGCGGGGGCTGAAAGGCCGCCCCCAACCCCCCAAATCGTCCATCTATTTGGGGTCAAATGTATTTGAAACCCTCCCACGCTCCAACTCCAAAAAACGCCTGGACTTTTTCCTCCTCGTCCGTTCGTCCGTCCCTCCGTCCATCATCCTCAATCCCGAAGATCCAGCGCGTATAGTATATAATAGGGTGTGTGACGTCGTGAGACAAAGCAAAGATGCGAGTGCGCAAGGTGGATGTATATCGCTCCCTTACGTGGTGAGGCGGCGATGCTAGTGTTGCAAAGTAGCAAGGTTGGGGAAACGCTGTTCAGGTTGGCGCTGTCGAGTCAGGTTGTTGGGCAAGGGCAAAGCCAGTGGCGTCAACTTCAGGATGCTTCTCCGACCAAGTATCGAACCGCACCGGCCACGATGATCCGCGACCAGACTCGCTCTACGAGTAGAACTGCGATTTCTGGAAGCTCTCGGGCGTGACGTCGCCGAGCTTGGTCAACGGTAGGGGAGGCGGCGCATTGGAAGCACCGGGCAGGGCACCCGGTGCGCTGACGGTGCTGGTCAACGAGTTGGCACGGCTGCTCTCGCTCGCGGGGGTGTCCTTGATAGCGGCGACGGGCGCGCCCGGCTTGCGCATAACTTCGAGGAAAGTCGCGGGAAGGTAGCCAATGCGGCCATCGCGGGCACGGCACTTCCACCACTCGCTTGGGTTGCCCATTGGGTCGCTCTTGCCCAGCACAGCCACCAGATCTCCCTTGCGCACCTCGAGGTCCACGCCCTGGACGACGGCCTGGCCCTGGGCTGCTGGCGAGAACTCGTACAGTACGCGGCAGAACTCGAGCTTGGACGGGTCGAGGCTCTGCTGTGCGGCCACGAGGTGGCGCCGGCGCTCCTCCTCCTCTGCGTTGGCCGCGAGCGAGCGGATGACCTTGCTCATGACGTAGGGCAGGCCGAAGGCAGCGAGCATGAAGAAAAACAGGGGCTTGCGGCTGGGCTTAGGCGGCCCATGGTCGGCTCCGGAGCCCGATCGCCCTTCGAATCGGGCGAACGAGGCGGGCGTGAGCGCCTGCGCATCCACCGGCGGGGGTCTTCCTGTCAATTTGGCGATCAGGGTCCGGATCCAGCGCATCATAGTGAAGATGCCGAGGACGGAGCCGAGAGTGTCACGGAGGTTACCGAATTGCTCGGCGACGGAGACCATTGCTACAAGTCCGTTAGAGATAGTGCACCTTGCAGTCGTGTTCCGAGAACGGGGGACAGCTTACCGAAAAAGCTCGAATGCGTCGCCATGTATGTGCTCTCCAGCATCTGAGCGAACCCGCCAAAGGCGCCGACTACGCCCTCCAGCATCTGGAAAGTGGCTTGCGTGCTCATGTTGAAGCGCTGAGTGAGGCTCTCCGGGTTGTTTGGGTCCCCAGGCATACCGCCGGGCATGCCCCCGTACATACCTCCCCCGTACATGCCGCCCGCGCCGTAGCCGCCTAGCCCACCACCGTACATACCGCCCCCGTACATGCTGTTGCCATACATACCGCCACCGTATCTAGAGTATGGTGAGCCGTAGGGCGACGAGTATGCCGAACCGTACGGGGAGGCGCCGTATGGGGTTGTGCCGTAAGGTCTGCTGTAGGCTGCGGCGTTCTGGTTCACAGCGGCGGTGAGAGTTGCTGGTCGCGCGGGGATTGCAGGTGATGCGGCGGAGGGCGTCGCAGCCGTCGCTGTTGCCGGCGCTGTCATGGTGTTTGCGGGTGCGGTGGGCACGGTTGCTGGCGTGGAAGCTGGAATCGAGGGTGCTGCTGCCATGGTTAGTTAGTGGGAATGTTTGCGGTGCCCAACCACCACAACAAACAGAGAGATACATACCAGAAGCAGCGGGGGTTGCGCCCGGTCTTTCCCAAGGTTTTGGTGGCGATGCCATTTCTCGGTGTGAACTCCCTCGCGACTTGTTTGACAACGGGCTTTTGGGGTGCGTTGAGAAAGGTTCACTGCGACGACGCTGGTGGCCGGGCAAGGGTTTCCAGTGTCCCCGGGTGGCGACGCGAGCGGGCCGAAAAATGGGCTGAGGAAGCGCCCAAGCCCTTTGAAGGTCTCAACAACAGGCTTCGCCTCAAAAGAGCGAATAAAATCTGCGCTCAAAAAGGGGTGGGTTTCACTCGAATTGTTCTCTCTCTTCGAAGTCTCAACGCATTTGTGGTCGCAAGACCTGCGGCACGTCGCACCGTGGTGGATGGGTTGATAATCGCAGCAGCTGATCGAGTGGAGCCACCCAAGGTTGGTGGTGGTGGAAAGCCAAGGTTACGGGCAACTTCTTCGGGTGGTGGAGACGGCTTGTGAACGCGCGAACCTCGGTATTTTGGATACGGCTTGCCGAGCGCTGGGAAGCCCAGTCCAGCACAACAAGACCGTGGGGAAACCCCATGCTCAGCCAGTCTCAAATGTGGGCCCCGAATTCGCTTGAAGCTCGAGCCATTTCCTTCAAATATCAGTCCTTCCTGTCTTTTTGGTGTCAAACCGAAGGGAATCATCTGTTATCCACATTGGGGGAAGGCACTGAATAGGTAATCAGCAATGACACAAAAATCAATTGTTCGGATTCACTTGTATCACGCTGTTATTCTTTATTTCATGAGTCCACACTATAAAACTCATATAACTAAACAGCAACCAAGGATACTCAATTAGAGCTCGTCGTGGTCCTCGAGCTGGTCGTACTCATCGCCGCCGGCGTCGCCACCATCATAGAGTTTGCTAGTAATAGGATGTGCGACATCGGACAACTTTTCTCTCTGCTCGGCGAAATCATCAGCGGTCGCCGTCGCCCCGTGCTCGTTGATCCAGGCCGTCGCTTCTCTCACGGCCTCCCGGAGCTGTGAAGGTTGTGAGTGCCATGTCCAGTTTCCAATAATAGAAAGCTCCGGCAGAGTAAACAACAACTTACAGTTTCTTTCTCATCTTCATCAACCTTTCCTCCGAGCCCAATGGCATCCTCAAGCTGGTTCTTCAAGCTAAAAGCGTAGTTTTCGAGGCCGTTTCGCGCCTCGATACGTTCCCGAGCCTCCTTATCCTCGTCGGCGAACTTGTCTGCCTCGGCCATCATACGTGCGATTTCGTCCTTGGTCAAGCGGCCGCTATCGTTGTTGATCGTGATTGTTTCCTTGCGCCCAGTACCCTTATCCTGGGCTGAAACCTCGAGGATGCCATTGGCATCGACGGAAAATGAAACCTCAATTTGGGGGGCTCCGCGTGGAGCTGGCGGTATACCCGTGAGCTCAAATGTACCGAGAAGGTTATTGTCCTTGGTCATCGATCTCTCGCCCTCGTAGACTTTGATCATGACCGAAGGCTGGTTGTCTAATAGACAGGTCAGATCTGATTTGAACCTGCCAGGCCGAGTATCAAGACTTACCACCCGTGGTGGAAAATATTTGAGATCGACGCTAGTAGTTGGCCGCGTTAGTGAACACTTCATTTTATATACGAGGCGAGCGATGGAGATGGGCAACCAACCGTCGGGAGTTGAGTATTGCGTTGGATCAGTTGTGCAATATTCCCTGGTTAGCTTCGACCGACCAGACCCTCCTCCATCCTGCATCCCCCTGAAACCTACCATCCCCTCTTCTTCTAATGCGGTCTCGCTTCCTAGCGTAAGAGGGTTCACATCCATGAGTAATTGACGCTCAAAAGCCTATCGTCGGATGGTTAGCAAGAGCCACGTCCACCAATACCCACGGAACAATCTCACCTTCACGCCTCCGAGGATCTATCCAACAAGGTTTTGTTAGCCTCATTCAAAGTCGCATACCACACCAGGAGCCACGATTACTCACCCCTCCCTGAATAGCAGCGCCAAAAGCCACGGCCTCATCGGGGTTAACTCCCCCACTCGCCTTCCTCCCAAAGAACTCCTCAACCAACCCCTGAATCTTAGGAATCCGCGTCGACCCGCCCACCAACACGATATCCGTCACATCCGCCTTATCCACCTTCGCGTCGCTCAACACCTGCTTAACCGAATCCAGCGTCTTCTTAAACAACTGCCCGTTCAGCTGCTCAAACTTCGCCCTCGTCAACGTCTCGGAGAAATCCAACCCCCCAAACAAGCCCTCGATCTCCACCCGGGTCGAGAGCTGCGACGAGAGCGCGCGCTTAGCCTTCTCGGCCTCGCGTTTTAGTTTACCCATCGCCTTAGCGTCGCTCGTCAGGTCGAGGTCGTGCTTGGCTTTGAAGGCTTTGGCGAGGTGCTTGATGACGCGGTTGTCAAAGTCTTCGCCGCCCAGGCGGGTATTGCCCGCTGTTGCGAGGACCTGGAAGCTGCCTTCCTCGACGGAGACGAGGGAGACGTCGAAGGTGCCGCCGCCGAGGTCGTACACTAGGACTGTGCGCTCGCCTTCGTCCTGGAGGGGGAGGGGGTTAATGGGGGTTGTTTAGAGAGGCCGCAAGGTGGGTGGGGTAGGGGGGGCGTACTTTGTCAATTCCATAGGCGAGTGCTGCCGCCGTGGGCTCGTTGACGACACGGACGACGTTGAGGCCCGCGATGGTGCCGGCGTCTTTGGTTGCTTTTCTTTGCTTGTCGTTGAAGTAGGCCGGCACAGTGACGACGGCATGCTTGACCCTATTTATGGTGAGTACAGCGGAGCTTTGCCAAACAGCTCGATATCGGGTCTTACTTCTGGCCAAGGTAGGATTCGGCCACGTCCTTCATCTTCCCGAGCACCATGGCACTGATCTCTTCTGGTGTAAAATGTCGAGCTTCTCCCGCTACGTTGACTTCAACTACCGGTTTGTCTCCCGGGCCCGCAGTAACCTTGAATGGCATATGTTTTATGTCCGCTTGAACTCCTTTATCCGAAAAGCTTCGTCCTATTAACCGTCTGGGAGAGGGTGTGTCAGTCAACAGACGATGCCGAGCCAGGCAGGGGGAGTTCTGACTTTATGTCGAAGATTGTATTCGTTGGATTGCTCGCGTATTGGTTCTTCGCTGCGTCTCCTAGGGAAGGGTACATGTGTCAGCCACTGATGAACTGATGCATCAGAGAAAGAAGCATCGGAAGTCATACCAATAAGGCGTTCTCCATTCTCGGCGAACGCGACATAGCTCGGTGTTATTCTGTTTCCTGTTCCAAGTCAATACTCGTTCAGAGCAACCCCCCGGCCCATTTATACATACCTTGGTCGTTGACTAGTATGTCTACTCTATCGCCCTTGATAACGCCGACACACGAATATGTTGTCCCGAGATCAATGCCAATGATGGGTTCTCCTGGCTCGACAGTGGTCTTCGTGGCGCTGGCAACTGGGAGGACGGCAAGAGGGCAGATAAGAATAAGGAAGAATAAGAGAATGCCAACCCCCAAAGGGATCTGCCTTCTGCTGGAGTGTATCTTTCTCGCCATGATGTATTGGCGTCGGTGTAAAAGGTTGCGTCGTGTTGGTATGCTTCGTCTAGCGGGTGCAAGTGTGAATGGGTTCAGGAGTCAAGTAAACAATGGTTAGCAGGAACTCGTCTTGCTTGATGAAGGACTGGACGAGGAACCGGATGTTTAGTGTGTTCTATATAGAGGGGAAGCAATCTCAAAGTACATAACAGGGTGTCCAAAAGTCGCAGATCGAAGCCACTGCGAACAGTTCATACTTCCCAGCACTGCTAGAACACACTGGACCTGGGGAGAAAGGACACATTTCACCGGCCATATCTACAGCCAGTTTGCGACCAGCACTGAAACAAACGCCGTTTTAGCGTGCGTCCACTCCTAGCTTCTGTGTTCTTTGCTTGATTCTAGAATCAGCAGACGCCGCATGCGGCCCAGGCGCTGAACCCAACGGCGGCAAAGTCTTTGTGGTCCGACCTCTTGAACGGCACCTGCTTATGGGTATTGTTGTAACTGTATCTTTCCCGTCCAGTTGCCTTGGTCAATCCACTGGCTTCATGATGTTCTGTACCACAGTCCCGGCCCCGAATCCTATGGCCTCGCCCGTTTAACATTCAGGTTGAATATGCTCATCCCAAGTTCCCTGCCGATTAATGTAAACAATTTCCTTTGAAATAGTTGTAGCTGGCCCCTTCCACGTCTCGTAGAAGGGAGTATTCATCAATGTGCCGAACCTATTCAGAACCAACAACTCGAGGATTGAACGACACACCATGAACATGCAACCACCACCACGATGACTCGATCTAAGCGAAATACTGGTGTACCGTGCTACCGATAACGAATGACTTAATGCCTCATAGCCAAGGCCCCATCTCGAATACCAACACCCAGAGATGCGATATCACGAATCAGACACGGCGTCTCGAAAGACAGAGTGTCTTTATCGTATCCCCAATCTCCTCCTGATTTCCAAAACCCCCACAAATCATCAAACCCAAGACGGATCCGATTCGATCAATCATGAAACCAATGACTGCGTTTGGTGTTGTCTGTCGTGACTCATTCGCCTCTCGCAACGTGTTCTTTCAAATCGCATCCTTCGTCGTGCAGAGGAACAAGAAACAAGCTGAAAAAAAGGGGGAAACATCAGATGAGGGAAGGTCCAATCGCCGTTGACCGACAAGCCAACCCTGTTGCCGTTTAAGGAATGCGAGGTTAAGGCGACACAGAACACAGAAAGGTGGCCGCCCCAAATCCCTAATCCTCCCCCCCCCCCCTGGGCGGACACTAACAATAGACCAAAATAACCAATTCAGCGATCTTTTAAAAGGGACCAAGACAGGTCATGGATGAGTTATTATGATTAATATTCTAGTTATGATTCTTCCAGTTGGGCCAGTTGGCCGATCCAGATCCGACCAGTTTGTTTGTCCCCCGGTCCGGTCATGTCCATCCAGCATATATACACGTAGCCAACGCCGAAATCATCATCAAGCCCCATGCTTCCTTCCCCCCGGGCATCTCCCATTTATTTCCAGGACATTACGCTTTGATCTCCTCAATCCCACAATCGCCACCGCCTTACTCCTTATCCCTCCTCTCCCAGTGAATGTTAGCCGGCTCAAGCGGGCGCGAGAAGAGCGAAGCATAATCGGTGCCAATGACCTTGTTGCTGCCATCGACATTGCGGAACTTGAAGAGGCGCACCGTCATGGCGACGATGGTCTGCAGCTGGACGTTGGCAAAGTTCTCGCCGATGCAGCGGTGGCGGCCGGCGCCGAAGGGCAGGTAGGGTGACGCAGCGCCCTTGCTGACCAGGCCGTAGCCGTAGTCGATCTTCTCTTCGTCGGCGTCCTCGGCCTCCTCGTTGCGCACGATGCTCGGCGCCAGCGGCGACTCCTTCTCCCAGCGGTGCGGCTCCCAGAGGTCGGGCTGCGGGAAGTACTGCGCGTCCGCGGCCGACACGCCGGGCGCCGCGAGGAGGACGTGGTTGGTGGGGATGACGTACTTGGTGCCGGGGACCGGCATCGGCTGCTTGACGGCGCGCATGATGGAGTGGATCGGGGCGTTCAGGCGGAGCGTCTCCTTGATGACGGCTTGGTTGAGCGGCAGCTTGGCCAGATCTTCGTACTTCAGGGGGGGGAGGTCGGCGCCGAGGTTCTTGATTTGTTCCTGGTAGAGGTCCTCCATGATGTCGGGGCGCGCAGCCAGGTAGAGCATGATCCAGGAGCTGGTGGACGAAGAAGAATGTTGGCCGGCCATCAGGAGGGCGATCATCATATGGGCAATCTCGTGGTCGGGGACGTTAACGCCGTTTTTGTAGGTCGAGTTCATCAGGTGGTACATGATATCCTGGGCGCCCGTCTCTCCCCGCTCGCGGCGCGACTTGATGGTGTCCATGTAGATCTTGGCGACGGTCCTCTGCGCGTGGTCGCGGCGGTTGTTCCAGGGGAGCGGAGCCCAGTGCAGCATGAAGTTGATGGGGGAGAAACCCATGTCGAGATCGTGGTAGAGGTCGGCCAGCGACACGTCGAACTTGTCGCGGATCTCCTTGCCCTGCAGCGCGTGAGAGGCGGTGAAGATGGTGATTTGAGCCATCTTGGGGCAGATGTTGACGACGCCGGACTGGCCCTTGAAGTCGGCGGTCCGCTTGAAGTAGTTCGTGACCTCGTCCGAGATGATGGGAACATAAGAGCGGAAAGCCTCAGTAGTGAGGGCAACCTTCATAAACTGTGATGCCAGAGTCAGCTCGCCGATCCTCCAGTTTTCCCCATGTTCAGCCAACCAACCTTCTTCTGCTCCATGAGCTTCGAGTTCGGGCAATCATAGACAACATCCTTGCCGAAGACGGGGGTGGTAAGGACCGTGTAGATTTCCTCGGCGCAAACATCACGAATCTTGCCGTTCAGGATGAACTCGTTGCCCTTGGGTCCGACGTAGACGGTCGTTTTCTTGCCGAGTAGGATGAAGGTGAAGCATTCGCCGTACTGTCAAAAACAAAGTGTCAGGGAGGCTAGGCCAATTGATGCAGGGCAGTGGGGAATAGAGGTGCTCACCTTTTCCTTGTTCTCCTTGAAGAAGCGCGGAGGGTCCATGCCGTAAGTGATGGTGCTGCCCACGAAGGGAAACCAGTGGAAGACGAGAGGAGGCTCATTGGGATTCTTGATGAGCACCTGCTTGAGCACGTTCAAGAAGACGCTCAGAAACAGGAAGCCTCCGATCGCGACACCAATCTGCGAGGCCAGTCCGAGACGCGCGAAGCCCTCGGCCAAGGGGCCTCCAAGTTCTTGGATGAGGCCCATTCTGCACGAGAGCAGAGGATGGCAAGGAGGAGGAAGAAGAAGAAAAAGAAGAAGGGTCGTGGGGCAGCAAGAGTCAAGTGTTCACCGTCAAGTAGTGGGTGTAACTCAAGATCTTGTCGTCCTGCAGAGAAAAGTCCCCAGAGTGGCGGGAGGGAGGACGTATTTAACTTGTAGAAACTGTCTACTTTTTTTCGCCAGCGATTGTTCCAGGGGAACGGGAGCCATTGGCAAACGATGGGGGCATTTGATGATCCTCAGATTTGTAGCCAATGAGAGGGTGCATTCGTATTCGCATTCGTCCGGTGTACCTTGGTACCCTTGGCTCCATCATGCCACGAAGAGTGCACTATCGTACGCAGCCAATGTTAGGCGGCCATTCCCGTGCTTTGAATCGAGGACGACGCGCCGACGTCTCCCTCGACGGCACATTCGGGATTTCCAACCAAGACCAGGTGTGGAGAGCTGCAAGAATTCCGAATACGATTAGAAAGAAACGCGCGGTTGTTGCTCTTGATAGGGCTCGATGCAGGTATTGCTACCAAACACGTGAGGAAGTGGATCGGATGAACAGGCTCGAAGCCAAAACCCCTGCCAAGGCCTCATGAATGCGACTCTTACCCCTAACCCTTGACCACTTCCGTGGATGCCCTTTTCGAGGATTGAAAGCAAACACAAACCACCGCAACCCCTTGTTTGTGAGTTGTTGACGTGTAATTAGCAGGCTACAAAATGTTACGCGGGATTTCATCCACTTTCCTTCAAACTACCCTGTCAAACTGTCTCGATTTTATCTCTTGCGAGAGCGAGTGTGTATGTACATAATAGCGACGACGAGCATCATACATACATGTAGCGGCTAAGCCGAGTAGTTATTAGAAGATCTCAAGAAAACGATGCGTTGTGGTATCATGCTCCCCAAAACACCCCTCCCCAACTTCACCCGTAAAACCTCCCCGCCACCCACAACAACCAACGCCAGTAAACGCCCTTCTAAATGCTGAGGAAAAGAGACGCGGAAGGAAAAAAATGCTAGCAGTATGCACCAACGCCAGACGAGGTTGTTCACCACTCCAACCCCAGCCACCCGTACCCGCCATCAATGTTGACCCAGTTGCCTTCATCCATGGCACTCTCCCACCCCATCATGACAGCCAGTAACCGGCACCCAACCGCGCTGACAGTGCACACAACCACGTCGCTCGCGTCCGCCAAAACCGTCAGGTCCATCATGTACGCGCGACCCACCAGGCTCCTAAGCCGGAGGGCCTCCGCGGATGGCGCAACGGCATCCCCGGGAATAGTGGCGTCCGGCGCCGCCGTGGCATGGGCGGATGACACGCCAAGGTTCCAAAACATGGCAGCGAAAAACCCTCCCTCCCAACCGAACGTCTCGTCCACGAATTTGCGCATGACCGATTTGTCCTGGTTGGTACTCTGGATGTTCTGCTTGCTGGCCAGCTTGATGCGCTCCTGGGCGCGACTAGCAGTGCCAGCGAGCTCGGCGCTCTCGTAGACCATGGGGTCGTCTGACGCCAGCAAGACGATGCTCTGCTCTTTGGCGGCGGCAGCTTCCTCGGGGCTGCTGCTGCCAGCGAAGAGGCCGGCGCTGGTGTGGTTGAATTGGGACTCGATGATCTCGTACGCAGTGTCGGTGTAGAGGTTGAGTGGCAGGTACGAATGGCGGTATTGGAACTCGAGGGGATGCCGGTCGCCGCGGCGGATGTGCACCCCGACGGCGAGGCCATTACGATGGCCTTTGGACTTGGGCACTGCCTTCATGTCTATCAGCTCGCGGACACGAGAGTCGACGTATTCGCCGTCTTCCTTATTCATTTGGGCGAGCGCTTCATAGCCCCGACGGGCAAGGCCGAATTGAGTCTTGCGGAGGGCTCGATCGTGTGATTCGGATGGGGGATCGGCGCTCTCGGTCAAGCTTCCGAATAGGACGTCCATCGTTGCAGCCGATGTCACCAGGTGGCGGGCATGCCGCGGACAAGGGAGGATCTCGTGGCTGGGTGGTGCCGAACATTCTGGGACTGGCGGGGATTGGAAGAGGGCCGTGAACTTTCCGTACGCCCATCGGGTGTCGTCGATGAAGAAAGCACGTCTCTCCTTTTCGGCCAAACCATACGCGATCCAGAGCATCATCAATGTCTTCCCCAAGCCGGCATCGCTCGATTCGAGGACGAACGTCAGGCTCTTTTTGCACGCCGCTTTCCCCGCTTCGCCGCCTCTCGCAAATTCCCCAGCATATTTCTGCGCACCGGCGAAATACCCGGCTTTTTCCGCCTCCTGCACGTCAATAAAATCATCCGCCGGGTCGGAGCCGAACCCGAACGAGACTTGATGGAGCCCGTGCCCGTGAGACCGCAGATGCCGAGTCCGCGCCGCCACCTGTCGGCACTTCAGGCACATGTCCACGTATTGGTTCATCCTCAGAGGGAACTCGGATCCTGGCGGTATCGAAACAGTCCACTTCGCTCGTCCCCGATTATCGGTTACAACGATCGGAGTCGGAAAGTCCGGCGCTTCCTTCTGTGAAACCATCCCCGTCTCAGGCTCGACCTCTTTTTGAACGGATCTTGCATGTTCTGTCGGTGTTGGCGTTGACTCGCCAAAAAACCTGGTAAGAACCTCCAGTGCCACGAAGAAGACCACGACGACGCTCAGCAGCCGGATGGCGTAACGGAGAACCCTGAGCGGACGTATGATGCCGAATAATTTTCGCTTCGGCTTCTTCGCCGGAGGCGAGAGCGAGGGAAGGCCAGGTGATGGGGGCGGTGAAAAGACCAAGTGATTGAAAGCAAACCGCGATGACGTCGAAGAGAGCGGTCCCCGGTCATGTTGGTAAGAGGCGGCCCGGCGAAGATTGATACGAGGCGGTGCGATACCGACTTTGGTGTGGGAAGTCCTGCCGAGGTCAAGCGTAGGCGGCATGTTGGAAAGGAATGGTGCCGATGTCTACGACATCCAAGAACTCAAGGAAGTAGAATGAAAAAGAAGGAAGAAAAAAAAACCCTGACCAGGGAAAAGGAGCGGAAGAGCCGTGCTCGCAGAGCTTGATGCGGCTCGTCGGTAGCCCAACCCCCTTTTCGTCGTCCGAAGCCAAGGGAGGAACGGCCGACGATGGAATAATTTGGCGGTTTAGAGTTGATGGTCGCGTATGTTGCAACGAAGCCTCGCTCAAGAAATGCCTATCCGCGGGGGAAAGGAAGAGCTGAGGAATCGCTTAGAAAGAAGAAGCCATGCTCTGACCCCTAGTTCCGATGGTTGTGGCAGCAACCCCCAGTCCCAAATCCGAGACCAGTGACGTCGTGGGGGTCTGCTTGGTGGTATTCGAGGTCGATGAGGCATGTAACGGAACCCCTCAAAATCGAGTCGCACAATCCGACCCAGGCTGTGGCAGCTTCTTATACGATATACCCAGCACGCCGATCCGAGGGCGGTGAGACCGGAGGGCGAGCTGCAAGGCCCAGCACAAGATCTGCGCAAAGGACAATTTTCCTCCCCAGGACTCCTCCGACGGGTTAGCCGGCAGCCCACGGTTGGGTATGTTTGTGGGGTCGCCAACCTTTCTGCGAGCCGCCGGGGTTGTGCAGGGGACACCGGCAATGACGTTGATGGCGCAACGCTTCTTGTCTCAACCTGCTCAGCCGGATGAACTCGCGCCGTTGGAGAGCTCGGGAGCTCCAATGATCTATCCTTTGGTCCGTTTTAATGAGTGATCAAAATAAGCATGAAGAAAAGCAGGTAGGGAAAGGAGAGAAGGGGAGGACGGGACAAATCGAGACGAATGAACCATACCTTTCCAAGCACTCTCGGCTGCACAGCTGCTCGAGAGCTTTCTGTTGATCAGGGAGAAGCTGACGGCGACCGTGGTTGTCCAAGGGCGGGGGCAAACGCGGTCTCTGCCTCTTACATCTCACGGAAGAGGGTCGAAGTGAGGAATGTGCGACCCGAGGCCTTGATTACTCGAACCCACAAACGAAGAGAGGAATCCAGTAATAATGCCGAGGACAAGTCAACTTACCTTCTTCTCACTATCGGGAACCAACGAGACGGTGCCACTGGGTGCCATCATCACGGAAGGAAACTGCAGAAGGAATGAGAAAGATCGCCGGGGCCCTGTCGAGTGTCGATCCGATGCGACTCTTGTTCAGGGGCTGCACGGGGACACAAGATGCAGGGCCGCCCCTCCATGGCCCACCATTCCGGTTCCATCTCACCGTTTGCGAGGGTTGACGATTGAGGGGCGAGAGGGAAACAGGGCAGATGGTCACCTGCCCGACAAGTCCATCTCCGTTGTCGGTGGACGTTCGAAAAAAAAAACAACAACAGAAGGGATCCGAACAAACAAAGCCTCAACTTCGGCAATGGCCCCACATATTTGTGTTGTCTAACTGCGGGGGACCTTGCCCGGTTTGTCCCCCACGTATTGCTAGTCTACCGGGAAAAAAAAAAAAAAAAAGGAAGGCCTCAAACAGGCGGCAAGAGACGCATTCCCCTGGAATCGACACTTGGAAGAAGGTGCCCCTCGAAGACCCTGGGCTAAAAAAGGCAAGAGGGCGGGACAGAAAGCCGATCACACTTTCCACCCCTGTTGATTCTGAAACGCCCCAGGCTGGGGTAGGGGTCCTATCAAGGCTAGCAAAAACCGCCACTTTATCCAACGGGCTGGTCACATCCCGCATGCCGCATCAAGCATGGTCTTTTGTTGCAGAATGCCATCCGAGGTTTTCGCTTCCTGTTGACAGGTGAATTTCACGGGGCAACATGCACAGAAAAAAAAAAGTTGGCTAAAAAGCCGCCGGGCCGAAGCCGACAGAAAGAGATTGCAATTACCGGGACCTAAATCGAAGAAATAGCCTTTGATCTCTTTCGATTGAGATGCTCTCTCTCATTCCAGCGAAGCGATCTCGTCCCCTGGCGTTCCCCCCAGGGAGAAGGCCCAGCACTCACGGGCCATCCGCTAATCACGACTCCCGTAGACTCGGCCTCCTATTGTTCAGCACAAGGTTGGTAAGGATAACTTATAGAGTACAACATACGAAGATTCAGTACTGTGCTATTTACATGAATCAAATGGCTTCACTATTCAGCCGGCTATACGGATCCGATAGCGCTCTGATGGCTGGCTCTGATGGCACAGTTAAGGGGCAGTTAGGTACCTAGAGCCGTAAGACATGGGTAAGTGTATATACCCGTTTAGGTTTCCTAAGGCAAGGCGACAGCGAAATACGTAACTAGCGATGGCTCGGTGAATCTCGGCGTCTGCACTCTGATTTCCGGACTCGACCAACCCTCGGTACACCGGAGCCGTCCTTGAGCCGGCGGAAGTGGGGCCGTGCCGGATCCGGGGCTGGGCGCCGAGACAAGGATACCAGGCAGTCGGGTGGTGTCAGATTGGATGTGCAAGATCCCGTCCCGCATCCTCAACTATTGCTGGGGACCAACTCAATATGATATGGGTGCGTTTGTATTGGATATTGTACCATCATGCATGGCCGCCTTCTTTCCGTCCTGTTCTGCTCGATCACAGCAAAACATGTATCTAACCACCTGGAATTATTATTGCCAATCATCTGGCTACTCCATCTCACCACAATAGGTAATTACATTAGGTACCCAACTATCATGTACATTCCTCAACCACATCCATAAAACTCAACGACCAGAAAGCAAACCCACCCGTTTATTTCGCAGACCCCCCAAGTCAGATTCAAACACACACACACACACACACACACACCACACACACACACACACACACACACACACACACACACACAGCATGAACCCACACTCTCACAAATCAATAAATGTCATGCATCCTCCCGGGATCTTCCCGTCCCGCAAACGTCGGCAACCTCAGCTTTGTGCCCTTTCCAGGAACACGGAGGCAATGCAAATCAGAAAACTAGCCACCCAATCCAGCTGAAATGCTTCAGCCCATGGCTACAAACCGCTGGCTCGGCTGTCTATTGGCGGGGGATCAAATAACAGAAGTCACAGATATTGGGGGGTGCCATTACTTTCTCCGCTCTGTACCCGCTGGGTGACACCATAGTTGACAACCGTTGACGCTTGACTCGTGTTTTTCATGCGCATAGCTCCCTCGCTCCCCAGCCTTGATTCATATGTTCGAGAGCGCCCTTTCCCTAAAATTTATTTCATCTGTGCGGAGGAAGCTCCGTTAAATTACAACCCCCCCAAGGACAACGTCCAATAATACCGACGCACGACACGTCGACAACAGTAGCGATATTTAGCACAAGACCAAGAATCTATTCTTCTCGCTTGCTACACAACGCAACCTACCAACCAGGCCACCCTTTCCTCATCCACTCATGGTCATGGTCATTCCGTTCCATCACCATTGCCACCCTTCCGGCCGGCCCCCCCAGCCGCTCCATTTTCACACATTACTGATAATACAAGTGAGTACACTGCCCGGTGACAACCCCCCCAACTAAATATACGCAGAAGGGCGTCCGGTCCCGAGACTTTTCCGGCAGAAGAAACGGCTTCTGAATATGGCGCGAGAAAAACTGAATCCGCACCCAAGGTGGATAGGGAAGTAGAAAAGCAGAACCGGAAGAGAAAAGAAAAAGTCGGGTATATAAGACAAGGTGAACGACAGCCAATCAACCCAACCAGCAGAGAGAGAAAAAGACACAAGAAGACAAGTGGTTTCCCGCCAGCCCCCACCCCCCACAACTCCATTTCACGAATGGATAGCACCGTTAACCAACCTTGAAAATAGATAGAACCCGGCCCCTAGACTTGGTTCTGGGGAACAAACGAAAACAAATTGAAAGAAAACACGAGAATAGCGAGCTATTACCACCTCATCACTCAAACCTCCAACACCGCCGGTTTTTGCGGCTCTGCCGCAAACGACGCCCGTTGCCTCGACAAGAGCTGCAATTGGATGGGCGGGCCAGCCGGCGGTGGTGGCGGCGAGGCAGGCGGGGGGCCGACAGGCGGCGGCAGGGGCATGGAAGGTGGGAGCGAGGGCGGGAGTGAAACTGGGAGGGAAGGAGGTGTCTCGGTACTTCGCATTGGACGGTCCTCGGCCGCGACCCTGACACTGCCGCGCACGCCGCGGACGAGCTGGCCGCTCTCGACGCGGTCCTGGATCATCTCGTCGAGCATCTTGCTCATCTCGTCGACGCTCTTGGTGCGCTTGCGGAGGTACGACACCTGTCGCAACAGAGACGGCGCAGCGGGTGGGCTGCCTATAGGCGCCGGGCCGGGGTTGCTGTCGAGGATCTGCGAGGTGCGGACCTCGGACCGCGACTCGACGCGCGACTCGACGCGTGACTCAACACGGTCGGCGTTGTCGCGCGATCGCGCGGCCGTCCGCAGCGCTGCGAGCATCCGGTCCTTGTCATCGAGGCGGGCACGGAGCTCGGCGATTTCGGTATCTTTCTCCCTGATGAGCGTCGCAACGCTGTGATCTTCACCCACCATGATACCCTTTCCTGTCGAGAGGCCGACCGAAGTCCGCGACGAGCTCGCGCGGCGAGCCTGAAGGAGCCGCTTTTCCAGTGTCTGGATGTATCGGTTCTTATCGGCCAGGTCGGCTTGGAGCGCACGGTTCTGCGATGTGAGCGATGCTGTCCCGTCCCCAAACTCGCCCAAGCTATCATCGTCCTCCGCCACGGGTGGCTCCGCGCCGGATGAACGTTGGGAGCGTTGGCTGGCCGATTTCCGCCCGATCGTCGAGGCACTTGAAGTCATTGACTCTGTCCGTTCGAGCCCGAACTTGGTCCCGTTGGAGGTGGCCATCGAAGAACGGATCGACCCTTGCGAGTACCGGGGATGTATGCCGAGGGCGCTGAAGGATCCGCTCGCGTTAACCCCGATCGATTTGGAACTGAGGATGAGCCTGTTGAGGTGATCTATCCTCTCCTTCAGCGCAGTCCTGGCCAGTTGCATTTCCAGCATCTGTTCCTCGTGGCGAAGTTCGGCCTCCTTTTCACGGGCCCGCTCTTCTTCCGCATCGCGCTCCGCCTCCTCGTCCATGTCCTTCTTACTGTTGGCTTTCGCCTGGGTATCGAGTTCCTTCCTCAGCTCCGAGATTTCCATGCGGTAGCGTTCTAGCAGAACTCTGGCGTTGCCATCACCGCCAACACCTAGGGCTTCCTCGGCGCGCTTCGCATGACTGACAATGCTGTTCTTGGCCCGGGAAGCGAATTTGAGCGTGTTCAGCGTTTCGTTTATGTTTGTCGCCGACGCCGCGCTGCCCCCGCCCGGGCCGACTGAGATGGTGCAAAGAATGCTGACGAGCGAATTACCTGATAGGGCTCCTTGCAACAACCTGGTCAGCTTGCTGTCACGGTAAGGCAGGTGCTTGCCGTCCTTGTCTGCCGGCTTCCCATCCTTGTCCTTGTGCTCCGAAAGCTTCGCGATGACAGTGCCGAGGGTGAGCAAGCTCTTGTTGATGTGAGAACCTTCTTGACGGCGTTCTTTCGACTCGGCCGCCTTTTCCGAACCTGCCAAGTCGATCAGGCTCAGTGTCGAAACACGAACACCGCCCGGCAAGAGACCCTGCCGTTTATTGTCGCCCGGACCGGCCGGGACTCGTTCCCTGCTTTCCACAACAATCTGCACAACAGCATGACTCCGGGAACTCCTCGAGTTGAACTGGGTGCTCGCCGTCCGACGAGCTTGGTCACCACGGGCAATCACACGGAGGAGTTGCGTCGGGCTCTGGACGATTTCCTCCTTGAGAGGGCTCGCATAGACTCCCCTTTTGGAGTCCTCACGGAGTTTGATCTCTTCTTGTTGCTGGTTTCCACCATTGCCCGATGCCATGCTCAACAGATCCTGGATCTTCTCGTTGTAGATTTCTAAGTAGCTGACCCGCAGTAGGAACTCCCTGGACGGCGTCTCGCGGATGTAGGAGAAGATGTCGGTAATGGCCAGCGGTATCACACCGGGAGAGGATGCTGTGCCTTGCATCGAGAACGTCTTGCCGGTGCCAGTCATGCCGTAGGCAAAAACGGTGCCGTGGTAACCCTCCATGACTCTACGTACCAATCGTTTGGCGATATGGTCGTAGACCCTGGAGTTGTCATCGTGGGTCGCGAAGACGTTATCTATCGCGAACAAGTTAGCCAGACTCGGAGGATTTTGGTCGCGAGGCGCTTACCGTAAAAGTAGTCTCCTCCCTCTTTCCCCTTGTATGCAATCAGCGATTTCTTCCCGTCGACATCCCATTCCGCATCTGGCCGGTCGTCATTCCCGCCGGCATTCGGTCGCACCCTCACGCTGACAAGCACATTTCCCTTGCCGTCTGTTTTTGACGAGCGCCTTCCGCCCAACGCGGTGTCGGACTTGAACGGCGCTGAATCGTTGACATCGTCATATTGGGTTGCTGAGGTGGAGTAGGAATCCTGGGCAGAGGAGCTGCGGCTTTGAGGCGGAGACGCCACGCTGATAAGACCATCCGAATTCCTCGTGGTTGCTTGTCGCGATATTGACTTGCCGTCGCCAGTGCCGTTGAGAAAGCTCGGCGTGCTATTCGATAATTGATAGGTTGGTGTCGTGGGTGTTCGGGGTTTCCGCGACGGGACGCTGGTGGACAGTGGGCTGGGTGGCAGGCTGGATATTCGGCCATCTCCCCGTGGTGGATGTGGGAAGGAATTTATGCTGACGGTTTTCCTTATTGTCCTGCCCGCAGCATTGATGCCCGACACTGCCCTGGGTTGTGGGTGGGATCCCGCAGTGACGGGTGATGCAGGGGGAAGAAGGCTGGCTGATGGCGCTCGTAGGCCGGTTTTGGGAGTCGCGGGCGTGGATTTGTTGTAAGGAGCTGCTAGATTTCCTGTGCTTTTCCTTGTCTTGTTCATGGGCAATGCTGGAAGTGCGATCGTTGGCGGGCCATTCGAAGGCCGGGCCGGCCTCGGAAGGGCGGTGGACATTCTGGCGACAAGTTCAATGGGCCTCTGGTCTTCCTAGGTAGCGTTCAGGGAAAGGCCCAATGGATGCTGGCTGCACTACAACAAAAGACTTAGTGTGGCAAGGCCCATTAACATCGCATCCGTTCCTTTACTGAGATGTGCTCGAGAGCGACTCGTTTTCTGTTGTCAAGATTGAAGCCAGAATTCGTCCAGGAATGGCTCTCGGCAAACGATGGTGAAAGTCGGGCCAGAAGAGGCCTACGATTGTTGGTCAGTGGCAGATCAAATCGAGCTGCGCGCTTTGCCAGACATACCAGTTCCCGAATTGCTGGCCGTCCCGTTTTCTGTTTGGGCAAGTGTGCGAAACAGAAACAGAAACTGTCCGATTGGGCTGTTGTTGTTGAGGCCTGACCCAAGCTCCGCAGGAAGGCAAGGTGCGGCCAAGGTGTGCGGCCGTTTGCTGACCAGAGTACAAAAATAACGATCGTGTGGTCTAGAAAGCGGTGAAACGGAAAGCGCTGCAAGTCGCAGTTGCTTGTGACGTTGCGCCACGATAATGGGCTGCACTATGCCGTAAACTCGGGAGACTTCCAGAGGGTAGCGCCTCGAGGGCACAGACGGGTTGTACCCTTGGGTGTGGAGGCGGTCGGCGTGCTGAACGAGTGGGGGGGGGACACGGCCCGTTTTGTTCGTCCCTTGCCGTGTGGAATCCCGGGATAATGCTTCAACCCTTGATACAAGTTGCGCGCCAAACTGCGCCCGAGGTGAGCCCGAGTGAAGGGTAAGGTGAATAAGGGAGGAGGGATGCGAGAAAAAAGATCGGACGAGCGTTCGTGGAGTGGCGGGGAAAACAATGGGTGCTCGAGCCAACACGAGGTCCGGCCCTGGCGTCAAGATCTCTCGAGTCTCAGACAGGCGATCGCAGGGACACCGCTCAACAAAAAAGAAAGAAAAAAATAGCGTCGGTCAGGCACCAGAATCGGAAACGAGTGGACGGTCGAGCTGCAAGAGACTGCGGTTCGGCGATGAGGTAGTTTGTTAGGCGAAGTCAACAGACCGTTGTGGGAGACGAAAGGGCGGTTGATGGAGAGGGCGAGATGTAAGAGATCGGATAGAGGGCCAAGGGAGTGTCGTTGAGTCGTCAGACTCGAGGCGTTCGCTGCTTTGCCCACTAGCTGTGAGCAAGAGTCGCAACGCTGCGATGTTGTCTTCCCTCGATCGGAGATGCCCTCTCGCCACCTCGTGGTTGCTGAGAGACGACGGTGGTCTTCGAAGAGGAAAAGCAGGTGGGCAGATCTTTCCTTTTCCCCGTCCCGCCGTGGGATCTCCTCGTCTCCTTGGAAGGTGACTTCTTGTGGCTGCCCCTTGTTTTCCTCCAAAATCCCCTGCCCATAGCACTCTGGTCCCCGGTCCAACCGAGCCGGGCAATTGGCCCTTCTTTCTTGACGAGCAATTTCGACGGACCATCATCGGGCCCCTGCTGATCCCTGCAAGTGCAACCCCGGGGCGGCTTAAGCAGTTTCTGGACTGGACTTCCTTGGCATCGTGGACGAACCAGGGGGTCCAGCAAGCAATTTTGGGCTTGCAGCGAGCTTGCGAGAGCACAACGGCCCCCACGCGAAGGTGGTCTCGACAATCTTTCGAAGCCAGCCCTGAGACTTCATCCTGCGCGATGATGATTTCGGATACAGGCTAGGTGCCTATCTCGAATTAGGGCTACCTACTTTGTACCTGTCTCGCTACCGACAATGCATTCTCTACATATAAAACCGTTGCAATAAATACGGGTCACCTCTCGCGCATAGCGAGGATGAGGAAGACGGCGCCAGAACTGGTGCATCCTTCCGGCAATGGTTGGCCCTGCCGAATCTCCAGGACCAGGGCTTGCAGCTCGACACCAACCAGGCACGCCGGCGGCGCAGAGGGATCAACTTCGCACCCCATCACATCACATCTTAAGCGTTGCATTGGCCCCAATTTTCTCTCATCCTGGGGTGTGCAGTGTGGGGTGCTGAGGAAGGGGTGCTTTTTGCTCTCTCTCATCAGACTGCCGCGCACGCGTTTGGCGGACGCGCGAGTCTCCCCGCGTCGGGCTTCTTGCGCCATTTGACAAAAAGGTGCCCACCTTGGCCTGGTGGCGACGGCCCTGTGATAACACACCACCCCACCGGATCGGGAGCGATGCCGGCCTGAAGCCGGCCCTGAGGAACCGAGAGCCCACAGGTTGCTAGGTAAACCGATCCGGGGAAGTCGCCCAATTCGACCTGGGATCGACAATTTCACAACATGGACAGAATGCGGGCTGTGTCATGTGGCTGCCACGCCGTCACGCCGTTGTCCAACAGCTGTTGGAACCGAGGCTCAACCGGGCTGGAAAAGACATTGGAGGAATTCTGGAGATCATAAATGGAACCGGAAGCCGGCTTCAGGGAAGGAACCTGAGGAACCAGCACCAGCATCGTCGGCACTGAAATGACCGTGCGAGTTCTCGACAAGGAAGAGGCCTTGCACGGCGGTAATGCAGCGCAACCTTTCGCGCAGCGTTGCTTTCCGTTGCTTTCCGCAACGCACAGCTGAGAATCTGAAATGCAACCTGGCAATCGCAAGGTGCTTTATAAATACTCAAAAGGTGTGTCGCTGCGTTGCTTGATTTGTTATAAAAACATGAGAATACGGTACCTCTATTCGGGATTCCCAATGTGGTGGACTGTGTATTATTGACAACCAGTTCCCAACCTGGAATGGAACTCGACCCCCTGAACACCTACAGTGGCCACCGGCTCTGGTCCTCGGTGATCGACGCCAATGCAACCTCTGGCATCACATCCCTAAAATAAACTCGAGTCTCCCATGAAGTAACTCTCCCATCGGCGAGTTCGGTCGTCGACGAGAGACGCTAAAGAAACCGGCAGCTGGCTCCCGGGCCCAGTTTCGCCAGGATGAACTCTTACAATACAACCCCGGCTTGTTTGTTTTGTCACAACAATCAGCCTCTATTGAAACACTTAACCCTTGCGGGAGGGACGGGGTCTGAAGACGGCTGAACGAAGTACATATGCACAGCAAAAGAGGAGACGGCAATGTAGAACTTGCCGTCATGCATGCAAGCGACAGCGCCAGGTTGATTGCGACATACAACCAACCTACTTTGGGTAAGGTGAGTAAATCCGAACAGAGAGACATACTTCGTACAAGCACTTCGTCCAAAGGACGAAACAAGTCCCCACTCGTTCTGGTGGTTTCCCGGAACCGCTCGTTGTTTCAGCTAATCCAACGGCTATCAGATGATTCCCGAAACATTCCTGTACTCAACACTCAAACTCAAAGATCCGGGTTATCGAACCTCACGTTTACTTCTAACGTATGCACTTCAGACTAGGCAACTCGCCAAAAAGCTTCAGGTATAATTCCGTGTCTCATGCTAGAACAAGATGGGGGAACCAATTCTTCAAATCTTGCGTTTGGGTTGACACATTCGAGCCCGCCTTCAGGGACCTGGAACTGCACGTTGTTGATAGGTTGATCTGTCACTTCATCCTTGTCGGCTTTCTCTCCGTCGTCTTCACCATGTATCTGTAGCGTCCTCCTCCGCTAGTGACCAATAGGAAGGATGATGGCGGACGATATTCGAACGAGGCTTCAGAAGCCACGGCAATTAAGATTCCTGACAAGCAACTTAAGCAAGACAAGTTATGTTTTGTTTCGATTGAGGTTCCAGAAGCCGTTCCGTCTATATGACACACACCAAGACCACAGTGCAGCCAGTTCCCATATTGCATAAATCGGGTGTTTCAGGCATGCGGTTGTCTTATGAAACGCCTACTTGTACACGGGAAGGGATTGCATGAACGAATGTCTGGTACTCATCCCAACTTCCCCGGGTAACGGCATTGCTGTGTGAAAAGTCGGACCCTGGACCCAGAACCCAGGGTCTGGAACGGGAACCTGCATATGGCTTCAGACGATTGAAGCCTCAGCATGTTCCACAGAACAGAGTGTAGCTTGCTATCAGAGAGGTTTGAAGAGTTGCCTTCTCTCCCATACTGCTCTCCGACGTCTGAGATATTTCTAGCATCAGAATGGCAGGGACAGCCTGGCCAGCAGTACCGTCCTCCCACATCTGAAGGAACCCTCGCAGCAACAGGAGAACATGCCTTCTTCGTCGCAGGCATCATATGATCCAGGAGTCCAGTAGGTCAGACCAAACGCACGCCACGCCCGACACTCCGCGTCTCAAAAACCTCAACTATGCCGGCACCCACGGCTTCCCGGAGCACCCAGTCGAAAGCCAGCCCCTGAAACTCCTTCCACTTCTTCGTCCGGCCCGGCACGACGCCGGTAAACTCGCCCCTCGTCTTCTTCGCCAGAGCCACCTCGCTATCACCGACAACGCCGCCGTCCCACTTCTCGCGGAGATCCGACTCGGACAACTCCCGGTACTGAGTCTTTCGAAGTAGGTCCGCAAGGTGTTCCAGCGCCGCCGAGACCAGCTTGATAAACACGCCACTCCCGGGCACCGCGATGCGGAACCCACCGGACGCCGCCCAGGCTCCAGCTCCAGCCCCGACCGGGCCCGTCATGTTCCTCCTTCCCGTGCCCCCAGCCGCATGCAGCACCCCCCGCCCCCCCGCCGCCGCCACCGACCCAGCGGCAGCTCTAGCCACCGTCTCTAAGCTAATCATCGCATACCTCTCCTCAGGCCGCGCCCTCAGCCCAACCCCCGCACCCCCCTCATTCACCACGGTCAAAAACCCCCGCCCTCACCAACGCATCCACCTCCCTCCCCTCAAACAACCCTTCCTCTTCCGCCCCTTCACGATCAAAACATGCCCACCCTCCCCGGATGCGCCCTCAGCCACCCCACAAGCTCTCCCTCACCCCCTCCCCCAGCGCCACACACCCCATCACCATCCCCTCCAACGCGTGGGCCCCCACCCACCAGCTTCCCCCGGCAAAACCAAAACCTGGCCACCCCCCTTACCATCACCACCGTCCAATCCCACCACGCACCACCGTCGGGAAGCACCAACCTCCGGCACCTCCCCGCGCCGCTCCGCCGCAGCGAGCGCCCTCTCAGCAGCGGCGGGGGAGGAGGAGGAGGTGGAGGAGGAGGATGTGGATGTTCCCGAAGAGAGGAGGAGGGTGTGCAGGTGGGAGGCGGAAGTGAGCGGGGGGAGGGCGGCGCGGAAGTGGTGGATGGTGGCGAGCAGCGTGGTGTGGATGCCGCGTGCGGGGAGCGGGGGTGAACATGGTTTGGAGGGTGAGGTCGTGGAGGTGGAGGGGGGTTGTTGTTGGTGGTGGTCGGGGTTGGGATAGTGATGGGGTGGGGAATGGGGTGGGTGTGGGTGTGGGTGTGAGTGTGAGGGAGTTGGAGAGGGATGATGGGGTGGGGAGGGGGGCTGGGCCGAAGTCGTCTAGTTTTTGGTGGTGGCTTTGGCTGCTGTTGTTGTTATCGGTGTTCGAGTGCGGCTTGGATGGGGCGGTTGTCCCAGGTTTGGTTCGGGCTAATGAGGCGGCCCATGATGAGGTTGTGGAGGAGGAGGAGCGCTTTGTGGTGGTGGATGGGGCTCGCTTCTTGACGCGGGAGCCGCCGAGGATGGAGCGGAGGGTCATGGCGACGGTAGGTTTGGTGATGCTGTGTTGTAGGTTGTAAGTTCCAAGTTGTATGTTGCAAGTCGTTGGGAGTTGCCGGAATGAATCCGGGAGGACGGGAGTCCCGGGTAGTGTTCACGTGTGTTCAAAGATGTATCACGGAAAACCGCCCATCAACGCCAGGGCGCCACAAGGCAGCAGCCTCCCCGTCCGTCCCTTTCCACCTTTCTGCAGTTCATGCAAGGGCGCGGCCCACACCGAGACTTGCCACAACTGCCAGAAACATGTCGGAGCAAACTCTATGATTGGTTGAAAAAGCCCGAGGATTGTCGAATCATTTGCATCTTCAAGCTTGGATAGGGGCACGAGTCATCATCTATTTTCTTTTCTTTTTTTTTTTTTTTTTTTTTAAAAAAAAAAAAAAAAAAAGAAAAAGAAAGGGAAAAAAGTCAAGCTCCAAGTGTAAATGCCGATGAAACTTTCGATCAGAGGAACGAAATAAAAACTACTCAGAAGCTAAAAGTCCACTTCTTATGTAATTTAGTTTCTTGTTTTTTTCTGCTTTCTTCTTGCTCCCCTTTTGAGTTCAGCTTTCTTTAACCAGAGGGTATCTCATACGCTATGTAGCACACACACCAAGACCGTTTTACAACAACCACAACTCGGTTTAAAAAAACAGTTTATATTTGGGATCTATAGGAATGCCCTACTTTTAGGTACTCTGCTTTCGTCAGGATAATGCGAAATCCCATAAAGAAGACAATAGAGTACTTGGAAATGTATGGCAGCTTGGGACAGAACCATCCCCCCATAGCTCGTATTTGAACCCGATCAAACACGTTGGGGAAGATATGGGGGAAGTCGTTCGTAAGGATTTCTTAAGGCTAGCTGTGGTAGGGGAGGCGTAGGGTTGGTATACCAGACATGGAAGCCCTGTCAAATGGCTACATGTTTTTTATATTCTATTTACAAACTGTATTTGTTCTAACCGAGTCGTGATAGTTGCAAGGCGGGTGGTGGTCATGCGGGTGGGTGCCAACATGGAAGTATAAACATTTTTATTATCATTATTATTGCTGTATAAAAGCTGCTGACATGAACCCCATCACAATGCCCACGCCGATGCCGATCATGAAGTTGTAAATACCCATGATGAGGATGATCGTCACCACGGTGAAGTACTCGACAGGCTTCAGTGTCTTCCGCGGCAGCCACACAGCCTCACAGAGCAGCTCGAATCCGAGGTCAAATATGAGTACGCCGACCATCATGACAGGAATGAAGCCGATCAGCGAAGGGCCGATCAACATGATAAGAAAAGTAAACACGGCCAGCTCGATTCCAGCAAGCCGAGAGTTCCCTCCGGAGCGCATGAAGAGTAGGCTGTTGGAGTAGACGAGATAGTTTTGTATGCTACCGGCCAGCCCGGACAGGAAATTCGAGTAGCCGTGTAGCTTGAGCTCATGGTCCACGTCGACGTCATCTTTGCCCAGGTTGAGGGCGAGGGACGGGACGTTGATGGGGACATGGAGGATGGAGAAGAAGGTCAGGGCGAGCATTGTAGGGAGGCAATGCGCAATGGCTCCCCAGTGCACTTGGTCCAGCTCTGTGATATTGTCAGCCACTTCTCCGTTCCTGTTCTGGAAGAGAGTGTATATGCATCCTTACTGTACAGCGTATAGAAGTGCCACCAAGGCTCATCTGCAGGTGGACCGGTGAACACCCAACCCCGCCTTCTAAGGCGGTCCAGGTTTGGCTCGTTCAATACCCCAGTTAATGCGTAGAAGGCTGCGGGGATGGCGAGGATATATAGCGAGAGAAAATATTTGGACCGGATTCTGGGCTGGCCATAAAATAAGATGACACCAAGTGTAAGAGGGATGATCCAAAGGGGGACGGTGTCAGCCTGCACGAGGCGCTTGAGCGTGTCCAAGTCGTACTTTAGGCCGCCGTCCATCCGCGCAGTCACGTCGAATCCCGTGACAACTAGGAACCACCCGACGCCCCCGATGCATCCGAGTAGAATGTGATGGGGAATGAAACTAATGAGATAACCAGCTTTGAATTTGGCCATCAGATAGAACAAGGCACCCGTAAACATCGAGCTCAGTGCGTACGAGGTGATGGTGGTTGCGATGACGGCGTCGGGTTTGTCTTCCCCAACCGTATTGGTGATGGTGGCAGCCATGTTGTGGAAGAAGGGCACGACTTCGATCTGCCGATGGTGAGACAAGTGTTTGGTACGTTTCGTTAGGAGAATCAGTTTGTGGAAACTTACCAATTCGGAGCCAACTCCGCCCTTGAAGATGCTTCCCGTCGAAATGGTCAACTGCGAGATGATGCAGCTCACGTAGAACATTGAGATCCCTGCAGACCCCAAGTTCGCAAAGATGGGGTTTCCCAAGGGAAACAAAATCATACCTGCGTCTAGTCAGTACGCAGACAAACTAGTGTGATGCCAATGGAAACTCACCATATGACAAGGCATCCAAGATGTTGAGAAGCAGGCCGACCACGACGGCCGGAAAGCAGGCCACTGGAGCGACAACAACATTATCCCAGAGCGCGTTGCGGTCCCAGTGCTTCGGGTTGCTGACAAGAGAGAGAATGCTGGCCATTCGGCTTCCGAAAGACTCCCTCCGGGCCACGCCCTTTTGGCTTTCTAGATCAACACATTGGGCATCCTCTTGTGAGCTTACGGCCAGCAATGGCGATGTTTCGTCTACCTCAGATGCGTCTCCGCAGGCAGCCACGAGCTGGGGCTCGGCGATGGAAAACATCTTTTGCTAACTTCCTTAGGTCATAATTTCAGCTTGCCGCTTTGATCATGCCAAAATCTGGTTGAACAGCCCCAAGGGTCTGGCGATGAATGTTTGGTTGGAATTGTATAAGTTCGACGTGGTCGTGGTATGGGACGAAAGATGGGATGATGGGACGATGCAATAAAAATTGACTTTAAGCATGTGCCTAGTGGAGACGCGACTGTACAATGTCGCCTCTCGAAACTTCCACTCGGGTGGCAAAGAAAATCCAGCTGCAGGTTGTGTTGAGCTGTGTGGGCCTAGACCTGCGCGATCCAGCCTGCGCGCGGACCGTCCCACCCACCTGTGTATATCCGTGCCATGCATGGTTGGGCAATGCCTGCTCTCTCCTCATTCATACATGGCAGGTATCAGCGGGAAAGATGTCTTCATCTTCTGGCGTCATTGTGACGCGAGCTTCCATCAACCAGTAGCGTCCTGGCCTCGCGCTCTCACATAGCCATGAGGCATTGTATTTTAACCGGCAACCCGTGGGGGGATGATGACTCGATCATGACCGGTGCTGGGGTAGATTTTCGCCCTTCGTCGTGCGGCTCTCCTATGCCGGACCTTTTATCCCGTGAGAGGTTTCCCTCACCGTAGGGCACGGCCTTATTCTTCGTTGAGAGCAGGCTTCAACCAAGTTTTTGCAGGTAGCCTTGGGCTATTAATCGCTCCACGTCGCCTTGCCGGACATAGAACTGGCTATTTTTCGTCAAGTTGATAGCACTGTAGTCCGAATTAGTTCCGCCTTTTGGACTAAGGTCACTCACGACGGCTGAGGAAGGCTTGTTACCCATATTCTGTTTGGATCTCTCCCGCATCTTTGAGCACCCGCACATCGATGAACAGGTCCCTTGGCGGCTCGAGGCTCCCCGTCAAATCAATGTCGGTCCATTGCCCCTTATATGCTGATAACAGGTCCCCGTATTGTCGAAAATAGTCCTCCTCCTGTGGGCTAAGACTGCTACCAGCTCCGCTGTCCGCAGCAGCGCCATTAACGCCGCCTGCTTGTTGGCCGGCGAGGTCGAGAACGTCGGATCCGTTCCAAACCAGCTCCTCCAGCTTGTCGGTACGCGTCCGGTGGTAGGCAAGAAGGCAGCGCTTGTTCCTGCGCATGGACAGGTGGTTGACTAATAGGGTGCATGCCGTGGCCTGGTCGGTGGACGGGTCGAATGACCCTTGGAACGGCTCAAGCAAGCTCGCCACGTCCTTGTCCAGATCCCGGACCTCTCGAGTTACGGCACGGACAAGTTCAGTTTGATATGGCGGCAGATGCGTCAAGTTCTGTGTCCGTTTTGCATGTTGGACCTGTGAACGGTGTCAGTGATGATGTGAGGGGCACAGGGTTCATTCGACGAGGCGAGAGGGGGGGGGAGGGGTTGCAGACCAATTTGTTGCCTAAGTCTCCGTACATCGGCATCTTGAAAAAAAAAAAAAAAAGGTCCTGTCTTGATACTAATTCCTGGTTTGACGCGTCCAGGCTCAAGGATCGAGGCGGTTACCTCAACTTCCAAACGGTGAGAGGACAAGGGTAAAGTCGCGCCGCGTCGGGCTTCCCGCGCTGCCGCCCCGCCTGGGTAAGAAATCAATTGGGTAACACTCCTCGTATGTCCCCACCTTCCTATGTTGTCTCGAACTTGAGACGAGATGGGCAAGTTTAGTCTTATTCGCTATTCTCCTTCGGTTGGAGCTTGATCAGATTATATTGGGCGCTGGTTAATGCACCGATTTTCTAGAGTATATACCTTCACCCACGTCATGGCCATACTCAAAGTCATTCATTGTTCGTATTATTTGAGATACCTATGGAAAGCCCTTTGCCATAGACACAGCATCCACGCCGGGGATCTCATTTCTCTTGTTCCCACGCTAACCGGAGCCCAGGAATTGGCCTGGGGTGCCGTGGCAAGACTGTCATCAACCTACCTAACCCCTTGATTGCAATGCTTCGAATCCAGAAACCGCTTGGTTTAGTCTCCTCCCCTCTCGAGGCCGCGAATCACGGCTGCATTACGCTCGAACGAAATGTAACTTGATGACGACCGCCTAGACAGACAACAGAGAACCTATAGACAAGAGCGATTAGCGGAGAGTTCCACAACATCATTCAATTAATCTCGGGTCACAGGTATAAAATCAGAAACGCATGTCAATGCTGGGGTTTGTCGTCATCTGCAGGTCTTGAGGCTGCTTGGTAACACGGACCAATATAGATCATCAGGAAAAGAGAGGGTGTGATGTTGCGAAGTACGCATACATTCGAGTGGGTGAAGAAGAGTAAGTACGTACCGTTGGGAACATCGGGTTCCAAGTGTTGAGGATGCCCGCTGCCAATTGGCCATGGGGAGCTTCAAACCATCCTCCGCGCATCCAGAAAATTGTGAAAGGGAAGATGAAGAATTTGAGAATCTTGAGCTTTAAAAAGTCAAGAATGGGAGCACGGACCTGCCTGAAGCGAAAAATTTGATAAGATAAGGGGAAAGGCGTGCGCCCCCTGGCCAAAGAAACATGAACTCCTAGTGCGGGTGTCGACGAAACCTCCGACTATGGGAACAAAATGGAAAGAAAAGCCTCTCGGAACCCTAAAGTCGGTGTTTTTTTTTGGTTTTTTTTTTTCTTCTTTGGCAAGAATGAGTGGTATTGTGCTGTTTATCCGTTTTTATGGTACAGAAGCTATGCGCCCGCCACCTGGGAGATGCTCTTTTAAACTCCTTGTGAATGCTCCTTTTCTCTCACTGCGAGGTTCTGTTTCTCACCAACGAAACAGTGACCCCAGCTTAAATACAGATTATACAATTTCATATACAAATCCACCGTCGTAATTCATCAGTATAGCAACTTCAAGCCTCTTCTTTCTCGGCATTGTGCTGCGCGGTAATACTCAACCCGCTCTTGTCCTCGTTCAGCGCTACGACAGCGTTGTCGCCCGTCTTGACCTCGCCGCGAATGATCTTGTCGGCTAGACCGTTTCCGATTTGTGTCGTGATGAGGCGGTTGAGCGGGCGGGCGCCGAACTTGGGGTCGTAGCCGCGCTCGGCGAGCCACTGGCGCACGTCGTCGGGCACGGTGAGGGTGATGCGGCGGTCGTCTAGGCGCGCCTGCAGCTCCCGCAGCCGGATGTCGACGATGTCGCGCAGCGCGCTGAGGGCGAGCCGCTTGAAAACGATGAAGGAGTCGATGCGATTGAGGAACTCGGGCGGGTAGTGCGAGGCGACCACGTCCATGACGGCGTTCTTGACCTTTGGGTGGATATCGCCGTCTTCGGTTTCCTGGTAGGGATGGATCGGGTCGGCGCCTACGAGGATGTCGGCGCCGAGATTGGAGGTCAGAACGATGATGGTGTTGCGGAAGTCGACCTTGTGGCCTTGGGCGTCAGTTAGGTAGCCTTCGTCAAGGACCTGCAGCAGTAGGGCTGAGATGTCACGATGCGCCTTCTCGAACTCGTCGAATAGAAGCACCGCGTATGGTTTGCGCCGGACGGCCTCTGTCAGTTGACCGGCGTCTTCGTATCCCACGTAGCCAGAGGGGGCGCCGATGAGCCGTGAGATGGTGTGCTTCTCTTGGAACTCGCTCATATCGAAACGGACAACGGCAGTCTCTGTGGAAAACAGGAAGCTAGCGAGTTTTTTGCACAGCTCCGTTTTGCCGACGCCCGTCGGACCGAGGAAGAAGAAAGATGCGAGAGGCCTGTTTTCGCCGCTGAGGCCTGCTCTCTGCATCCGTACCGCATCCGCAACGGCCTTGAGTGCCTCATCTTGGCCGCGGACCGACTCCCGCAAAATATCCTCCATGTGAATGAGCCTTTCAGTGTGCCCGCTCGTCAGCTTCGATATCGGGATACCGGTGATTCTCGAGACGACGTTGGCTATGTCGTCGGCCGTTACCGAATCGTGGATCAGAGTGGTCTCGCCTTCTGCCTTCTCGCCTTCTTTTGGTAGCTTTTGCTCGAGGGTGGGGATGGTGCCAAATCTCAACTCGGACGCCTTTGCGAAGTTGCCATCTCTCTGCGCCATCTCTAGCTCAACCCGGGCTCTATCGAGCTCGGCTTGCGTTTGCTTGATGGCGTCGATTTCAGCCTTTTCTCTCTCCCACTTGTCCGTCAGAGCCTGTTCCTCTTCCTGGCACTTCTTCAGGTCGGCCTCGAGTTTCTCACGCCGTTCCTTGCTTGCGATATCCTTTTCTTTCCGTAGGCTCTCAAGTTCGATTTGGATCGTCATGATCTTCTGATCGAGGCTTAGAATATCTTCGGGCTTGCTCTCTTGTTGTAATCTCAGCGAGCTAGCAGCTTCGTCCATTAGATCGATTGCTTTGTCGGGGAGGAAGCGATCGGTGATGTAGCGGTTCGAGTAGGTTGCAGCGGCAACGAGCGCCCCGTCGGTGATGCGGACGCCGTGGTGGACCTCATATTTTTCCTTGATACCACGGAGGATACTAATCGTATCTTGTACCGTTGGCTCACCAACCAAAATCGGTTGGAACCGCCGGGCTAGAGCAACGTCCTTCTCAATTTGGCGGTACTCGGCAAGAGTCGTGGCGCCGCAGCATTGCAGTTCTCCCCGCGAGAGAGCAGGCTTCAAGAGATTCGATGCGTCGATGGAACCCTCGGCCTTGCCCAGTCCGAGAAGAGTGTGAAGCTCGTCGATGAAGAGGATAACCTCGCCGTTCGCTTGTTGGACCTCGGTGAGCACCTTCTTTAGCCGTTCCTCGAAGTCGCCCCTGAATTTTGCGCCGGCGATAAGAGAGCCTAAATCAAGGGTGATGACCCTCTTATTCTTGATACTCTCTGGAACAGCCCCCCGCACGATCTCGAGGGCCAGCCCTTCAAGAACGGCAGTCTTGCCAACACCGGCGCTTCCAATGAGCACAGGATTGTTTTTAGTTCGGCGAGAGAGAATTTGTATGGTGCGCTGTATCTCAGCCGACCTGCCGATAACAGGATCCAGCTTTCCCGCCTTCGCCCTCGCCGTCAAATCGACTCCATATTGTTCAAGCGCCGGTTTCTCAGGTTCGCCTCCGAGGTTCATCCGGTGGGTGCCGCCAGGTGGGTGTGGCCTGCCATTGGAATATCCTCGAGACGTAACGATCGGTAGGATGCGTAGAGAATTTGCTGCCGCCGTTAGTCGCGGGGTAACTATGAGGGCGCTTGGAAATTGGCGTTGTCGCAAAGCGCCCCTCTCAGCGGCCGCAAGACGCCGGGAAGCAGTTCTTAGGAGTTGTGTTCTGGCTTGCATTTTACAAAATCCCCTCTACAAACAGGAAAAAAGAGTTGCATTGATGTGTATGCGTTGAAGCAAAGGTGTACTGCACACCTTTAAGCCAACTTTAACATCTAGAGGCTGTGGCGATGTCTAGAGAAGCGGTCATGACCTGGTTGCAGTTGCGCCAAAGAGCTGGAAGCTCCGACGAAGCTCTCGGGGTTTCCATAGACCCACCACGCCACCTTCTGGCCAAAAAAGGCCGGACTCAGAAAGGGAGCAAGAAATGAAGAAAAGAGAAAAGAAATAAAGGAAACCGAGCAAAATAAATAAAGGAAAGAAACGGGGTAAAATAAGAAAATCTTGACTTTGGGAATTCCGAGCCGCTTTCTTGTTGTTCCTATAGTCCAAGGCTTTGGCGGCACCTACACTCGGTGTTCGGATTTTATAAACGCCACTATTTGGCAATGCATACATGATACATCTAATGCTTGTGTGTGATCGCGTGACTGGAGACAGCACCTGCATTCTGCAGAGGAGGGTATTCTCAGACCTTTTCAGCCTTGCCGGACAATCAATTCCAGTAGGGCGAGGCGAATGTCTCACATGCAATGCCATTGCTGGGCAGTCGAATGGGAATGGGAACTTGAACCGAAAGCCATGAAGTATGGAACACGGCGGTTTCCGGTCCCTCGGTAAGTTAGGCCATATTTGACCTAGCATGAACGTCATCACATCGGTAAATGAGTGAACAAACCGTAGAGAAAGGCTGAAAACCGCGAAATTGACTTTGATAATTACCAGCTGAATTTACAGGCCTCACTCTTCCCTCACTCCTCTCTCCAAACCATAAGCACATCCCCATTAGACGTCCCTTCCCCCGACCCAACGCCCCTTCTCCCCTCTAGTCCTTTCGACATGGCAGACACGACGAGCCACTGGGGCCAGACTCGGGATAACGGAAAGCAGTGAATGAACTGTTAGTCTCCCTGACGAGTGTATCAAATTGTACATGATTCCAACCCAGTTGCGCCCCTCCGTCTTTCCGAAAAAAGTGACCAGAGTTTCAGAATGAGTGTCGGCCACCCTCCCTGCTTTCATCTTCTCATTCATAAGCGGTCATCACGATGCATGCACCAACCGCAAACGATTCATGGGCTAGTCGACTGTTTGCTTAACCGGGGTTATCTGATAGAGCACAATCGAGCCACGCTTGTCTGAGGGGCGAGGAAAGCCGGTCCCCGGCGTCTCAAGGGCGCCTTAGTTTCTCGACTTGATTTCCTGGGCAAGCCAGTCGAGACCCTCGAAGAGACCGTCACCCGAGGTGGCGCAAGTGGATTGGATGTACTGCGGCACAGTTAATATCGGCAAAGTTATGCGGCAATGATACGGGGTAACGTACCCAGGTGCGTTGCCGCAGGCTGTGGAGACCGAGCTTGTCTGTGATCTCGGCAACGCTCATGGCATTCTGTAACAGGGGTCAGCAACTCGTTGGCGAAATGGCAAAAAAAAAAAAAAGGACCACTCACCGGCAGATCCTGCTTGTTGGCGAAAACCAAGAGAAGGGCGTCCCTCAGCTCGTCCTCGTTCAGCATGCGCTGCAGCTCTTCGCGAGCCTCGGGCACACGATCACGATCGTTACTGTCGACGACGAAAATGATACCCTGGGTGTTCTGGAAGTAATGTCTCCACAGAGGACGGATCTTGTCCTGGCCACCGACATCCCACACGGTGAACTGGATGTTCCGGTACTCGACGGTTTCGACGTTAAAGCCTTAAAAAGCAAATTCGTTAGTCTCTTGCTCAGCCAAGCAGGCCCGGTAAGCGAAGCGGGTTCCTCGGCGGCCGCAACGAAGGAATGGCGTACCAATGGTCGGGATGGTAGTGACGACCTCGCCCAGCTTGAGCTTATACAAAATGGTGGTCTTTCCGGCAGCATCAAGACCAACCATCAGAATACGCATCTCCTTCTGCTTCATGAGCAGGGAGAGCCATCCCCACATCTTAGATCCTCCTATGCCCATGTTGGCGGTGTTGAAGGGTGGAAACGGAGAATGAGGTAAGGTTAGGGGTGATCTGTTGAAAAGCGAGTGTAAGTGAATGAGCAAGCAATAACCTAAACGCGGACGTGATGAAGAAGGCTCGGTTGGTTTGTCGGGACGGCGTGGTGTCGTGACACAAAGAAGTCGGGGGTTGGGATGGAGGTTTAAGAGGTGATGCTGACTGGCGTGATCTGAGGACAGATATGCACAGCGCGTCGACAGGGAACGGCCCAAGGCATCCCAGGCCGCCAGGAAGAAAGACCAACAGCCCGGCGATCGGTATCCAGCAGGATTGGAGAACAGCACGCGCTGCCCGGGAGCACGAGCCGCGCAAGACTTTCAATGGTGGGTTTGGGGCCTTCCAGGGACCGGAGGTCTTTGACAGAGGGCGGCACACCGAGGCAGAATCCCGATGCCGCGATCCACGGGCGAGGAGTCGGTCGACAGAGAAAGCGACTTACTATTCCGGGTTGATCTCGTAAACAGACCGAGATGGCGACGCGGCTAATTACCGTCAAGTTGAGCGCTGGCTATGATGCTGCGATGGCGGTGTGGAAGGAAAGCCTTGGGGGGGGGGAAACGGATTGGATTTTGAAAGTTGTTCTTGGGCTGAGCAAGGCCAGGGAAGGCAGTCACAGGGGGGCGCTGGGGCGGTTCCATCCAGGAGCATACCATGGCCCGTGCACAATACCTCAAGGGCACCTTATCTGCAGGGCCCTAGGCAGAGATTGGCTCTGCTTGCCACCACCCGCCACCTGTACCGAGCTTGTACTGGGTTGCCTGGAACAATATTGGGCCGGGGCACCTCCTTTTCCCATCTGGGGGGACCAGCGGGGGCCTCGTTTTCACAAGCTGGCCTGGCACGCACGCGCACTGTCTCACTGCAGTTGGCAGCCAGCGCAGCCAGCCAGCAGGCATCCTTGTAATCCTGCGACCAGCAACCAGCGAACCAGTCTAGCGCCAAAATCGCCAAGGTGGCCTTGAATCCCTGAAGCAGCCTCCCGAAAAGGAACTCCACACAGGAAATCTGGCATCTCGACGACGACGTCCACGCGGCCACACGACGAACCATTAGGCACCATGTTTCTACGAACGGCAGCAAAGCTGCTGCTGTCGGCCAGCTTGCTGCTAGGCTCGGCAGTAGCGCACAACATTGCGCTCCCGGCGCATGGGCGCGAATGCTTCCACGAGAGTCTGCATCGCGGCGACAAGATGACGGTGACCTTCCAGGTCGGCGACCGGGAGTTTGGCAGTGCTGGCAACCTCGACATTGACTTCTGGGTATGGAATTCCACACGCTGTGTCCGGGGGACAAACATGCTTTTGTTTTCTGCTCCCCCAGAAACCCGACTGACCTGTGCCCCCTTTCTCCAGATCACCAACCCGATGGGTCAGTACGAAGCCAACGACAAGGCCGTGTCCAACGGCGACTTCACCTTCGACGCCAAGCACGACGGCAAGTACGTGTACTGCTTCGGCAACGAGCACTGGGGCGCGTCGTCCAAGGAGGTGTCGTTCAACGTGCACGGCGTCGTGTACGTGAACGAGGCGGACGCGCCGCAGGACCCGCTCGAGGTCGAGGTGCGCAAGTTGACGGAGCTGCTGGAGCTGGTCAAGGACGAGCAGAGCTACATCGTCGTGCGCGAGCGCACCCACCGCAACACCGCCGAGAGCACCAACAGCCGCGTCAAGTGGTGGAACGTGTTTGTCATTGCCGTCGTCATCGGCGAGAGCGTGTTCCAGGTCTGGTGGCTGCGGAGGTTCTTTGAGGTAGGTTGACCCTTTCGTCCTTACCTTCTCCACGAACGGGATATGAGCGGAGTGGCTAATATGGCTTGCTTCTCGAATTAGGTCAAGCGGGTTGTTTAATTTACCTTGCCTATGCATAGTGATATCGGCGGGCTGGCGCAGGATCGGGGGTCGTTCGAAAGGGAAAAGGGACCTGGTGTTTCTGTTTGGCGTCTTGGATGAAGCATGCACCATCCCCCGTGTACGGCTCTGTACGATCAAATCAATACCTACATGAAAATGGGCCGGAGGCATCGCCGCGTAGAGGGCACGCTACGATAATACGATCATCTACGATTTGACCACTTCAGCTGCCACGGCCTAGTCATTACCACAACAATGACAACTCAGCATTCTGACAACAACGATCTCGTCATTCTAATATCTCGAACCATGCAGCTTGCCAAAGGACTCGCAGACGGTACACATAAAATCGTATTTCAACATCGGTATACACATGTATAAACATCGCCATCACCCGTCTCATCAACGTCGCGCAGCATATCCTGTATCCCATGTACCCAAACGCCAAGTCCCAAACAGAAAGAAAACAACAAAACAAACGATACCTCCCCCCCCCCAATCGTATTAACGAACCACAACCCCACCCATCCCATCCCCTAAGCAGTTAAGCAGCAGGATCCCACTCCGGCACCGCCAGCGGCGCCTGCTGGCGCTGCACGGGCAGCTCGACGTCCTTCACAGGATGCAGCAGCATAGGCGGCAGGCACATGCGGCCCTCACCACCGCGCATGGTGCCAACGGTCGTGTCATTGGCACTCATATCAGCGGTCATCTCAAACTCCTCGCCGCCATCATTGTTGACGCGCAGGCCCATCCAGCGGCGGTACAGGTTGCCCGAGAAGCCGGCGTTGTAGAACCACGTCAGGCCGCGCATGTTGTGCTCGCGGTCGCCGTACACCGACGCGCGGCCGCCGCCCGAGGCGCCGTTGCGCCCGCCGTTGAGCACGCGCGCCATGTAGTCCGGGGGCCAGGCGCGGTCAACAAAGACCGGGTGGGGCGCGAAGACGGCCTTGAGGCCGTGGTGCAGGGCGACGGTGGCGGGCCACATCTCCGGGAAGGCGTGGTGCTTGCGGAAGGCGGTCTCGCGGTGCATGGTGACCAGCAGGCGGCGCGACATGCGCGAGGCCGTGATGATCTGCGCGCGCCGCGGCGGCTTGCCGTTCCCACCCGTCTCGTTGTAACCCGTAATGTCGTCGGCCAGCTTCCACGAGGTGCCGTCCGGGTCGAAGATGGGCGAGAGCGTGAGCAGGTCGGCCTCTTCGCCCACCCCCCACGTGTATTTGTCGCGCTCGTAGGTCGTGGGGGGCTGCGGGTCGGCGTCGTGCTCGAACCAGTCGGACGAGGACACCGGGCGGAGAGGGCCCCACACGGATTGCTCGGTTGCCCCGGCTCCGGTGTTGGGCTTCTCACCGGGTTTGTTGGCACCTGGGATCCCGTTCCAGATGGTGTCGGCGTTTACGGTCCCATGTTCTGTCTGCACGCGCGCCATCTGCTTGAAGTCCTCCCAGCTGCCATGCACGTGGGGGATGTAGAAGCGCGAGTTGCGCTCCCAGAGACCCTTGCGCGGCTGCTCCTTGGCCCATGATTCCATCTTGGAGAGAAGGTCGTGGTAGTGGCCTGTGTAGCGGATGTCCATCTCCCACTGCCAAAAGTGCTCGTATTCAGGGTGGTTGTAGGCAAAGTGCTGCATAGCCATCTGCAAACCACGGTATGAGCCGTGCACGGGTAGGTCGGGACCCCTAGTCCAAAGATCACGAACGCCCTGGTAAACGGCAAGCATTTGGGTCTCGGACCAGAGAGTGGCGATTCCGCGGAATTCCTCGGGGATAGTCTCGTTGATGCGGCTGCGGTAGACGTCGTCGTCGGCCCACACGGGGTTTTCTACCGTCATTGCGCACTTGGACGAGAAGATGAACGTCATAGCGGCCGCCGGAAGAAAAGCGACAACTCTGAAATCAAGGCTCTGAGGTTGACAATGTTCCTCTTCCCTCCAGTTGAACTCGTCCCAGCTTCGGAGGACAAACTGCGGTTCTAGCAACGTCGCCGTGAGCCTTCTCACTCGCGGGCTCGGCCTGCTCGGTCTGTTCGACCTGTTCAGTCTGCTCAACCTGTTCGACCTGCTCGGCAGAGTCACGGGCCGCGAGCCGAGAAGTCTCCAGGCCCTCACCGATGAAGAAGCCGCGGGGAGGGGCATCACGCACAACCAGCGGCTTGAACCGCTCGGCATTGGCCTTGTAGCATTGCCGTTGCACAGCAGCCCAGTCGATATTGCGCCAATCAACTTGCTTGGTCGACCCCCAGACTGCATCAGCGCCTTCCCGGTCGCCATGTTCACCCAAGCCGAGGCCGCCGGTCCGGGTGGAATAGCCGTAACCATACGGCCCGTATCTGCCGAAGCGGTCAAAGCAGATGTCCTCAGGGAGCGAGAGCAGCTCATAGGAGCCGAGAATGTTATCCGGGAAGCCGTTGGGACGGCCCTGCAGGTAGCGGATGGAGGGCGCCTTTAGCGTGTTGTGAGCATCCAAGAAGCACTCGTGGATTCCATCTGCAATCTTTGGAATACCGGCCGCGGGGTAGTCGGCAAACGCCTGGCTTGGCGGCACCGCCTTCTTCTCAATGGCGGGTTTTTTATGCTCAGGTTCCCTCTTGCCTGGCTCCTGTTGCTGTTCTTGTTGTTCTTGTTGTTGTTGCTGCTGCTGCGGTTGGGTTGCGTTGTAAGGCCCTTCCTCCTCGAGCCGCGGGTACTGCGGTTCGTTGTCGGCCAGAGGAATGACGGACTTGACGCCACCGTAATATCTGGTGAGGAACTCGAACTGCTCCCATGGGGGCGGTTCTACAGGCTTCTTCACAACTTTGCCTTCTGCTATCCTCTTGTTTTCCACCTGGCTAGCTCGGATCAGGACGAACATAAATATGATAATAGTCGAGATCATAGCGAGGCACAGGTACCGGATGACTTTATTTGGCAACCGGTAGAGATATCTCCTGATGGGCCTCCGGCGGGCGGCGACCACAGGCCGCTTCTTGGGCAACATGAGTGCCGCCGCAGAAGAGGTGGAGGACGATGTTCGTCTTGAGCTTCCGGAACTCGAGGTGGATGAGTCGGTAGTGTTGCCATCATCGGAGTCGTCGGATTCGTCCTCGGAATCCGAGTAGCGCTCCTTGACTGGAGATCGAGAGGTGCGAGGCGTGCGAGGTTTGCGCGCCCGGGAAGGAGGCAGTTCCCTGTATAATGGTAGTTTGGGTGCCTTTGTTTCCCGGGCCCGGAAGAGGTTGAAGGGGAGCAACCCCATCCTGGAGGGCGAAGCTACGGTTGACTAACAGCAAAATGTGTTAACTCCAGCACATGACGAGAAGAATGTGTCTTGTATCTTTTAAAAGGGAATTGAGGGGTTCTTACCAGGCAATCAAGGAAAAACAACCCCAGGCTCTGATCGTACTAGCACCCTGCGTGTCTCAAGACCGTCCTGCTAGGGATGATGTCTCAACTCCAAGGACTCGATCAATGTTCAAGACGTTGAATCGTCAAAAACACAATCCAGTGAACAACTAAGGGGCCATTGGGAGGTTCTTTGGCGGAGAATGCGGAGTGTCTCGAAGAACTAGAACAATTGACCCGAACTTGGTTTCAAGCAGAAGCGGCGCATCCTTCTTCCCGCTGATTGGCGGTTGTTGTCAGCTCTGTCGTCGTCTCATCGAGGCTTGGTTGCCCAGCAACCAGCCTTTTGGAGGTGGGGGGCATTGTCTTGGCCATCCTCGGTGAAGATCGGGCAGAACACGACAAGCGGATTTTAAAATCCGGGGTTAGACTGTTCAGCGTCGAGGGAAGTGGGACCGCCCAGAGGAAGGATGGAGCCACTCTTTTCTCGGTCAGCCAGCAAGACATCCAGATATGGAGAAATGACGTTACGATGGAAGTCCTCTCCTCGACTCCCACGAGACTCCATCGCAAGACTCCCTTTCATTCTGCCTTCCACGCTTCTTTTTTTTTTCGACTTTTTCGTGTAATTCATCAATTCACCTATTTTCCGCCCGCCTTCCATCTGTGATAATCTAGACTGTCCTTAATTGCCGCTGTAATCATCTTCGATGGTCGAGAGAATGCCAACGAAGCGGGAGGCGCCAACGACTGCAGTCGCAGGTGCGAGGATCGCATTGGATGACTCGAGCATCAAAAGTGGTGCACCCCAGAGAAAGCGCGCCAACGAATCGGCCTCCTTCTCGTTTGTTGAATACCGCATCAGCTGACTACTCCGCCGCTCTGCCCGCAGAAAGCCAAGTGATATCGACACCTCGTTGCCTTTGCCGATGCCCCTGGAATTATATGCCTAGACATATTTATTGTATGATTCTGATAGATAAGATGGCTTAGAGCTTACGGGCTTTAGATCTCTCACACAAGCGCTCCTATCGTAGCTTGGCTCGCTTGGTTCGGAAGGCCAATCCCAGGCTAGGCAAAACGAAGCGCTGCGGCGTTGGAACGTCATTGATCGTCGCTGTCATTCTGTGGGAGACCAGATGGTGGGATGAGAGTCCCTGGCAACCCACCTTCTCCCCCCTCCTCATCCTTCCTAGCTCTCTGGCATTCCTGCAGCGCACCTTGTTCCGGGCGCTCATTGCATGAGGATAGACAAACCACACTGCCGCCGTCCCTCATCCGGTACGCGTGTATCACTATTACACAGGAGTCATCTGTACCCTTCAGAGCGGCTCTGGTAGGGGGACAGGCTTAGGTAGGGCACGTGGGTAGTTCGATTCTGCGCTGTTCGCCCTCACACGGGTTTCCTACCCGACGCTACGTGGAGGAAATGGTTCCAATTCTTGGTCTGTCTTGTGGACAGTCTGCCGAACCATGCTGACCGCTGCCTAGACCTTGACGGACGGATGCCGCTTGGCTGTAATGTGCTCCCTTATTTCCACCATTGACACATCGATATCACCCCTCTCTGTGCGTGGCAAACCCAATGCGGTGATCTGCGATAGGAAGCTTGATGCGCTCTGCATCTAAGCCATCTTCGTATCACTTCATCCCATCGTCGTCGGTTACATAAACTATAAGAGAAAGATCCTGTAACCTCTGTCGATCCCCTTTTGACCCCCCTCGTACTCTCTCCCCCTTAACCACTACCCACTGTCGGAGTGTCAATGTTGCCGCCCACGCTCGAACTTCTTCGCCTTCTGTACCACAACCACAGCAGAAGCACACCTCAAGAACAGGCCCTATCAACGTCTACACAATGTCTCTCACCGTGACCACCGAAACCCAACAGGGGGCGCCGCATTCAGAAGAAAAGGCTCCGGTGGCCGTGAACATGGTGATCCGGCAGGACCCCTTCTACATCACGCTGGACGCCGCAGCCCTGCTAGCCATCTCCATATTGCTCGTGCTCGGCATGCACTTCATCGAGCGGCTGGTGCTCGAGCTCCTCATCATCCTCGTGCCCATGGCCCTACTCATCCATAACGATTACCTCAACTTCCTCAAGCTCGGCCCCGGCGGCACCCCACCCACCCCTTCCGGCTACGCCCGCCTGACCTGGTACCGACTCTTCACCCTCCGCGATCCCTTCAGCGCACCACCCGTCGACCCCTCCCAAAAGCCCGCGGCCGGCATCCTGTCCCAACTCCCCTACCGCCCAGGGCCCCGACCCGTCGTAGCGGGCCTCGCGCCGCAGCGCCAACTCAACCAGCACGGCGCCATCCCCTCCTCCAACCGGCTCCGGGCGGCCATCCAGGCCGTCACCCAACGCCTGCCCGGCGACTTCGTGACGGCGACGTCCTGCCTCGAGAAGCACGGGTTCGCGCTGTTCGCGCGGCACCCGGTCAACGTGTGTGGCAACGGCGAGGTGTGCCACATCCACACGTCGGACCGCTCGATGCACCTCAACCTGCACCCGGACGACATCCGCGAGGTGCTCGAGAAGGGCTGGGGCCAGCGCCACCCCATGGCCTGGGAGGGCTGGGTGCGCAGCCCCGTGCCCAGAACCTTTACCATGATTTATGCGCCGAGGGGTGAGTTCTTTCTTCTCCGTTTTTCTTCTTCTTTTTATCTGTCTACCTACCTACCCTGTCTTGACCGTTTTTCTGTCCTTCTCCTCCTTTTCCTGTTGTGCGATGAGATTGACATGTGTGGCGTAGATGAGAACGACTTGAAGATTGTGTGCGGCATTATCGAGGCCGCGATTTGGTACACCACTGCGAGGAAGGTTGATGTGCAGCTTGCGCCGGAATCCTAAGTAAGGGGGCGGTTGGGGTTGGGTCAGGTGTTGGCTTTCAGGGGGCGGTTGTGATCAAGGTTGGCGGGGAAAAGCTGGTTCAGGAGTGAAGGCTGCATTTGGTGCTTTATGACTTAGAACTTGATCTAGGTGGCTAGTTTGGATGAGGGGGGGGAAGTGCTTCTTTTACCTAAACTGGGACTAGGCGTTTATGGAAATAGTACTTTCATTCTTTACAGAGCAGATCATGAATCACCTCGTTGATCGTGGTATTATGTACAAGTCCGGGAATCAGCACACCCGCTGATGAGAAGCTGCCATACTTTTTCAGTCTAAATGCTATGGGTGATCCTCTAAGGAGAACAATTGATAAAGAGGTTGATACAAATCGTGAGTTGTCATCAAAATACTTGCGTCTAACGATCGGAGTTATCAGCTCAACGGTATAAACAACCCTCAGGCTATGGCAACCTCTCCCAGCGCTGTCTAAATAGTCACTTCTTCTAATCAGAAACGGAGAATGGCAATCACAGCACGCTGACGGACATACATTGCGCATAACACGGAACCCGTTTGCAGAGGTTCACATCCATCCACACACACACAAGCGACACGTTTCAAAACAAATCATTTCCTACTCCTAGCCTTCCACCTCCCTCGCCTCCCCTGTAACTGTCTGTTTTGTTTGTATACACGAACGGACCTAAGAAGAGGTCATCGAAACAAATGGTTTACAATACTCATCCTACCACCCGCCACCCTTTCAATTGATTTAGATATTTCCTGCACAAGCCTCCGGTGCAATTCCAACATGCCAGGACACAGGCAAAAGGAAAGAAAAAGCAGGATGCTATGCTTGGCGGTGTTTTCCCTCCCTCCTCCACTGGTACCACACAGGCAGATTAGCGGATTGAGATACTTCCCTTCCGTCCTCTCTCCGGCCTCGTCTCTTCGCAGTTGCCACGGCTGTGCTTCCACATTCCTGACTTGATGCAAGATCCAAGATATTGGCAATTCCTCTTCCGCCGCAACGCACAACGCATCAGAGCTTCCTCACGCGTTGTTGAGTGGCTTAGCTTAGGCGACGACCTAGGCAAGCACTCCGGTTTCCCAGATGCTTCAGCCCTTTAGTAGACACGCTTCATGGGCGGCACGGGCTTGCACTCGTTCTCGTCGAGGGTGGTGCCGATGACGCGCCGATACGAAAGGTCGACCTTGCCGTGCGGCTTCTTCTGCCAGCTGAGCGTGTGTTTCATCCAGTTCTTGTCGTCACGGTCGGGGTAGTCCTCGCGGGCGTGGGCACCACGCGACTCCTTCCGGTTGGCAGCGGCAGTGGCAGTCTGGGTACTGTTTCATTTGTCAGTGTCAAATTTTCAAATTCACCTTCCCACCCGCAGATCAGATCACTTACGCGCAAGTGAGCAGGTTGCGAAGCTCAAGAGTCTCGACAAGGTCCGAGTTCCAGATCATGCTGCGGTCCTTGGTGCCGACCTGCGAGAACATCTGGTCGATCTCGGTGATCTGCTTGACACCCTCGTCTAAGCTCTCCTGGGTGCGGAAGACGCTGACTTCCCTCTGCATGGTCTTCTGCATGGCAAGGCGGATCTCGGCGGTGCTCTTGGGGCCGTCGGCGGTGCGGACCTGGTCGAGGACCTCGATCGAGTCGGCACCGGCATCGGCTTCGATGGGCTTCAGCTTGGCGCCAGGCGTGAAGTTGTCGCGAATGGTGTGCGAGACGGCACGGCCGAAGACGACCAAGTCGAGCAGGGAGTTGGCACCCAAGCGGTTAGCACCGTGGACGGAGACGCAGGCTGCCTCACCGCAGGCAAAAAGACCAGGGACAACCTGGTCGTTGCCCTTCTCATCCACAGTGATAACCTCACCAGTGTAGCGAGTGGGGATACCGCCCATGTTGTAGTGGACGGTGGGTAGGACGGGGATGGGCTGCTTGGTGACGTCAACGCCGGCAAAGATACCAGCAGTCTCGGAGATACCGGGGAGGCGCTCAGCGAGAATGTCGGCGGGCAGATGGCTCAGCTGGAGGAAGATGTGATCCTTTTCGGCGCCAACGCCGCGGCCGTCACGGATTTCCATGGTCATGGACCGCGAGACAACGTCACGGCTGGCAAGATCCTTGGCCGTCGGCGCATACCTCTCCATGAAACGCTCACCCTCCGAGTTGAGGAGGTAGCCACCCTCACCACGGGCACCCTCGGTGATCAGGCAACCGGCGCCGTAGATACCAGTAGGGTGGAACTGGACGAACTCGAGATCCTGGTTGGGCAAACCGGCGCGGGCGACCATAGCCATGCCGTCACCAGTGCAGGTGTGGGCCGAGGTGCAGCTGAAGTAGGTGCGGCCGTATCCACCAGTGGCCAGGACGGTGTTGTTGGCGAGGAAGCGGTGGAGCGTGCCGTCCTCCTGGTTATAGGCGAGGACGCCACGGCACTCACCGTCCTGCATGATCAGGTCGATGGCGAAGTACTCGATGAAGTAGTTGGTGTTGTGCCTGAGCGACTGGCCGTAGAGGGTGTGAAGGAGAGCGTGGCCGGTACGGTCGGCGGCGGCGCAGCAGCGGTAGGCTTGACCACCCTTCCCGTACTTTTGAGACTGACCACCGAACGCACGTTGGTAGCTACCAAACCTGTTAGCGCTCAAATTCCATAGCCTGGACTGACGCCAACTTACATCTTGCCATCCTCGGTTCTGGAGAAGGGGCAGCCGTAGTGTTCGAGTTCGATAATGGAGGCGGGCGCCTCACGGGTCATGTAGTGGATGGCGTCCTGGTCACCGAGCCAGTCGGAACCCTTGACGGTATCGTACATGTGCCATCTCCAGTCGTCCTCGTGCATGTTCCCAAGCGCGGCGTTGATGCCACCTTGAGCGGCGACGGTATGACTTCTTGTGGGGAAGAGCTTGGAAATACAAGCAGTGTTGAAGCCAGCCTCGGCTAGACCGAAGGCGGCACGCAGACCAGCGCCACCGGCACCGACGACGAGGGCGTCGTACTCATGGTCCTATTTCACTCCCCTGGTCAATTCCTTGTTCTGGTCCGATGGTGAGGGCGAACGTTCGCTGGGGTGACGTACGATGACCGGGTACTTGCTACTGAGGAACGGTGATGCCTCCTTCGCACGGAGCGGCCCGTTGCCGAAGACCCGGGCTGCAGCCAGAGAAATAACATGTCAGCCCCCGCTCTTTGCCCGCTATATCCAGAGATCCGTCAACCTACCAGCCGGCCGTGTTGTGGAAAACGCGCGGGCCGGGTTTCTGGAAGCACGCGAGAGCTATCGAACGGACCTCGGGTCAGCCAAATCTGGTGCGAGAAAAAGGAATCTCGCGCAAACCAGCTACTGGGCCATGCGCAATGAATGGGAGGGGTATGCTACTCACCGTCGGCGCCGTGGCCAGGCGTCTCCAAGCCATTGAGGATGCCATTGTCATCTAACGAGGTCTGAAGGGGGAGGTGGTGGACATCAAGGAAATAATTTGAGCCTCCTTCATGTCTCGCAGTTGCTCGCCCATTCCAAGTCCCGGTTGCACCAGAGCTGTTGGCTGCTGGACCAATCAGCGAGGGGTGATTACCCGAGTTGCCGGCGAGGCCCGCGCCCGGTGGGCCAAGAGACGAGGAGCGTTCAGAGGCTCAGCAGGGAGACCGGAAGGAAGGCAGGTGGGGCAGCTGTCTGCCAGCTCGGCAATGACGAGGGGTGCATTTTACTGATTTTCTAACTCGGTGTTTCTCTAACTTTTTTTTTTTTAAAAAAAGTACCTATATTCTAAGTTGTTCGATATTAAAGCGGGCAGTAGTTTTATCCAATGTTGCACAATTTCCCTTAGGTATCAGAAGCAGGTTGTTGTTGGCGACGACATCGTTCTAAGACAAGAGACGAAGAAGCGAGGGGCAGAATCATGTGCGAGTCTCGCTTCCAAATTTGGATCCATCTCTTGGAACTCATCCCTCGGCACGACGGTCATGGCTTGCCAAGCGCCGAAAACTGAGCGAGACCATTTTGACACCCAAACTCTCTTCAACAACTATTTCTTCTGAGATGGATGCCACGGGGGTATCATGCTCTAATGCATTAATTACTATCAAATACTACTAGTAAAATGTCATGGCAATCACCCCAGTCCACAATGCATGTGTGTATACTTAGGTAGAAACAGGCATGCCTCCTCCCCGTTAAAGGGAGGAAGTCAAATCCATCCAACAGACTTCCAGCGCGATGCAAGATGACAGCACAACACCCCCTCTATCCCTTTGCGCCATGCCAGTATATCTCTACGTCTACTCAGCCAGCACCATCCGCAGCATAACCAAGAAGTTCTCCTTCAGCTTATGGACCTCCTCAACCTCCGGCTTGGCCGGTTCGCCCGCATTCCGGCGCAGCCGGGCCTGCCTCCTCGACCTGCGCTTACGCTCAGCATCGATGGGGTCCATCTCATCCTCCTCCTCAGCCTCAGCCTCCTCCTCCGAGTCGTCGTCGTATCCCATCTCCGCCAGGTCCTCTTGATCCAGGCCAAAGTCGGCCGACTGAAACGTCAGGGCGCCGGGAACGGCCTCGGCATCGCCTGGCGCGCCCTCGGCCGCCATCTTTTGGCGCGTCTTGTCGTGGTGCCACTTCTTGCGCGCTTCTTGCCAGGCGATCAGCTTGTCGATCTCGTCGACCGCCTTCGCGCGGTCGACGACGCCGCTGCTGGTGGCGCCCTCGAACAGTGCATTGATGTCGAGGCTGCCATTCGTCGGGCCGTGCCGGAGGAATTCGAGGATTCCCTCGATCCAACCCATCAACTGCGTGAAGAGGCCGTTGTCGTGCGTGTGTACCTCGTGCACGAAGCTGTAGAAGTGGTGCTCATGCCGCTGGCAGAGGTCGATGAAGGCTTGCACTGTCTGGTTAGGATCTGCGGAAGCGTCTTGTTCGCGGCACTTGTCGACGACCTGGGTATTCTGTCAGCTTGGCTGCTTTGGCAACAGTGGATGCGAGTTAGCCGGGCAGGTGCTCACCTGGATTAAATCATCGATGAAGTGGGCAAAGTCGGTTACGCTGTTGTAGACGTTGGCCGACTTATACACCCTGACGAGGGGCTCGTAGAAGATTGTGAATAGGTCTCGGAACAGCTGTAGAGTGACGGGCTCCTCGATGAGACTCAACATCATGGCCTTATCCCTCTGTCGAATGTAGAGCTTCTGGAGCTGCTTGAGGTAGGAGAAGAGCTGGGCGCCCTGCCGCAGTTCCTCATCGACGTTCTCGACCGCGTTGTTGAAGGCCACGTAGGCATTGTACAGCCGCCCAATTTGCTCCGGTTCGAGCGCAGGACCAACCAGCTCTGACCTAAGGATGGCGACAATGACGTCGAGGTCCTCGCCAATGGCTTCCTCCCTGATCGCCTCCTTGACATGCTCCTCGGCATCCGTGAACGTCTTCAGCTTCTGGACAAAAATGGGATCGCCGATCTTATCGCCCAGCGCATCGATTGATCGCTGAAAGGTCCTGATGCCGTCGTGGAGCGTCATAGAGAAGATGCGCTGCATTAGAGACCTGGTGCCGAAAGGCTGAGCCAGGAAGATATCCAGGATGCTAGACATGACAGCTGCTGGGTTGGCTATCCGAATCGCATTTTTGATGAGTGTGTAGGGAATTAGGGAGTGAATTCGCTTCGCCTGGGCGAACAATTCGGGCGAGTTGTCCTCGGCGAGGAAGAGATGATAGATGGTGGCAGCCACTTCGATGCGCAACCACTCGGCGAACTTCTGATACTGCAAGCTCAGATCTTGAATCGTTTCCTTCTCACGAATCTCCTGAAACAACATGGTCAAGCCATTGCGCTCTACAATATCCTGGCGAAACCTAGAGAGGGTCAGCATCTAGTAGATAAACTAGGCCAAGACACGTACTGTTCCATGTAGACGTCCAGCTCGGCCGCGCGCTTCCTCGCAACCTCGTAGAACTGCTTCTGCTCCTCCACCCGCTTCTTGTCCACGTGCTTTCGGCGGATAATATCGTCGTTATCCTCGTCGTTTAGTGTTACCGGATCTGCGAGCAGGAACTCCTCCATGGCCTTAGTATTGGCGATTTGAGGGTTCTGCAAAAGGGTGCGCAGGAAAGCACGCAGCGAGATTCTTTGGCTCTCTCGCCATATGACGACGGTCTAAAGATGTTAACGAAGATTTCAAACCATACCTGAGCCGAGAGACAGTACCTCTTGGGGTTTGGGACTCAGGAGGGCTGGGCTTGACGGTCTGCCATCGACAGAATCCGAGGTGACCGGTCACCCGAGCGATGGTCTAAGTGGTAACCGAGTAAGCAGCTGGCAACTCCCGTAATTTTGAATGAAGCTGACCTTTTACAGACAACAACCTCGAGATAGCTTCACTTTGATGTCCGGGCCCGTTCGGCGCAGGGCTATTCGGGATGTGTGTCGAGACGGACGAGATGGACGATGTCTCAGAATTATTCCCACTATGGCTGCCGATGATACTAGGCGCTGTCGAGTGTGACTTGTTCTTATGGGGAAGTGGCGGGAGGACCTTGCCCGGCAACTCGGTACGCAACCTCTTATGTAAACGGGCAAAGTCACCGTACCGTCGTCCCACGAAATGCTCTTGCGCATTTTTCCTTCTTACCCGGAGAAGGAATTCCTTCACATTGTAGTTAGCAACCGGCGCCTACCACTTGTATCGGTTGCAAGATAGGACCCACAGCATGCTTGTGTTGCCTTATTTTTCGCTTTTCGGTAATGATCCGGACGCCAGCGACGTTGACATCCCACCCGTTTAAATAGTTACCTTCGGGCAGTGTGGAGAGAACACCGGTATCAATCGCGTTGGCATCGACGATCTCGAGCTCGGAAAACCTAATTCGCTCTTCGAAGCCGGAGGATGTCGGAATTCCAGATACCATCATCAGTTCCACCATCTTCTTCGCCTTGATAGCTAGCTTCCTTCGCTTAGTCTCTTCTAGGCGGTCTTCGGAAGACGATATGTTTTTGCTCGCAAATGATTCTAGAAACTGGACGGGTTCATCGCAGGTTAGCTCCCGTAGATTTCTCTCGGGACCATTTCTCTTGAAGCAGCAGAGGAAAGCCAAACTTACCACCTGCAGCTTGTCTTGCCAAAACTCTTTCTCCTTCGCCTTGTCAAGGAACGGAAATTCGCGGACATGGTGGACGAAGATGTATCTGAGGATCGGCAGCTCGGAATCAAGCGGCGAGACCTCCCCGAACGAGGACTTGAACGGTGCGCCAAACCGCCGTAGCGCTGTCGGCGAGCTGAGCTCCGAGACCTCCCATGTCACTTGTTCCGACACGAGCTCGCGCTTCAGATCTGCGACGCAGCACTGTCAGTCGATTTTGGACAAGCAAGGCTAAGACGAGAAGGGTCTGGAGAAGATCAACAAACAGTGTTCTTGTTTCCCTGTCAAGCTCTGGTTTGACGCAGGTGCTGATGCCGTCCGTACCGGGAGTTCCGTCGCCTGCCCAGGCCGTATCTCGTTGGATTTCGAGGTGTTATCGTTATCGGAAGCCATTGTCAAGATGGGCCGAGATGGCGAGTGCTCGGGAATTCTAAGGGTAGACTAATTCTCAGGGTTTGTTCTTGTAGGTTATATCCCGGCTTCTTCAACTCCGGAGCGACCTCGGGATTGCGAGATCTTGGGTGTTGTTGATGGCGGGGCAGATCCAGGGCCCAGTCCGCTCAGGCAGGAGCCAAAAAAGTACCTTGCGAGGCCCGCGCTTGCACCGTGTGTGCCGCCGGGTCGGGTGTTTGTGCAGCTGCAAGGCGTCTGTGTTTCGGCGCTTGTACCAGACAGAAACTGCGAACCAACAAGCCAGTAAATCCGTCAGGCCAGGTGGGAGGTGACCAGGTACAGCCCAACTTATCGATAGAAAAAGTGTGGTGTCAGTTGGAACCAGATTACTGATAAGTATTCCTAGACTACAGAAGAACCACCCCGCAGGCCGAGATGCGGATCAACGCCCAGGCGGTTAACTCGGATGGTTGTCGCCTTTTATTTATCCATGATGCTCCGATCGAAGAATAGTTCCAAGACGGGCTCAAAACGGGGTACTTACGACTTCCAAGACCCCCCAAGACCCTAAGATTCGGCGGTGTTGGTGCATCCTCACAGTAACCCGTCTTTAGGCCGCCTGTGAATGGCTAGTGGTGGGATGCTTGCGGCAGACCAGCCTAAGCCCTGCTGGCGCCCGATGACGCATCTGGTAGTTGTGTGGGTGGCGCAGATCAACCGAGTTGCCCCGGTCCCTGATGACGTCTGCTTGGCATTAACTCTTCCCTGCAAGCAGCCAAGCCATGCCTCCGGCAACCCCGACCCCCGATGCCCGATCCCGACAGCCGAAAACTCAGAAGTTTTCGATGAAGCGGAAGCGGAAACGGAGATGGGATTGTGTGCGAAGTATTCGTATCCGTGCGAGAAAAACAGCCACGGTGGGACCCTGAAAGACAACCTCAGCCAGGGTTTCGTTGCTCTTCCCGGAACTGCGTGCCGATCGTGTTTCATGCTACCCGAAACGGAGGCCCCCACAGTAGGGGAATGGACGAAGTGCATATTCGTAGTCTCTGTTGGGCCGAGAACTTTGAGAGAGGAGCAAGAGTTGCTGGAGCCACCCCTGTACTTTGCTTTTGTTAGTTGGGATGGGCCCCGGCTCAGAATTAGAGGGCCGTGTGAAAAGAAAGGGATAGGAGCATCGAGGTTGGATTGGTATTATTACTATATATGTTGTCGCTGGGATATCGAATGTTGGTAACGTAACAAAGAGAAAACTGTGATGCGGGAACCCCCTAGATGTGTCTACTACAATTCATCGAATGCTCTCAGCATATCAGATGTGGGAGAAGAGACGCCGGGGAGATCTGTATTGTTAGATGGCCAGCTCTTCTCCTGAGGCGTTTTTGCGTTTATCCCAGTGGCATCCTTGAGACTGTCCAAACCGTCGCTTGCAACGCGCGATACCGTTTCTGGACTGTCAGGCGCGTACTGGGAGCCGATGAAGAGCGAGAGGACCAGAAAGAAAATGACGGATGTGACGACCCAGACAACTTTGAGACGTTTCCTTGTCTTCTCCTGCCATTCTCTATCCGCGCGCTCCCAGCCCTCGATCCGCACACTCACGGCGCTGACCCGTTCGCCTAGCGATCTGATGAGCTCCCTTCTAGATTGGATGCGGCCCTGGAGCGACTCTATGCGCCTTTGCTGGTCCTCAAATTGGCCAAATGTGTTGAGCTGCGCGCTTACATCTGTGACCAAATCATCTGCCTCGGTGCTGAAGCTGCTGTTGAGCTGTCGGGAACGTTCGCAGAGCTCTTTCAGTGCTATAACCGTGCCTTGTAGAGAGCCCAGCTTCTCCAGAAACCCATAGTACGTGTTGTCGAGCTGTTTCGTCGTCGAGGTCGCAAAGCACTCAAGCTCGGCGAGAGATCGTTGTAAGCCACTAGGGTAGCGGTCAGCGCATGACTCGGTCGACGGGGAACAGCTTGCGTGCTAACCTCTCTCGTGCAGAAGCTTTCTGCTGCTCCTTGGATAGTCCGTTGACCGGCCCATTATCCTTCGAGCCCGCCTTGGTGGTCGTTGGCATCACTTCATCGGCTGACGCATAGAGAAGACTCGTACGTCGGCTGGCGCTCGGAGTGTGAATTGGGGTCACCCCCTCGGACCGTGACCATTCGAATGAGCGGCTGCCTTGCACCACGGGTATCGCCGACTGCGGGGCTGGGGTGCGCGAATCCCGCTCGGTCTCTCTTGCTGCGCGATGCGAGTGATGGCGATGCAGGCGGATTGGCGACGAGATCTCGGAGATAGACCTCTTTATTTGATGACGAGGGCGCCCCGGCGACGACGCTTTGGATGCATCGCCGCCATTCTGGGACATGGTCCTCCCGCTTCCTGGCTGGACTTATGGGATTGGGTTGGCGGGCCGTACGACGACACTAGCAAGAGGTGAGGTGTGACTGGAATTGGACGGAAGGTTGCGAAAGTCAAGTCAGGCGACCGCCAACAGAGGTGGGGCGGCTGGGCGGAAACCATGAATGGCATAGCGGCATGTGATCATCAGCCACGGCGCCCCAAAACCGGAATTTGAACGGAGGCTCGGCTAAAGCTATTTGTAGTCTCCTGGTTTTGTCTTGTGTTTACTGTTTAGTTTATTAACTCGGCAGGGACAGCATGGTCTAGATCTTTTCTCTCAAGACCCCGGCCTGCATCCCAGCAGGCCCTGCATGCGTTACTCCTGAGCCGGGAGGCTTGGCCTAGGTATGTGTGTAGCGTAGAGATAATCAGGCCCTGTCCCACTTCTTCGAGGCTAACCCTTCGATGTTGCTACCCGAAACAATTCCGCGGGCATATACGGGGAGGAAGCCGGGTGGGTGAACCATTCTGAAGCTGCCAACCTCCTTCCTTTGACCGTGCCTCCATGCATCCTCCTCCAAGGGCGCCATTGTGGCATGTGGCTTCATTCCAGGTTTCATGCCGTACCCAGTCCATGAAGCAACCTTATGCGCCGCTGCCAGCTGATGTACCGTTTACTGAGGCGCCGGATCATGAGTTGAGGACCTTATTGCGTTTCTCCTTGCGCTTCAACCGCTCCAACCGCTTTTTGTGCATCTTCGCCGCCAACAGCTCATATCGCTCTTTCTCTGCCTTCGCCGCTCGCTTCTCTACTAGAGCTTGCATCCGTCTCTGTGGAGATGAGTATTAGCCTTGCGTGGTTGCTTGTCGATATGACGATTCTCAGCGAAATGCGCACCTTTCGCTCGGCTTCCTTTTCTTCTTTAAGCTCCTTCTCTTTCGCCTTTGTAGCGGCTTGTGCAACTCTCGTTTTTGCTCGCTGCTCGTAGGACGTCAAGCCGGACCCTGGTCGGAAGGCCTTTTTGGGCGCGTGCCATTGCTTGCCTTGTTGGTATAACTTAGTGAGGAACCAAAAAAGCCGTGTAGGTGGTTTTGAACGTACCGTTTTTCCGCATCCCCAGAGGCTTCGTCACCGCTGACTCGGGCGCTTGTGCGCCATCAACTATCGTTGTGGACATTTTATGCCTGTTGAATTGTGGTTGTCTTCTATTGAAGACGCCGTCGCTTGTGCTCCAGCGAAAGCGGTCAGATTTTCCACTTTGCAGAAAACTGGGGGCAGAATTGCGAGCGGTGAGAGGTGCTTTTGCGGGGTCAAACTGGGGCGAGCTGCGGCTGTTCCAGAATGAGGCTGCGTGTCCCCACATGGGCTGCGCTGTGGACAGACCAACCGCTTCCATGTCGAGCGCCATTCATCCCTTCGCAAAGGTACGAGTTACAATGTGGTGAAAAGAACACCTGAAATTGTTCAATGCCCTCTTGTTATCTCGAGTCCATCTCAAGTACATAGTTGGTAAATACTTCCAGTTAACCGTCCCAACTTCTCAGTTTCGTTGTTGTGCAAGCCACTTTTACTTTTGCACCCGCATCAAGTGTTGTCGACTCTTTTTGATGATTACCTACCAAGTAGCTTGGTAATTGTGTCGCCTTGCGGTTGATTGGGAAGCTTGAAGGGATTGGTGAATTACACCTTTTTCGCATCGGGAACGTTCACAGATGGAACATCACTGTGGCGGGAGGAACTCAGGTAATCTGTGGTGTGGCTTAACCGCAAATTGCCCAACGGAACAATTGCTGCTTCTTTGGCTTGATTGTGAATCCGAGGTCTTGTTCCGGTAACGCATTGTTTTGGGTGTCGTATTGTGAGCTAATGCAGGGGCTGACTGGAGTGGAACACCGGAATCCATAATTTACATTGGTTCTACTCGGAAATGAGTGCGCACTGCCGAGCATTCAGGAGTGGGTTCTTCAATCGTTCCGTCTTCAACGCAGCAAAATCAAGCTCCTGTCTTGTTTGACCCATTCGAATAAAGGAATTTGAAGTTGCCACCCTCGGCCTCGCAAATGAGGAACGGAGGGCGCGCTGCCATAGATACGGACCTATTTACAAATATACATTGTTCTCAGGCCCATGAGCCACGATGACAGCCTCGCCGACACCAGGCCCTCGCACTCCAGATATACGGAGCGAGGAGTGCGGGAAAAAAGAAGGAAAAAGAGAAGGTGATCGCTGTCCTTTCCTTTTGGAAACATCACCACTCTGCGGATTTTGCTGTGCCGTTCTGAAGAAGGGCTCCTGCGAAGTGCGGATAGGATTTGAGCCGTGGGGTTGCATTTGAACCCCCGTGCGTCAGGGGCAAGTCCTGGTTGTGGCCACTTGCAACGGAGATCTGGCAGTTCGCACTTGCGGGGTACCCGACGCGCAAGATGCAATGGGGCGCAGACCGTCGCGCTCCTGTCGATGGTCATCGAGAAACAAAATACGAAATATCGTCAGTGAAGATGCCTCGGGCGTAGATCCTAGCGTTATTAGGTGTCCCTGGCGAGAACAGACCAGCAGACACCGGGCTGCGAATGCCATCTGAAATTGGGCTGACCTGGCGACCCCAGCTTGCCGAGCGGCTGCCGCCTCCGTGCCTGGCTCGAGCCCCCTCACCTTCATCTGGGGCACTGCGACATGCAGTCGCATTGGGGGTGATCAAGGAATCGCAGTGCACTCGGAACGTCGAATGTTGTGATCTCCATGGGCCGAAGTTAGCTATTGTATGCGAATTCAAATTCGGCAATTGAGGGCGTCGGTTGACGTTTGCGCAACCTCAAAAAAGGGAAGAAGAACCGCCTTGGGCACAGTATTGAAGCTGAAAGACGGGAAACGGGCCGGCAGGTTCGAGAGGACAAGCAATGGTGGGCGCCGTTCCTGCCGCTTTTGGCTCAAAAGGACCCGCACTCACAGTGTTAATGTTACCCCCGCACATTACAAGGCCCATTTCAACACAACGCCCAGGTTCTTCGTTCTCAACCCTTCCTCCTTTCGCATCGCTGCCCTCAACTTTATCGACATGCCCGGCAACCGTTTTGGTCCAATTCCGGCAGCAAATCGAGAGATTTGCTCTGGCTTTGGCCGTCCACTCCTTTGATACCTACACCGTTGGATTCGTCTGGAAACAGCATTTGGTTGCCTAATTCTCCAGGTCTTTTGCACTCGTTTCTCTCAAATGGTGCGTAGGTTGTGGTGCTCATTGCACGCCGCGACGCCGCCCTCAGAAATTGTGACGTCGCGTACCGCGTAGCTCATATTTTTTGCACCCGGGCCGTGGCCGGCTCATTTGGCTGTCGCTGACACTCCCCAGATTCGAGACTGCAATTGATTTTAATCGTTTAATTCTCACAATCGGCTGAGCCTCGACAACTTTCTCGACTGGCTTCGAATCGCTACCCACCGCAAGCCTTTCCACCGGTCGACGTTTATACTCGGCATTTTTTCATGTCATTCGCATGCCACTAAGTTGCCATTCGATTCTGGTGCCGCAGAGCGGCTTGAAAAGATGGCAACTATTGGCCTCGATATGCTGATCGACCCTCCCTCACCAGACGGCCCTGAGCCTGGTGAGGCGCTCTATCTTTTAGAGCCCTCGACCATAGGCGAAACGGCTCCCCACGAGGGTCCTTCCGATTCACAGGCATCTCCGCGATCGAACCCGCCTCCCCCAAATCCACCGTTCGTCTTCCCGGCACGACCATCCTCTTCTTCGGGGCCGACTCCGGTTCCTCGGGCGGCCGGTAGACGCCCACGATCTGCGATTGAACCCCGTAGCGCGGTAGCGAAAGCGAGTGTTGAGGATGAGAAATCGGTTCCGCGATCGCCAGCTTTGCCCGCCTTTTCGTTCAACCCTGGCGCCTCCCTACCTTCACCACCGGGACTGGAAAACATGTTCCTGAGCCCCCCGCAGTCTCCCTCCGCGCCCAACTCCCCTCTGTTGACTGCGACCCGGCCTGCTGGCCATAGACACCGCAGAGGCGGGAGCGAGTTTGTTGGTGGGAGCATCCGGGATGGTGAGGCCATAACCGTTTTGAATACCAGCCCAACCAAGTCGGATAGCGGTATGGCTTCGCCCATGCTTCAGCCTACTAGGCCCCGCAGAGGCCATGCCCATCGCCGGTCTGCTGCCATCTCCAGCCATGATCTGTCTTCAATCATCGCACCACCGCCAAACCCGAGCGTGAAGGAGAACAGTGTCCCGGCGAGTCCCGCCCCCACCGAACGACCAGCGGTTCAGAGCCTTCATGTTTCCCAGAAACCTACCGAAGTTGCGAAGGCGGTGCCCGTTCCTGTTCCAGAACCCATTGCAATCGGACTCGACAACCCATCGCCGCCTCCCACGGAACTTGAGCACACTCCCAAGGCTCTGCCGCGAAACAGGGTTGGGTTTTCTGATACCTTGGAGTACATCCCAAGACCGCTCTCGCTAGTGTCGACAGATACATCCAGCACGGTTACAGCGAGGCCCGGGCATTCTCTTTCGGGGAGCATCTCCTCCGTAATCTCCATCACAAATGCAGATCGCGAAACGGGCCCATTTCCAGCTTCGGCTCCCGGTCAGAAGCTCTGCGAGAGTCGGCCTAGTACAGCAGGGGCTGTCATGGAGCGGACTCAGAGCGCTCAGGAGCAGGATCCAGCTCTTCGTTCTCCGAGAAGACGGGGTTCAATTCCTCTTTTGGGCTCGCTTCCCCCTTCCATCCCCGTCACGCCAGCTACTCCGAGCCCGACAAGATCTACCAAGAAGTGGTCATTTTTTAGAGTCGACCCTTTCGTCACGGGCTCACCAACACGAGCCCAGCCAGATAGTCCTCGCTCTACAATTTCGCATTTGAGCATGGCTGAACCCAGCTCCGCGGAACGCGTTACCGAAGATGTGCCGCCTGGATTTGCAGAATGCCCAGATACTCCGAAACCCCTGAGCAAGAAGAGGAGCAAAAAGAAGAAGAAGGTCAAGACTTGGGCAGGATCGATTTTGTCCCGCAAAGGCAAGCACCGATCTGGCAAGCAGAAGCGCAGGGCGCCGACTCCACCTCCGCCGCGTCCTCTTGAGGCGATGGACAATATGGAAGACGGCGAGTTGCACATGTCACTAGAGCCGGAGCCTTCCAGCCTCCCGGCATCTGAGAATGGGGACTGGGAAACGTGGACCTTCCCAAAGCCGACCCAAGACGAGGACACGTCGTACCAGATGATCGACCTGGACGCGGCTCTGGGCCCTTTCAACACCCCCTTGCCACGCAATTTGGAATGGGAAGCTGCACAAAAAGCAGGAGGACTCACCAAGAAGCAGCTACACAGCGCTGCAGGCATGAGCCGGTTTACTGGACCCGGGATGCACTATTACCATAGGCGGGCTGAAAGCGCACCAGAACTGGTGCCGTTCGAAGGTGGCCGCTTTGGATTTCGGCGGTTCGGAAGCAGCTCCACAATGGCTGACGTGTTTGAGGAGGACGAGGAAGAGGAGGAAGAAGATTCGTGCGACTCCTCCACTGGAGCATCGACACCCGCTGCCGGAACCTCAATTGCTGAGAAGCCGGAAGACGTGGTACAGCCTGAGGAGCCGTTGCAACCCGTCCAGCAAACCTTGGCTAAACCAGACAACGTTGCGTCGCCTTCAGTTGAAGGCAACACTGGGCTGAGTCATCAGATCGATGATGCGTCGAAGTCGGAAAAGTCGGCGACGAACCCGCTCCCCAGCATGAGCCGCGATGAGGTGGTACTCATTGAACCTCCTCAGTATTTGCCCGATTTTCCGGAATCGCCTGGCGACAATGCCAATTCCGGTTCCGCAACCCCTTCTCCACGCCATGTTTTCCGGCCTAAAGATCTGGCTCCTGTCGAGGTCAGCCCTCTTGACCTTCCCGCAACGTCGCTGGGTCCTGTCAGCCCGTGGTCCATGACCCAATCCTCCGCGTTCCCCTCTCCAAGATCGCCCATGTCTTACGATGCACAATGCATCTCAACAGCGCCATCATCGGTTACGGAGGATAACTTTCATTCGTTGCTCATGGGCGAACCTGGCCCGGAAGTCCGGATATCCGTTGATGATATTCCGTCTCTGACGTCCAGCAACTCGACCATGACAAGGGACAGCCTCTTTGCGCAACACCCGCAGGCAAGGCATCCGCCGTTGAACGAACAACCGAGACCCGCGTCCTTCACCTCGACTGCTTTCGGTCGGCGGCGTTCAAGTCTGGCGAGCCTTAGCCGCCTCATCAACAGCTCACATGGGGAACGAAGCAAGTTATCAATCGAAGTCCCGATGGATAGCGAGCCGGAGAAGAAGGCTAAAAGCAGCAAGACCAAACGACTAAGCCGAATGATGCAATTCTGGAAGTCAAAAGATGGCAACACAGCCTGAGAATCGCCGCTTCCTGGCCCATTCAGACGGAGTCTAAACTACGGAGATGCAGTTGTAGGATTATGGAAGGGTTTGGGGGTTAATTTTGATGTCTTTTGGCGTTTCTGACGGCAGCATGAAGGGCAAGGTTACATGAGATGAGGAACAAACAATCTCAACTGCCAGAGTGCGCCACGGGTTTGATGGCGGCTGGGAGGATATGATGGGGACGGATATATGATTTTTTTTCAGGCGGCAATGGTTCGGATTCTCAGGACATATCATTTTACATGTCGTACCATGAGGTAGCGGGTATATCCCGAAGGAATAGCAAATTGAGGCCGACATCCATGTGTCTTTTTTAACTTTTGGCATGGCCCATTTCCATGCCGAATCAGAAGTACCTGACTTCCTTGTTGTTCTGGTTGTTGGTGGTGGGGTGGCTTCATAAACGCCCCACTGTGCATGCTACCTCGGTTCCGAGCCCATCAACGCGCCCGACCAGCCGCGCGTGGCTGATCGTGTTGTCGAGTCCCAAGTCGAGGACAGGGCAGGGGTCGGCAAGTCGGGAACCTTTACCACACAGCAACGACGAATCATCAAACCCCCCAGGAAACGCCACGGACCTCAATCTCCAGAACCTCATCCCCAGAACCCCCAAATTTCCCAACCTTGGTCGACTGGACGAGTCTTGCCTCCTTCCTCACCGAGAAGAAAAAAATAACATAGCAAGACTAGCAACTGCACATTCATAAACAACGAGGTTGCGAAACCGGTCCCCGGCGATGTCCTCCGTCCCCCGCAGTGCCATGCGCCGCCTGCTCAAGGAGCTCGAGACGTGGAACAAGACCGAATCGGTCGACGAACAGGGCATCGAGCGGCTCGGCCCCGTCGTCGACGAGGAGCTGCTCACCTGGGAGGCCGTCATCAATGGCCGGGGAGTTGGGTGCGGGTATGAGAGTGCGTAAACATATACATACATACATACACAAAACAACACAACAACCAACTGACCAAACTCTCGAACCCCCCAGACGGCCGCTGGCTCCTGCAGATCACCATCCCGACCGCCTACCCGATCCAGCCCCCGCAAATCCGCTTCGCGACGCCCATCGTGCACGCCAACGTGGCCCTGCAGACGGGCGAGATCTGCCTGGACCTGCTCAAGGACGCGTGGACGCCCGCGTACAGCGTGCTCGAGTGTGTGCGCGCCGTGCGCATGCTGCTGAGCGCGCCGGGCGTCGACTCGCCGCTCAATATTGATGTGGCGGCGCTGCTGCGGGATGGGGATGTGTTGGGGGCGAGAAGGTTGGTGGAGTTGTGGGTGGAGGAGGAGAGGTATGAGGGGAAGTGAGCAGGTACCTACCTACCTACCTACCTTGGTGTGCGGTAAGAAGCGGGGGGTTTGCTGAGGGGGTGGCGGGATAGGAGGTGAGAAGCCTGGAAAGTTTGAAACAAGTGGCTGGGATTACGTGGGCATATATAAAGATTTGATATTTGAGGGCATGGAAGCTGGAGTTGGACTGGTCTCTTGGTGGTTGGACTGTTTCATTATTTTGCTGTTGATACTGGGGCTGCAGCGACACAACACCACCGCATACCGAAACTAGCGTTCGCTTATAAATGATGCATAATGATGATACCCATTGCTTCAGACCTCTATGTCCGCTCAACGCCATGCTTGTGCCTTTTATCACGGCCGCCTGCCGGCTATCAGTGACCGATGCCTGCCCCGAAACGTCCAACCAAGCCAAAAACTAGGCCGCCACGTTGCGCCCGTTATCATCAACGTCGCACACTGACTGTATCGTACAAGTCTGAAACACAGTCCTTGTTGGTTGTTTGACCAACACTACCCTTGGAACAAAGTGGTACAACACTCGTGATCAAGGGCCATCCCAAGACCGCTGTTACTGACGGGCTAAAGCCTCGATTGCCAGCCTGCCACACTCTCATAGAACACCATCTATTCAAGTGAAATGGTCACTGCTCCGCTGCCACCACCGGCAGACGAGCAGTCCAGCTGGAGAAATGCGCTATGGTACATCACTCATTGTAGTGATAGACCTGTTTCTGTTAGCATGACGTATTCAAGGTTGACTGCTGATAATGGTCACTTTACCTTATAATTAGGGAGGCCGACGGGTTGCCAACCCAGCCTCTTGGACATCTTTGCAAAACCCTCGGTTTCGATCAGGTTGTAGAAGGCAAAGGGGGGGAACATAGCACCGTCTCGGTGCACGTCTGCCTTCACCAGAAGCGCGGCGCCGCCAACGCCGTCCAAGGGCATCTCCTCATGCAAAAGGCCGTCCTCCTTGGTCATGTAGGCCATCAATGTCCGGAACGTTGCCATTTCGGCATAACCTTCCAATAGGATGTCATCTGGGTTCATCTTCTTGGCCATGTCCAGCGCGGTCTGGCTATCCTGCCAGTTGTTGAAGTCGTAGGGCCGCTCGTCCATCTCCTTCTTGTCTTCGTTCCAGAAGCGCTGGAAGCAATTGGGCGCCATGATGGCCTGATCGTGACGGGCTAGATCTTGAATGATCGTTGGTGGGGTCTCGACGACATCAGCATCCAGCCACAATATCCACGAGGTCGCCGGTCCAAGAGTTGAAAAGAGCAGCGAGTTGCGGGCCTTGGCCATGGCCGCCCGCCGGGCCTTCTGGTTCTGCATCTTGTGACGCTCCTTTTCGTCCTGCGATACGAGCGGCGGGTCAATGTCCTCCCGCAGAATGATGATGCTCTTGAACCGATCCTTCTCTGGTCCGTACAGCTGGGCCTTCGTGATCCTCTTTTGCAACTCCCTCGTCGCATCATTCCCTTCTTTCGTCTTGGGTAGGATGAAGCCAAGGGTGATCAGCTCGTGGGGGTACTGCAGCTCGAGGATGTTGTCCCAGTATCCTTGATAGAATCGCGCCATTGGCGTCAAAATCAGGACGTTCTCGCGGTTCTCGAGCGGTTCGGGCGTGGTAGTGACATTGTTAAGGTCATAATGTGCGACGGGCGGCGGTTTCAGCTTGCCGCTCCCAGTCGACTTGCGGAAGGGAGAGGTCGGCGGCGAGAGAGGGTGGGATGCGGCCGTGGCTTTGCGAGAAGCGGAAAAGTCGGGAGTCGAAGAGCCTATTAAAAAGTATAAAATGAAAATGCAGAGGGCTACGCCAACGGCAAGAGTCGCTGGGCTCGTCTTCTTGAGACGAACCGACCCCATGGGACGCGCCATGGGTTCGTCGAAGATGAATTAGGAAAAACGACCCATAGAGCTGTCAACGGTGCGCCGTTGATGTCGGGAAAATGATCTCTTTGCGCCAACAGTCGCCCAAGGAGGGTCGCAACAAGGCGGCCCGGTAATGCAACCAAGGGTTGCCCGTCCACGGCTGTGAAGGGCTGTAGGTGGTGCTGTTGGTGGTGCCAGGGGTCGATGGAATGAATGGGTTCAAAAAAAAAGGACAAAGTGACAATCGCCTGAGCAGGTGGTGCTGGCTTCTTGGTGCACAGTATTCGTATCAAATAAGATTAACCCCCCCTGTCCCGCTGTAAGTGCCCGAATTTTTACGAGTCAGGCCAGACCACCCGAACGTTCGATGAACCCGAGATAAGGCTCATGGAAAAGGATGTGTACTACGAGTATTAACTAGATTATCTAGGCGGTATTCAAGGCAATGATCTTTTGTCGATGTACTCCGTAGATGGGTTAGAACCTTAAACTTTGATCCAAAGGTACATTACGCCCACCGTAAGCAGCACAGTATTTGAACAGTGCTTGGCTCAGGCAAGCGAGCTGCGTCAACGACCGGCAGCCTTACCAACGGCAGCTCACCCACTACCAACCCCAAAGCTTAAGCTTCAGCACCCAAGTCCGCCGCCTTCCCCGAACGTCAAACCCGGCAGCCTTCCTCCATCCACCTCGCCCAATTTCCCTTTCATAACTAAAATCACGGCGATCCGCCCATTTCGCAAAGATGTCAATAACACCAATTATTACGTTCAAGGCGGGCATGTGTGATGTCGATGTCAGTCTGCCTTGGCCCCCGTGCCCCTCCATGAGATTGTCGCCCGCTGACGGGATAACCAGCAATCCTCAAAACCCTTCAAAATCAAGGCCCAGGCTACGCCAGGCTACATCTATCTCTATTCCGAAGATGGTATGATTTATAACGTTCCAACCCCCCAGCGCGCTCCCGGCCCGCAAGCTGACTCCCCACCCCAAACAGACCTCATCCACTTCTGCTGGCGCCCCAGGTGGACGCCCCTGGACGAGCCCGATCTTGACCTAGTCATGGTCCCGACAGACGGCAACTTCGTCCCATACGACACCCGCACGCCGAGCAACCCCTCCTCCAAGACCAACGGCCGCATCTTCGTCCTCAAGTTCACCTCCTCCTCACAGCGCCACCTGTTCTGGCTCCAGTCAAAGCCCCAGGGCAACAGCGGCGACCCGGCCTGGCTCAGCCCGAGGGACCTCAAGATTGGCGATATCGTGGACAGGCTGCTGCAGGGCGAGGAGGTGGATGTGAACGAGGAGCTGAGCTCGGTCCGCAACAACAACGACGACAGCCGGCGCGACGCCGACGACGAGGAGGACGAAACGATGGAGGATGTAGAGGGCCATGCCGGCGCGCATGCGCAACGCCGCAGCGGTCACGGGGGCGCCGGCGCTGGTGCCACCGGTGGAGACTTCAGGGAGGAAGGCGAGGATGCCAGGGAAGGAGGGGGAGACGGCGCGAGAGCGTAGGTGACCATTCTCCCCTATTTGACGCGGTCCCCGGGTGCTTTTTTGGCTCGTACATCATGGTTGTTTATTGCTGCTGCCGGGGAGTGGGCCGAATCTGGCGCATAGCATTGAGCCTCTTTCCAGATAGCATGTACATCCTAGAAACCCGCCAGCACGAACAAGGCGGGAAGAGAGAATGAGAAACCGGCATTGTCTCATTTCTTGGTTCGCATCCCAGATGTCGTGCACATGTGCTGACTTGTGTTGGTAGGGCGAACAACGATGCTGCTGACGTGGTACGGAACTTTCTCGATTCCCTGAAAGGCGCCCCGGGGCTAAGGAGCAGTCGGGCCGAGGGCAAGGCGTACCCTTTGCTGAACGATCTACTCGAGACCTCCACAACTATTCCCATGCTCGACAGTGCTACCGACGAGTACGTCGACAACCTTCTAAGCTTCCTGCCCCCGACGGTGTTGGTTTTGGCCCAGCAGGGAGCCAACGGCAACGCCATCGAGAGAGAGCCGAGTGCGGAATCAGTGGAGGCGGCCAAGCAGGCCCTGAGCTCGAGCCAGAAGCGTGCGCTCCTTAAGCAAGTGCTCCGCAGCCCGCAGTTCACCCAAAGTCTGGCGAGCCTCACGGTTGCGCTTAGGGACGGCGGTTTGCCCAGCATCGCAGAGGCACTGGGGGTCGCGGTGGAGAATGGCGGGTTGGTTAGGGGCGGTACCGTGCCCCTAGGTGGTGGTGATGCCGTCGAGGCCTTTGTGGAGGGCGTGAAGAAGACGGTGCAGAGGAAGTGATTGGGTTATTCGGCCTGCCGGCTGGATTCAAGACAAAGAGGTTCATTGAAGCGGATACCGTCCCCATGTATAGCCTACACATGAGGAAAAGAGCCACGGCATCTTGGCTCTGGGCCCTATTTCGAGGGCTCATAACAAAACGGCCATTGCGCTTTGCCCAAACAGAGATACTCAAGAGATGACTTCGAACAAATAATCTCGAGCTGCTTGTTAAGAACACCTCCTTCTCTTACACCCTGAGATAAACACTTCCACCCTTTACTCGGATAAAGTAGACACTTGCTCGGCTGCCCAATTTTACGGCGACAAGCTGTTTAGGACAACAATCAAACCTTCGGACAGTTCGTTTTCAAGCCGTACCCGGACTCCCCCTGGATTATTGTTCGCGATGCTTAACCCTAACCCCCGTCATTGCCCTCCAGCACTGCGTCATTCCTATCGGCTACCTGGCGAGCTCGCTTCACCTTGCATCCTCCACAATCCTTCTTGAGAATTGTGTTTCTCGCCCAACATCCAACACCAACACGAAAGATGGCAGAAGAAGCCGAGTACTGGTCGTTTCCGACCAATCTAGAAGAATTCGACCAGGATGAGCGCATCTCGTATTCCAAGCTCGACAACAAGTACATTGCCGTGCAGGACGATGGCACCGAATTCGAATTCGACCAAGGGCTCAAGCGTTGGATCCCTATGATCGACGAGGCCCTGATTGAGGAACAGCAGAAGGGGTACATGATGCCCAATGTCGATGAAGAAGATGCTCGACAAGGATCTACGCAAGGGAGAAAGAGGAAGATGGACTCGAACGATCGCGAGGTAAGCTGCGCGCGCATCTGCAGCCAGAGCCGCCCCGCACGCCGCCATGCCCTCCTCCTCCCACCATAGCCCACCACATCAAGAGAGTTATATGAGACAAGAACAGCCCCGACGCTCGCGCGCGAGATCCGGGAAAGACTGACCAGCCGCTTGATGTTACTTTCTGTTTGCGCGCCAGCAGGACAACAACCACAATAGCAAGGATCGTTCGTCCAAATCCGCAAAACGGCATGGAAACCGCGGGCCATCCCAGCCCAAACAGAATACGGCCGTCTATGTGACTGGTCTTCCATCCGATGCCACTGCCGAAGAGGTGGCCGAGCTCTTCTCGCGCAAGTGCGGCGTCATCGCCGAGGAGATCGACAGCGGCCGGCCGCGCATCAAGATGTACACGGACGCCGACGGCAACTTCAAGGGCGACGCCCTAATCGTCTTCTTCAAACCGCAGTCCGTCGAGATGGCCATCATGTTGCTCGACGACACCGATTTCCGCTTCGGGTCGTCGGCCACCCCCAAGATGCACGTCCAAGCTGCCGACATGAGCTACAAGAAAACCAAATACGACGGGGGCGACGCCAAACCAGGCGAAGCCAACAATGACAACAACAACAACATCACCCGCTCCTCAGACGCCTCAGCCGCCGACAAGCGCAGCAACCAAGACAAAGCCAAGATCATCAAAAAAACACAAAAGCTATCCGCCAAACTGGCCGACTGGAGCGACGACGAGCACGCCGACGGCGACCCCATGACCGGCGCCCCCGCCCACACAGGCAGCGGCAGCAGCAAACACGATCGGCTCGTGATCCTGCGGCACATGTTCACGCTGGAGGAGCTGCGCGAGGACCCGACGGCGATGCTGGACATCAAGGAGGACATTCGCGAGGAGTGCGCCAAGCTGGGGCCCGTGACCAACGTGGTGCTGTACGACGAGGAGGAGGAGGGCATCGTGAGCGTGCGCTTCCGCACGCGCGAGGCCGCCGAAGCCTGCCTGCGCCTCATGCACGGTCGCGCCTTCGCGGGGCGCATCGTCGAGGCCTTTTTCGCCACGGGGCGCGAGAAGTTCCGGCGCTCCAAGGGCGAGGTGGCCGGGCATGGGCGGGATCAGGGGAGTGGTGGTGAGGATTGATTATGTTGCGATTAATGGGTATGATTTACGGTAAGGCCACCCAGGGTTGCGTCTCGTCTTGGGATTTTAGCGGCCTGCGTTCCTATTCATTGTGCTCGAGTTGGTAGCCTAGACATGGAACAACTCGGCTCGTTTCATCTAGGTTTGTATGAATAATAATCGGTTCATCTCATCATACTTTTTTTTTTTCTACTTTTACTCCTTGCAATCTAATCAGGCATATGTCCACTTTCTGGAGGCTGGGTGATGAATATCAAAGTCCATTCCGTATCTACCCTCTAAAGTCAAGTGTTGAACTTTTCCATCCCCAACGCAAGCCGCCGTAGATTGTCGTCCTCAACCCATGTAATGGTTCCTTCCGTATTGTACATCGAACCTGAAAGATCAAGGGGACGGGGTATCTAAGTCAATCTCTCGGAATTGTTTCTTTTAGTGGTGGAAAAGCCGGATGCCTTGCTCCACGAAAGTGATACCGTGCTTTTCGGCTGTCTCGAAGACAGGCTGGTCGTTCTGGCTGCCGCCGGGGGCAGCAATGTACTTGACGCCGGAACGAGCGGTGCGGTAGACGTTGTCGGTAAAGGGGAACTATGCATTCGTTAGCTTCTAGTTGCTGGTAAATTGTGGAGAGACCTACGAAAGCATCGCTCGACACGACAACGTCTGTCAGCTTGCTCATCCACTCGTCCTTCTCCTCCTCAGTGAAGGCAGCCGGGACCTCCTCAAAGGCAGCCTCGAAAAGCTCGCGCTCCGCACCCTTCTTAGGGAGTTGGCCGCTGACGAGCAGGTCGATGGCGTTGCTCTTATCGGGGCGCTTGGTGCCCTTCTTCCACTTGATGCCGAGAACACGAGGGTGGAAACGGAGCCACCAGTTATCGGCCTTGTCACCCGCCAACCGGGTGCAGTGGATACGCGACTGCTGACCCGCACCGAGACCAACGATTTGGCCGCGGGCGGCGTAGCAAACCGAGTTGCTCTGCGTGTACTTGATGGCGATGGTGGCGACGGTAAGATCGCGCAGGGCGCTCTCGGAAAGAGGGCCGGCATTCTTGGGAGTGATGATGTTCTTGAAGGACTCGGGGGAGATCTCAACATCGTTGCGGCCCTGGGTCAGGTTGACGCCGTAGACTGTCCTAGTCTCAGTCTTGCTGGGCTCGAACTCAGGGTCCATCTGGAGCACCAGGTATCTACCACCCTTCTTCTTCTTGAGAATCTCCAGAGCAGCGGGCTCATACCCAGGGGCGATGACACCATCGGAGACCTCCTTGGAGATGATGCTCGCAGTGGGGACATCGACAATGTCGCTGAGAGCGATCATGTCGCCGAAGCTGCTCATGCGGTCGGCACCTCGGGCGCGAGCATAGGCCTGGGCGAGGCCAGAAGTCTCAATACCGGCAATGTCATCAACCATGTAGACCTTGCGCTCGTCGGCGTCTAGGGGCTCGCCAATGGCGGCGCCGGCCGGGGAGACGTGCTTGAAGCTGGCCGCGGCGGGTTTGCCGAGGGCCTTCTTGAGCTCCTTGACCAAGGCCCAGCTGTTGAGAGCGTCCAGGAGGTTGATGTAACCGGGGGAGCCGCCCAGAACCTTGAAGGGAATGCTGCCCTCCTTGACGTAAGCCGAAGCGGGCTTCTGGTGGGGGTTGGCGCCGTAGCGGAGGGGGAGATACTGCTGGCCATCGGCGGCGTACTGCTTACGGAAGAAGTCGGAAATAGCAGCGTCATAATCGGCAGTGTGTTCAAAGGCCTTTAGCGCGTACAGCTTACGGCTCGACTCCTTGATCTCGCCGGCCTCAAGTTCCTTCAGAAACTCAGCATAGTCCTTGGGGTCGCTGAGGATGGTGACGCGCGAATGGTTTTTGGCAGCCGCGCGGATGAGAGTGACACCGCCGATATCGATCTCCTCGACAGCCTCGGGAACGGTGACATTAATCTTCGCGACGGTGTCCTTGAAGGGATACAGGTTGCAGATGACGTAGTCAACCTTGTCAATGTTCTGCTCGGCCAAGTCCTTCTCGTCAGAGGCAAGGTTGCGAGCCAGAATACCGGCGTGGACGGCGGGGTGGAGAGTCTTGACGCGGCCGGCAAGCATCTCGGGGGCCTTGGTAATGGCGGAAATGTCCCTATGAGAGGATCATGTCAGCTCGTTCGGTTTGAGCGCACGTCGAAACAAAGGATCGTACTCGACAGGGAAACCCGATTCCCGGATCATCTTGGAGGTGCCGCCCGAGGCCAGAATGCGGACATTCTGCTGTACAAGGCCCTTGGCCAGGTCCAGGAGCCCGGTCTTGTCATAGACCGAGACGATAGCAATTCTCTGGTGGTCAGCCATCGTGAAGTAGCTATTTGGTGTTGTGAGAAGCAAACTGTTTGTTTTGTTTTCCAAGTCGTCAGTGTTTGCTTCTTCGACTCTGACCAAGCCGGTTGCTTGGATTGGACCCGACTCCAGTGTAACTTACAAGGTTTATCCACGATCAATTGGGATCGTGAGTGGACTACCAAATCAACTGCTGGGAGTTGTGGGTGGTCTCGAATACCAATTCCGAAACTCGAGAAAGGTTGGCAGCTTCCCGAGTAAGGAAAGTTCCCGGAACACGCTTCTTAAAAGAATTGAAAGTGAGATTTTGCTTATCACACCATGAATGGCAAGAACGAGGGGCTGAAATGTTTGCAATCGCTCCTTCTCTTATTTTCCCTAACTATGAGATGGAGGGGCAACTTGGCCGGGATCGGGGTTGCGTCTGCCCCGCATGCCACTTTTTCAGTCCTGCACATGCGTGGGTAATTACCGCACTAGCGCATTGCAATTGGCAAAAACCTACATAATAGGGAGCTTCCCCCACTGCAGTGCGCGAAATACCCTACCCATTTTGCGCTCGTCATATTTTGCCTTGCGAATGCCCGGCGGTTGTGCATGGGAAATGTACCCTCTTGGTGATGATTTTCATCGCATCTTCGACGCCACTTTTTAGCCAGGTTTTGTTGCTGTCAAACAACCGTGCGCAGGTGAGGGGCGCTGCCAATTTGTTTGGGCGAGGTGCACGGGCTAGTGCCCTTAATAAGGTAGGCAGCCAGCCCCTTCTCCCGTCCTTCGGGACATTTGGTCAATGTGAGTATTTCCAAGCGGTCTAGCGTTGCACTCTGCAAAATACTAACCACCTCGCAGTTGAAACGATACAGAGAAGATTAGCATGGCCCCTGCACTAAGGATGACACGCTACTCAAAGAGACGCTACCAATTTTTTTATAAATTTTTATTACCCGAAATACCGCTGTAAAACTGTTGGAAAGCCTGCAAATGGCCTCCCAATCGAGAGACCCCGGACAGCTCGCGTGAGGTCAAGGGTTCGAATGCTACAAGTTTCGCCTTTTCTTTTTCTTTTTAAAGTAACTTCATTTTTAACTTCGGTTCATCAACTACCTACATGAGGCTTGATCACTTATGATGTAACATTTAAATAGAATCAATGTTGCAACTACAATACACCTCAGCCAAAACTACTTGACAGATAACCTAACGCCAAAGTATGCTGTTTCTACAACCTGCAACCACAACCTACATGAGGTACCATAAATAACACCGCCCGCATCTTCATATTCACTCCCATCAACCAACCAATCCATCGACTCCCCCAGTCAATCAATCCTGCCACAACCGCCCCAACAACCCGCTCTCCTCACCCAGCACCCCCCTGCTCTTCTCATCCTCAGCAATCCGAATAATCAGCTCCCCAAACAGGCCATTCGCCCACCCAAACCACGGGCGCGTCCACTCCTTCTCGTTCCACGCATTGACCGTCTCGTGCACCACCCCGCGGCCGTCGGTCGAGTTAAGCACCGCGAGCAGCTGTTCCGCCACGGCCGCGTCGCGCGCCTCTTGGGAGCTGAACCCGGCCATTTCCTCGAAGGCCGTCAGCGCCGCGATGGTCGCTGCCATGGGCCACCCCCGCCCGGGGCCGAGGTGCGGGCCGCCCACGGCGGAGAGGGCGGGGCCTTTGGCGAAGTACGGGTTGGCGAGGCTGAGCACGAATTTGCGCGTGTTTTGGTAGATGAGGGCGTAGTCGTGGTCTTCTTCGGTGGTGGTGGTGGTGGTGGTGGTGGTGATGGAGCTGTCGGCGGCGGCGGCGTCTGTTGTTGAGTCGGTGGTGGAATCGGTTCGGGGGAGGGCTGATGGTTCACTGTTGTCATCTTCGGTTTCCGTGGCGGTGACATCGATTCGCGGTATTAACGACGGTTCGGTGTGGTCTGCGGTTTCTGTGCCGGTGGTGTCGTTCTCAGCAGCGGAGTTCTTCACCGACTTGGTCATCTGCTTGCCCGCATTCAATGGCTTGGTGTAGTTCCACAGCGGCATGGCCAGCAGCGAGGGGACGTTGGCGTCATCCATCAAGTTCGCACCGCCGTATCCGTCTACCTCGTACGCAAAGATCTCGCCAAAGTCGCGGTGAGTGACCACGGCGTCGAGCGCGATGCCCTGGCGGATGGTCCCAGCGAGCTTGCGCATCTCGAGCGTCAGGTTGGCCGCCTTGTCGTTGAGCTCCCCGTCCGCCAGCCCCTGCATAATCACAGACGCCTGTTCCAGGTAGGCGGCCCACATCATGTTGCTGGGTGTTAGAAGCTGGAAAATGCAGGCGTCGTCGCTAGGGCGGAACGCCGAGCGCACCATGCCGTTCTCCTTGACCGGGTTTCCGAGGCCGTCGTTAGTGAGCGTCTCAGACCCGCGGTTTGTCCAGCCTGTAAAGGTCCAGGCCGACGGGAGTACACGGCCGTCCTTGTCGTAAGTGCCCAGACGCATGGCGGCAGATGCGTCGACGGCGGCCTCCACGGCGTTGACCCAAGAGTACTTGCCGAAAAAGTCGAGGTCACCGGTGCGGGTGTAGTAGGCGGTGCTGACCTGGAGGAAGGAGGCCAGGCTGTCAAGCTCCCATTTGCAATCGAACACGAGCGCCGGGTCGTACGCCGGCATAGGACGGTTCTGGTTATATGCAGCGTTGTGCGTTGGCTTGATACCACTCTCGGGTGGCGGCTGGAACGAGTGGCAGTAGGGCGAGATGATAATGTACCGCGAGTGCGAGTTGATTAGGCCGCGCCAGAGACTGGCTAACGAGTCTGCGTCATCGGAAGCTTCCAGAAGAGGCAGATACGAATACACCTGGCTTGCCGAGTCGCGTAGCCACATGGCGTCGATGTCACCCGTGATGACGTACGTCAGCTCCTCGTCCGTCTCGACCTCCTCGCCGCTAGTCTCGTTCTTCTTCTTCGCAAAACCGCGCCACTTGACCATGGTATCGAGTGTGTTTGGATAGCTGTTCTCGAATAACCGGAACAGATCCGGGTCGCGGATCACCTTCTTCATGCGCTCGAGCATCTCCTCCAGAGCAGGTAGGGGGAACTTTCTGCATTCGAGCGGTGGGCGGACAAAGGGAAACTCGCGTTTGCCCTCGGATGGTGGACCGGGCCGCTGCCGCTGCAATGTCTCAAAGTCGGCGCACTGGAGTGTGGGCTCAGGAGTCGAGTCAGCGGCTTCCGTAGCGGTCTCTGTGGCTTCCGTAGCTTCCGTAGCTTCCGTTGCCTCCGTAGTTTCCATGGCCTCCGTGGCCTCCGTAGCCCCCGTGGCTTCTGCGGTCTCCGTATCCTCCGTAGCCTCCGTGGTCTCGGTGGCCTTAGCTACCTCAGTTGTCTCAGTAGTGCTGGTGCTCTCGACCGGCTCAGTCTCGGATCCATTGCTCTCATCATCGTCATCATCGCTCGTCGATGTTGGTGGATACCGGTTGTCTTCAACTTCATCCGCCTCCTGAGCGGAATGGTCATGTTGGGACGACGTGTGATCATCATGAGGAGGTTTCGCGGGGGTGGGTGCCCCGGACGGGTTCTTGTGCAAATCAAAGGGGGCCTGGCGGACGGTAGATAGCGGCGTCTGATATCCAAACCAAATGACAAATACGGTCAAGAGGATAGCAATACTAAGATATCGCCCTCGCCGGGTGCCGGTCAAGAACGGGAGGACCATCCTTACCAAGACGGGAAGATCGACTCTGCAGGTGGGTTAAAGGTAGGACCGTGTGGTGTACAAGTATAAACCCCAGTAGAGAGAAGCTAAACCGGGAAAAGAAGAGCCTTTGACAGCCAAGTGTCGTAGCACAAGGCCGGCCCAACCCCAACACAGTCAATTTGAGAAGACAAGTGTTGTCAAAACATCTCACGCGCAGGAAGGACAGAAGTTTTGCGGCACGACCCTGAGGTAACAGCAAGCGTTGACCGGAATCGAGATGCCGGATGGTAGTATTCTTGGCGGGCCCCTCACCAAAGCCTAAGTCCAGCTCCCAAATTGTCGGGCCAATGGGTGCAAGGAGAAGTATGCCAGGGGGTCAGCAGCCTTGCGAACCCCTGTCTGCCCGTGTCGCGGTTCAACAACCTCAGAAGGTACTTCGTAGCATCTCGATCAGAGTTCTAATCGTATATTTATATGGAAACTCCTGCTGGTCCTTTCGACTGCAAAATGTATTATTCTATTTCAAATCTATCCAACTGTTGCTAGTAGTCTACCCGAAAAAGCAAATCCCGTTGCCAGGGTTCTTTTGTCTTGGCCCCCAACACCATGCATCCTCCGTGATCATCACACACCCCCAAGAATATCACCAAGACAGATCCTCGCTACTACTCGACATCAGGTCGTCTTCATCTCCTCTGCCTCTCTCTGGGGGCACCCACGCCTCCACCTCCTCACAACCCTTGGGAATACGGCACACGTTCCTCGCATCGCAGGTCTTCCACAGCACCTCCCGTACCCCCTTAAACACCTGTTCCGGGGCGTCCATAGCCCAAATAACATCCAGATGCTCATACTCAGGAATCACCTTGCTGTGCACCACCCTGACATGCGGCTCCCGGCCGCTCTCAAACCTACGCAGCAGCTTATCCCCGTCCACCAGCGCATCATTACCACACACCCACAACGCAAAAGGCGGCGCCTGATGGTTATACCAAGCCGTCGACCCGCGCGGCTTTTTCTTGTGGGCCTCAACAGCCTGCTCGGGTTTCTTCCCCACCCGCCGGCCTTCAGCATCGTGATCCGCCTCCGCCGGAACCGACCCGCGCTGCTGTTGCTCCAGCTCGCGGTCCTCGCGCTCCTCAGCACGCCACTCCTCCTTGGTGGCTAGGATACACTTGTGGCGCGCAAAGCACTCGCGGCCGAGCCACCAGCGCATGGACTCGGAGCTGACGTAGACGGGGGCAAACTGGAACATGCGGTCGCGCAGGGCGCGGTCCCAGCGCTCGTCGGTCCAGTTGAAGAGGAACGAAAAGACCTTGTACCCCAGCCAGCCGTAGATGCGCGGGTGCAGGGCGCGGTGCATGGTCATCATCAGCGGGATGAAGGCGTGGACGCCAAACATGAGGCGGAACATGGCCGGGGTGATGACGCGCATGAACTTGAAGTACATCTTGCCGATGAGCGGGCCCGCGTAGGCGGCGGGGGCGAGCGCGCAGAAGACGGTCAGGCGCTCCCCTAGGGCCGGGCGCTGCTCCTTGGCTAGCGCCACCATGGCTTGCGTGGTGCCCTGCGAGTGGCAGACCAGCCCCAGGCGCGCGAAGCCTGTCTCGTACAGCACGCGCGCGGCCAGGGCGGGCAGGTCGAAGACGCCCATCTGCCGGATGTTCCAGCACCACATACGCGGGTCGGCGTAGTCGAGCAGGGCGTGCCGCGGGTGGAAGCCGCACCGGTTGTTGCCGAGCCACACGTCGAAGCCAGATTTGCAGAGGTAGAAGGCGAGCGAGGCATCGTCGTTGACGCAGTAGGCGCCGGAACTCTGTAGGAGGCCGTGCATGAGGAGGACGGGAAATTTAGGTTTCTGATGAGGTGAGTCGGTGTTTTTTTCGTTGTTTTGGGCGGCGGTGTGTTTTTGTTTAGGGGCTCTGAATGCCTCGGGTTCGCGGTGCGCTCGCTCTTCTGGAGGCAGAGGCTGGTACTCTTTCGGGTCGTAGACGTGCCACAGCTCGATGACGAAGCCATCCTCGGTCTGGACTTGGAAGGTTTCTATGTCAAGCCCGACACGGCGGGCGTAGTAGGCTGGATCACATACGACCGGGTCCGGCCCGCCCTCCGTGGGTGTGAAACCATCACTGTCGGTGCTGGTGCCCTCCTCCGACGCCTGCGAGGTTGAAGGGGCTTTCCCGCGGGCCCATTGCCGCTCTTTTTCTTTTCTTTGTTTCTTCTCTTTTATTTCCTCGTCGTAAAACGGCCGGGAGGAGTCTGGGTTTCGAAGCGTTATCCGCTGCCATAGCCGCTTGACCCATGGCCAGATGCTGGTGAAGAGTGCGCCGAGCACGATGACTTCCAGAAACGCCAGGCTGAGAAAGAAGGACGATATTTGAAAGATGCGACACTGAATGTTCCTAAGCAGAGACGGGGGGCCGTAGAGTGGTAAAGGCGGGAATAGGGGGTTCGTATGCGTCGGCGGCATCGTCCGCCGGAGACTCCCGTCTGGTGATTTTTGTCTCCCATCCCTTGCCTTCTCTGCCGCAACATTGGCAACACTGGCCGCATGGTCCGTCAATGGTCCAATCTCTATCTCGTCTGAACTTTGCCCTTCTCCCTCTTTCCCCGGCAGTGTTGTCGGTTGGTGATTTTTCACCTCTTCCCTTAAGACATTTAATTTGTGAGCTTCTTCCAGAGGTACTGGGGGTAGGCGATTTCCATCCGAAGTGACAAGGACTGGATCCTGGGGGGTCACGAATCGTGCCTCGACCGCGATACCATCGCCGTCGCTCTCGCTCAGGTTCTGATGTGATAGTTTCTCCGCCTGTCCCGCGAACTCGGCGGCTGCCTTATCCCAGGAAGCATTACGGCCTGGATGTGATGGGGGACTGTCGGTTGTTGTTTTACTTTCTTCGACAATTGTCTCTTGTACTGTCATGGCGGCAGCAAGGATGTATGTCTCTTGACTGCTCTGTGACTACGGAGTCTGAAAAGGGCTTAAGGGGTAATTATCAAATCAATGGGTTCGGTTGCACGGCGCAACATAGCAAAATAGCAACGATAGATGTATGCAGTTACATTTACAAGCAGTGGTGCAGAAATAATTAAGTATTGTTCGGTGTTTCAGAAATAGGGAAGGTGGGCAAGTGTGTGCCCAGTTGCCATCTTCGACGTCATCGGAATTGATGAGGCGACAACGGATGAATTGAAATTGAACATGGATGCTTTTCCTCTGGCAAGGAAAGCTGGAAAGGGGTGCAGAAAGCGCCACCCCACGGGGAGAAACAGGGGTAAATTGGCCTGGACCCAAGTTTCTACCCAGGAGGTTGGCGGCATGTGAAGATCGCTGTTGTTCACCCTGAATGATAGGGGTTAGGGTTAGCTAATCCCTAGCTCACCCCCCCTGTCTCGGGTTACAGGCCCCTCCACCAATGTGCCGAGGCCAAAGTTCAGAGCCGAAGCCGTCCATCTGGGGCACAGCTGCATCACAGCGGGTCCCCGGCCTCGCAAGAGATGCGCCGAATGGTTATCCGCCTCGAATGCCCAAATACGTGAATATGGCATCTTGAATTCAATTGAGGACCACAGAGACTTTCTCGCGCCTCACCCGGTGCTCTACCGATTTTACGGTTCTCGCATTACCGTCTAGGGGAGTAGGGCCTCAAACAGCGTATCAATCTACCCCAGAACGAGCTCCCTCGACCGCGACGGCATCGACCCCCTCTACCCCGAACAACGAAACCCCACGTTTCTGGTCGACTTCATAAACTTTCCCATAAGCCTACACAACCCACACAATGCCGGCATCTGAAGCGGGCGGCAGCGTGGTCCGCCGGAGGCGGGTACGGAGGCGTCGTCACGACAAGTCCGCTGTCTCGGCGCGTCTTGTCTTGGATGACCATGTTAAGACCGACGTTGGCATCGTGTCTGAGGATTTGTTTGCTGAACTGTTCCCTCATTTGCAATATTGTGTGTTTGTCCATAAGCTGCTCCCCAAGTCCCCACCCGCATTGGTGCTAATACGATGTGCGCAACGCAGCTCACGACGATGATGAACTCGCAAGCATCCCGAGCCCCTTGCACATCGCTCTCGCCCCATGGACACCCTCACACGCTCCCGAGTCTACAAACTGGGCCATAGTCCCCGTCACACCTTCATCCGCCCTCGCGCCGTCTACCATACAGTTCTCCCCATCGTCACTAGCTCTACAATCCTTCGCTTTGAACCTGAAGCAAGTCGCGCCGTCGCAGTTGAACACCCGGAGCAGGGGCGGAATCGAGGTCTTGGTGTTGGATGTTGCCACCATCGAGCTAGACACCGTGTTTGTGAGTCTTGAAGGGGAGCTGGCTAAAAGATTGGAAAATGGAGAGGGCAACTTCTTCCGGGAACATCCCACGGCAGGCCCTGGCAAGGCCCCGGTTGCCTCGTCCACTCCCGAAGCGCGCTTGACGGCCGCCTTGCGCACCGCGCTCGGCACTCTGAAAGTTGTTCACACCGGAGATATGTTCCCGCTCCCTCTAGCGCCGCACCCTGTCACCCACGTCCCCCCGAACCCCGGCAAAATCACTCTATGCGAGCCGGTCGCCCAGGGGATTCTCGGCCCCAACACCAAGATCATTGTGTCTCGTGGCCGCACCCACTCCAAACATGACCGTTCATCGGCTCCGATGCCGCAAAGTCGGGGCCTCAACGGAGCCGCCGAGGACGACGAAGACACGGCGAATGACCAGTTCTTCTCCGCCGCCGAAGAAGGTATCCGGACCGACACTGCTGCCGAGGATACGGATGCCACCGCGACCGAAACCGAGTTTGAGGATCCGGAGGGGGAGGAGGACGATATTCTATCCGATGATTCGATGGACGAAATGATCTCCCTCCAAGTCCCGGCATTATCGTCCACAATCACGAGCGGGATAGGCACGCCCTCCACCATAGGGCGCGGGCGGAGGACCAACGGCATTAGTGGCGCGGCCTCTGTGTTTTCGAACTTCACCGCAACGACGGCAAGGCCGGACCGGCCCCGGGGGCGCTTGTTCAAAGCTCAAGGGTTGATGCAGCCCATCCCCCCTGACGTTCTGCACCCGAAACCCACCGCTGTCGACGATGAAGAGGCGCGAATCTACGTTGACACCAAGGATCTTCCCAGAATCGGCTGCTTCTCGGGTGACTGGGTGCGGGTAGAGTCATCTCAGGAGCCACCCACTAATGGCTTTGGCGCCTTCGGTCTCGGAAGTTTCGTCGAGCAAGATCCGGATGAGGCTGGCTGGCGTCCCGCAAGGGTCTACGGACTACCAGACGGTTACTCTAACCGTCCCGTGGCCCGGGTAGCGAGCTCCAAGTACGATGGCCGGAGGATGTCCTTCTTCGAGTCTCAGGTTCAAAGGACCTTGAGCCCCGCCGTTTATCTCTCTCCGATCGTACTCTCGAACCTGGAAAACCCACCGTACCTCCGTATTTCCCCCATCAGACGAGGCGTGCAAGCAAAAAATCCTCAGTCGAGGGCATCGGTTCTCATCCAGCCGCCATTTGCTCGCGAAGTCATCTTGCAGCACGTAAGGACTCCGATTCCGGTTGAGAGGGATGTTCAAACGGCCGTCATGGCTGGGTTGAAGTATTATTTTGAACAAAGGTTACGTGTTATCAAAACGGGAGACCTCATTGCTGTGCCTATCGATACTCAGCTCGGACGAGCATTGCAAGAGACGACCGTACCAGGCGACGATTCGGCCATCGATGATGTGCTGGCCATGATTTCCAGCGGACGGCCAGACCGGGGCCTTAAATACGACGAGGTCGCCTGGTTCAAGGTCAAGCACGTTCAGCCAGTGAAGCAGGATCCAGCTGACCTGGATGAGGAAGAGGAGGACCCTTGGGGCTCAGTCGCTTGTGTCGACATCTCCATGGCGCATCTAGAGCAAAGCGGCTCTGTGACGAGCCGTGTGCCTGGAACGTCGTCGAATAACTGGCCGTATTACCTCGGGATCAAGAAGCTTCCAAAGCAACCAAAGGGTCCTGCAAGTCCCTTGGCGATCGAACCCGAGCGGCAACATATTTCGCCGCTGAGGAGAAAGCTCAGGGAACTTGCGGCAGCGGCCACCAGCAAGCCCGCCCTCCACCTCAAGATGCCTCCCGTCGCGATCTTGCTTGTCTCGACACAGCGAAGCATCGGCAAGGCCGCGACGGCGAGCCAAGCCTGCGCGGATATCGGCTTGCACACCTTCACCGTCGACGCTTACGACATCGTGAACGATTCCGGTGCCGGTGGAAGCGACGTCAAGACGGCGGGGTTTCTAACCTCGCGTGCAGAACGCGCCTTGAGCTGCGGCGCCGACTGCTGCGCTCTGCTCATCCGCCACATCGAAGCGCTAACCGCCGACCGCATGGTCTCCTCCATCAAGGAGATATTGGCAGACGCCAGAGTCCTGATCGCCACTACAACGGAAGTGGAGAAAGTGCCTGACGGCATAAGAGCCCTGTTCACGCACGAATTGGAGATGAATGCGCCTGACGAGGCGGAGCGTGAGGGTATTCTGCGGACAATTTTAGACGACCGTGGCGTGAGTCTAGATCCGGAGGTCGAGCTCGGCGGCATTGCCCTTAAGACGGCTGCGCTTGTGGCAGGTGATCTAGTCGACGTTGTCGAGCGGGCGCTCGTTGCTCAGCGTGCCCGCCTGGAGCAGCTGTCCGCGAAGGCCACGAACAAAGGCCAAACCGTAACAGTGCGAGATGTGCAGGTCGCTGGTGGCCCAGCCGCTTCTGGCCTCACGAAACAAGACTTTGAAGTTGCCGTCGAGGCTGCCCGCAAGAATTTCGCCGACGCTATCGGCGCGCCCAAGATTCCCAACGTTACTTGGGATGATGTTGGAGGGCTGAACAACGTCAAGGAGGCCGTCACAGAGACAATCCAACTGCCACTCGAGAGACCCGAGTTGTTCGCCAAGGGCATGAAGAAGCGCTCGGGCATCCTGTTCTACGGGCCGCCCGGTACCGGCAAGACACTCCTGGCCAAGGCCATCGCGACCGAATACAGCCTCAACTTCTTCAGTGTCAAAGGTCCTGAGCTACTTAACATGTACATCGGTGAGTCCGAGGCCAATGTACGGCGCGTGTTCCAGCGGGCGCGCGACGCCAGGCCGTGTGTCGTCTTCTTTGACGAGCTGGACTCCGTCGCGCCGAAGCGTGGAAACCAAGGCGACAGCGGCGGTGTTATGGACCGCATCGTCTCGCAGCTGCTAGCCGAACTCGACGGTATGTCCGGTGGGGAGGACACCGGTGGCGGCGTGTTCGTCATCGGCGCGACCAACAGGCCGGACCTGCTCGACCCAGCGCTGCTGCGTCCCGGCCGCTTCGACAAGATGCTCTACTTGGGTGTATCCGACACCCACGACAAGCAGCTCACCATCATGGAGGCCCTGACCAGGAAGTGAGTGTCCCCCTTTCTCCCGCAACCCCCAACCCAGTTACCACCAAACATACTAACCAACCAATCTCTCCAGATTCACACTCCACCCATCCCTCTCCCTCCGCACCGTAGCCGAATCTCTCCCATTCACCTACACAGGCGCCGACTTCTACGCGCTCTGCTCCGACGCCATGCTCAAGGCCGTGACACGACAAGCCAGCCTAGTCGACAACAAGATCCGCACCGTCAACGCGGACCTGGGCGCGCACAACCTGCGCGCGCCCATCTCCACGGCCTACTTCTTCGACCACCTCGCCACGCCCGAGGACCTCGCCGTCATGGTCACCGAGACCGACTTCCTCGACGCCCACCGCGAGCTGGTCCCCAGCGTCAGCGCCGGTGAGCTGGCGCACTACGAGCACGTCAGGGCGTCGTTCGAGGGGGCCAAGGACAAGGAGAGGGAGAAGGAGGGCAAGGCGCTCGCGGACGGTGGTGCGAGGCTGGCTTTGCCCCCCGGTGCCGCCGGCGCGGGTGCCGGTGGGAGGAGGTCCACGTCGGGTGCGTCTGCGAGGAGTGCGAGCTCCAAGGGGAAGGGTAGGGCTCTTGCTCTCCCGTATGTGGGCAAGGGTAAGGGGAAGGCGGTTGCGTTGGGGAGTGGGGATGAGTTGGAAGGGGAGCGGTCGGGAGGGGAGGGGGTGGTGAGGGACAAGGGGAAGGGGAAGGCGGTGGCGCCTCCGATTGCTGATGGGACGACGCCGTTTGGGGATGGCGTGGGGAGCGGCGATGAGGGGTTGTATGATTAGGGGTATATACGTAGTATGGGGCTGCTGTAGAAAATTAGGTACTGGTGCTGTATGCAGATAATGATTCGTGGGTGGTTAGCAGTTCAACTACGAGCTGTCGGTGCCTGAATGTGCCTTCCAGAACACCGCGAGGAAGTTCACTGGCAATCCAGACGACAAAGCTGGTTGAAGGTGGTGGTGGGTGTGGCTATGGCAGTGTTTACGCGCGCTCCTCAAAGCTAGAGAATATAAAATACGTTATACCCCTCCCCAGCATCTACTTAGCCTTCATATGCAGCAGCTAAGCTTGGAATGCTCTCCAATACAACTTCTCCGAGAGAACCTTGTCGTTCGGAACTCCAGCCCGTTTGTGATGAGCCAACCCCAATACCTCAGAAAAGTAACACCATTCATCTTTTGGACGGCATTCTTGTTGCCTTCGGACCAGAAGTTGAGGTCTCCGGGAGCATGGATTCTTCTCAGCGGCTCCAGATTGACTAGAAATATAACACCATCTCTTCGTCGTCGGTTATCGACGTCAGGAATGCAGAGGGGTATACGCCACCATGCCTGGCGGCGGAGAAGCGGTGTTTGGACGTGGTGCTGTTTTTGGTGAGAAGGGGAGTGGATGTCAATTCATTGAACGAGAGGGGGCGGACGGTGCTACATCTAGCCATGAGCGATGAGAAGGTGGACATCATCAGGGCTCTGCTAGGGAGGTACAAATGCATTGTGAGGGATGAGGATGATCTATCAGCGTGAGACTGTGAGTGCCCACTGGGTAAAAGATGTGAGGCCAAGAAGAAGCATATATTAGCTTGGACTCATTACTTCATCGCCGACTCCACCAAGAAGCCCCTTGTCTGAGTCGTTCCTAAGATTGCAATGTGATGGAGGACAGAAACCGATACACTAAGCCGTTGGATCACCAAGTCGTTTAAAGCATTCTTGCCCCGTGGGGAAATATGGGCTTGCCAAGTACAGCATGCAGGCACCAAATCGATCCAGATCGTCAGATCAGCGCTGCCATCGCAGATCACTTGGGAGCTCATTGCATGGCGCCATGCATGGCGCCATCGTCGGCCGATGATAGGGCTAGACTAAGACATCAAGGAGATGAACGAGATGAGCGCATCAGATAAACATTCATTGGGGTGAGACACTAAGAGCCAGGACGAGTGAGTTTTATCTTTTCATTCATGCCGGGTATCATGCGTGAGCAACACAGAATACGCCGGGTCAAACTCCCGCGCCATAACGTCCAAGCCATACCAGTCAAGGTAGAGCTCATCATCTAATGTCCAACATGCCGCCAGTAGACTATTCAAAAGTCCTCCCCCTTCCCCCGTCCTTCCCAACCAAAAAAGCTCCAAACACCTCATCCCCAAAGAATTAAGTAATATGGACCACGAAAGATAGAACAAAATAAAAGATGTTGGTCAGGGTATAGTCGCCAATGTCAATGCCAAGCTAGTTAAAAGCCTTCCATCCACCTCCTCCCCTCGCTGCGTCCTCAAACAGACAGGCACGCTTAAGCGAGGAGAGCGGCACCGGCACCGAGAACACCAAGGAACACGGCGGGCTGGACGAACAGGCCAGCAGCAGCGGCGGTCGAGGCCGTGGAGCTCGCGCTGGTGGTCTGGGAAGGAGTGTCCTCGTCGCCGCCGCTGCCCGAGGTCGGGGTGGTGTAGGCGGAGCTGGGGATGATGAAGGAGGAGCTGGCGGTGGGGCCGGTGCTGCTGGTCGAGTTGGACAGCGGGAAGGAGGCCCAGGTGGTGGAGGTGGAGGTGGTGGTGGAGGTGCGGCCAGGGCAGTTGGTCGCCGTCGGGTTGCACTCAGTGATGGTAACCGTCTTGGTCAGCGTCTGGGTCGACGTCGTGGTGATGTCGCCCTCGTCCGCGGTGGCCATGGCGAAGCCGACAGTGGCCAGGACGGCGATGATGCTCTTGAACTGCATTGTGACTGAGTGTGTTGGACCGGAATTGGCTGGTTTCTTTTAGGGGTGTTTGTCGTCGCGGAGGATCGTAAACGTGACAATGGTTTTATGAGGTCGTTTCGGCGAAGAAGGGATCAACGAGAACTGGTTGCGTTTGAAGAATTGGTGAATCTCTAGCGGTTCGTTTGTATAAAAGAGTGTAAGGCTGACGCCGGGAAGGTGAACAAAAGAGTGGATAGCTGCTGGGATGCGCTGCGGGTGAGGAAGGGGGAAAAAAGGGAGCGCGGATCGGATGAGCTGGGGAATCCTCCCTTTTAGGGCACCTGGGCAGCAATTCGACCTGGCACAGCGGCTTGCGACCCTGGTTCCTGTGCCGGCAGCGATTGCTCGGAGCTGACTGGGCTCCCAAGGCGGGAGGGGCCAAGGTTGCCACGCAATGGTCGGACGAAAACCGCGTACCTTGCAGGCGCAAAAAGTGGAGCAGGGTTTTCTGCAAACGACCGTCCACTATTGGCTGACAGCGTTCCCATCTGCAGGAACAGCCAGGGGTAAGGGAGCACCGACCAATCGTTTTCCAACGGACAGACCTGCAGCTTTTGGCATGCCGCTCACGGCATCCTTGCTCCAATCCGAACTCTGCAAAACGCTTCCATGGTCTGAGTTTGGCTGCCGGCGGGCAGCAACGGGTAACAAACTCATCAATCGGATAGGATGGCGAATGATGGCATCGTGCATGTAAAGCCTTTTCTTGCTTGCCACGTTTCGGCACATATCTGCGGACTCTGCAAGAAATGTCTCATCGGTTGAGCTGACAACGTTTATCTGCGCGAAATTTCCAGAAGCGACAAGTGTGACATGGTTTGTTGCGGCGGTGTCGCGCCTGTCGGGGGGGCATGCCACTGTCGTCCTCTTCGTGTGGTCCCTCGCGCTGTGTCACGCACGGCGAGGGTAAAAAAAGAAGCCTAGATAGGGGATATAGGACGGCGAAAACCGGCCGAGTCAGCCACAGGTTTTGAGGCTGGCTAGCTGGCTGACTGCACCAGCAGTGTGACGGCATCATTCTTTTCTAACAAAGCACAGCATGGCGATGTGTCATTCATCTGTCGACAACCGCGCGTGTTGCGATTTCAAGATGAAGGGATCCGGAAAGAGGTCCCAAGACCCTGGTGATGAAACCTCCATCCAGACTTGGCAGAAGGTTATTTCGGCCGTGGGATTTATTAAACAAGGACAGCCCAGGTCGGCGGATAGCCCCTTTCCAATCCGGGCTAATTGCAGGCACAGCGGTATCCGTTGTATGAACCTGAACGTCAATTTGCGGATGATGAAGCTGTCACAAGCTAACCGGCATCGGTCCCCTGATACAAAACGGTTCAACCCCAACCAGGACTCCGTCTAAATTCGTCAAACAAAATGAAGGCCGCACAGTACTGCAGTGCGAAGTCGTAAGAGCCTCGACCAACAACGTTGCCACACCCATCGGGCCGTTCTGTAAAGTGCGTGTGGACCACCAACCGCTCAATCCCCCCGCCTCCGCGAATCCGCGCCGTCGTTCGTGAAGGCTCTGACCCGGGCGGTGTCATCGAGTTCGGGCGTCGTCGGGCATTTGACGCTGCCATGGCCACAGCGGGCGCAGACGCAGTTGCGGCAGCAGTGGGCCGAGCCAGTCGAGTCGCTCTCCCTCTCCCGGCTTCGGGGCCTGTCGGCTATCCCGTTCTGGGACTGGGGTTCTGGCGTCGGCTGGCGCATGGTGTCCCTGACGCTATATGGCGGTGCTTCTTCGAACGGTGTCCGGTCTCGTTCGAGCCCTAGGCGCCGCCTCTCCGACGTGTCTAGTCGGTCTTGCTCTCGCCATCTTTGCTGTTCATCAAGGAGGCTTTGCTCGAGCGATAGACATAGCCGTGCCAGGGCGTCTTCGGCTACCGCGGCCGAGTTTCTCGGTTCCTCTTTCTCTCGCCGATGAGATCTTTCCCGATGTGGGCGCTCGGAGCGTCTGTGGCCAGAGTGTCCATGGCTAGAGTGTCTATGGCTTGAGCCCTTGGACCTGTGCGTGCGGGTCTGCTTCTTGGGCTTTAGAGGAAGCAAGAGGCCGATTAGGCACATTGTAGTTAACAGCTAACGGCGTGGGGCAGACTGTTTTCCTGCTTAATCTGGGGTTCCCGTGGCCCTCGCAAAGACTGTTATATAAGTTTTCTTCTCTATCCCCGTCGTCCTGCTGGTTCCGGCATCAGTGGTCCTGGCGGAGAAAGACTAGAGAGACCCGACCCTTTGTGGTGCCGTAGGGTGCCTTTGTCCCATCAGGACTGGCAGGGCGTTCCTTAACCTTTCTAGGAGGATCACCAACTCATCCAAACGGACTGTCATCAGTAAGTACCCGAGGACAAGGAGGTGTGCCCAGTCCAGCGCCTGCATCACGGGGCTCGGACTAAGCTGTCCAAGTTTGTCCTGTGGTGGTGTCACAGTCTAGGGTCCAGAAGAAAGATGCCCATCAGACCACTTTGTCCTATTTCTCGAAAACGTCTTCGGTGGACCGCGACAAAGCCCATGAGGTTGGAATGTTTATCCTTTAAGAAATCGGATAAGCCCCCGCCTAATTACCTGTTTCGATGAGATCTGGCGCCAACGTCAGAACCGATCGTGCGCGACGTTTGCATTGCATCATCGGGAATGCGCGTTGGGCCACTGTTTCATGTCTTGTGCCGCAGAGTTCTCCCTTTCCAAAACACAGTGCCGAACCGTTGGGTTGGGTGAGTTTAACGTTTCAGGTTCTTTGCTCTTCGAATCTTTGATCCTTTTTTTTCTTTTTGACTTTCCTCCCAAAATAAACCATCAGGCATTTATTCGTGTCTCTCCAGAACTGCTTCCTTTCTTGGTGGACGAGTGCCCCTCCTTCTCGAGCTACCCCGCAAAAGTGGTCGATTGTGCCCCTCCTTCAGCGACCAAGGAACCAAGGAACCTACCCGAGCTGCCCCCAGAAACCCAACCCCGGGAGTTGGAACATCGACAAAGAGCTTCAAGTTCCAGGTTCTTTTTACAGACCAACTACTATCATCATGGCGTCCGAGGGCAGCGAGGCCAAGTCGTACTCAACCGACCCCGCACTGTACATCTACACCTCTTTGACCGCGGGTTCCTCCCATATCGTCACTGCGACGTCGCGTCTCGAGACCATCCTGCGCGCCAACCGCGTCCCGTTCAAGGCCCTCGATATTGCCACCGATGAGAAGGCCCGAATGCTATGGGGCCGCCGCGCCGGAAAGGACGAAAGCGGCCGTCAGCGCAAGCTCCCGGGGCTTGTGCAGATGGGCATGATCTTGGGAGTAGGTCAACTCTGTTACACCCGTACAGCCCATCCGCACTCTTACTGACAATACCCTCTCCAGGACCTCGTTGAGATCGAGGAGTGGAATGAGTATGGCGAGCTCAAGCAGCACGTCACCATGTACTACGACGAGTTTACCCAACCCTCGATCAGCCAGGCGCCCAAGCAAGCTCCTCCCGCCGCACCCAAGGCACCGCCGGCTCCGGCGCCCAAGACCACCATCGAGAGGGTCGCGGCGGTCTCGAAAGCCGCCGAAAAGGCCACCCTCCCCGTCCGCACCATCGCCGAGGAGGTCGCCGCCAAGGCAAAGCAAGTCCACCTGCAATCCCTCCGAAACAAGGTCCACGGCAAGGACAGCAACCCCTCCTCCCCAACCACAACCAGCCCCACCGTAACCACCACCTCCACATCCTCCGTCGCAGCGACAGCAGGAGCAGGCCTCCAATCGCCAACCACGTCGGGGTGGAAGGCGTCGAGTGCGCCGGCCCCGATCCAGTCGCCGACGACGACGGGCTGGAAACCGCAGGATGTGGACCCCCCCGTGCGGGAGTTGCGCGGCGCGGCAGTGACGCCCGCTAGCCCGGATGAGATTGCGGCCGTTGAACGTGCCGAGACGATCCGCGAGGAGCCCGGGCGGGAGAGTAGTGACGATGAGGATGATGAGGAAGAAGAGAGTGATGAAGACGAGGATGATGAGGAGGAGGAAAGTGAAGATGAGGATGAGGAGGAGAGTGAGGAGGAGGAGGAGAAGCCGGCGGCGAAGGTCGCAGGAAAGGCTGCGGAAGTCAAGAAGGTTGAGGAAGTCAAGAAGCCTGTTGAGGTCAAGAAGTCTGGGGAAGCTAAGAAGAGTAGGGAGGTTAAGAAGGCCGGGGAAACCAAGAAGACTTCAGATGTCAAGAAAACTAGAGATGCCCAGAAGGTTGGGGCGAGCAAGAAGCCTTCGGAAGTGAAGAAGACTGGGGAGAGCAAGAAGACGAAAGAGAGTAAGGAGGCCAAGAAGACCAAGGAAGTTAAGAAGACTAAGGAAGTGAAGAAAACAGGGGAGAGCAAGAAGACTGGTGAGAGTAAGAAGGCGGGGAAATAGGGAAGAGGTTGTAGCATATGGGCTGGCTAGCGTTGCGTTATGTTGACGGCGTCTGTGTTGGGTTTGGGGCTGTGGTACCGTAGGTTTCACTGATTGAAACCAAAGCCGATTGTTAAGTAAGATGATGCCGTTTCTAGGACCTTATGGTTTTGTGAGCTCCATGTTGGGATCGCCCCTTTTATTCCACTTAATACAGCTGATCGGGAACTATCCAACCTGATGTCAACATAGACCAGCCCAATCCTACCATACGGTAACGGGTGCTTTCCGGGAATAGTTACATGCTATCACCCCATAGTTGAGCGACCGATGGTTTTGGGGAATGTCGGATGGTCTATCATAGCAGCATCCTGATGTCCAGCTGGGGCTGAAGATTTTCCATGATTCCCCGGGTGGTGCTGGCCTAAGCTGAAGAAAGGGGAGTCTCTGCTTGACCTTCTTGCCAAGATATGCCGGGATGCTGAGATGGTGGTGCTGATGTTGAAGCCAGCAGCATCCTATTCATCCGTGATGTCACGGCCAATTGGGAACACACCTGGGCAGCACCAGGCTCCTCCCATGATCAGAAAACCTACTCCTGAAAATGGTGCCTCACGTCCGCATCCTCAGCTTTGGCTACGTACTCAAGCACAGTCCCGGTGTTATTAGCTACCTAGCGCTCGAGGCGCTCTAGGAACCGGATTGGTGATCACGCAAGGAATCTGCTCACGGGGCCTGCCGCTCATCGAGAAGCCAATGATGCTGTACTTTTCCACGACCGTCTCGCTCAACTTTGATGTCTCATGTAAACTAATGTAACCACATTATCAGAATCAAAGACTAATCCTATTCGTCTGCCACAATCTAGGCGGTTTTGTCTGCCAAGATGCATTGCTGTCATCAAGAGCCAGTCCCGACAGATACCTCCAGCAAATTCTCAAATGCATAAAGGGCACCACTTACTCTTACGATTACAAGGGAAAAGAGATGAGGTCAAGATTACGTGCGTGTACGAGAAGGTTCCCATCTAGGGGGTTGGCGAGGTGTGTATGATGTGCCAAGCTACCACCCAAGATGCCTGTTTTGACCACATAGAACAGGTCGTGCCAGAATGCTCGGCCGTACTCACCGGGTACCAGGCAATAGGGATTCATGTCGATCATAGGGATATAGCGCGATTTGGTGCCATGGCCGGTCCGGGCTCCATCGGCCTGTCAAATGAACTGCAGAGGTGAGCAAAGGCGGCTTGTGGCGTCCTGGTCCTGGCTGTTGGCTGCGTCCTTAGCGGGACGTGTATGAACCCCGTGGCGAAAAGAGATGACCTCTGTTCCGACTTCTCGAGGGGGAAATGCGGCGAAAGTGGCGCAAGCTGTAGGAAGACAGACGAGTGGTTGTAGATTCCACCGAGTCTGCAGTAAATGAATCCGTCCGATCTTGTGGATCGATGTTGTCGTTGACAAGGCAAATTAGGCGGAGTGCAATGGCATGTGTTGAATTGATGTTGGGACCCTACTGTAGTAATGTGTAGAGGAAGAAAAACGAGGATTTGATGACGATAATGTTGACATTGCCCCTTAGTTACTGGTCAATTGTTGGTGAGCCGCGCCAAGTCGGCGCTCCTCACCGGGATGGGACAGGAGGAAGACAGCTGCCGGCCCCACTCTTATCGTTAACCCCGGACTCGACCCCGGTTTCACAAGGCATCCCTACCGGAGCAACCCTTGCCCCTCCATCACTTGACGACTTCACGCTGTTTCCTTTCCCTCGGTCTCCTGCTGCTTGATGACGCTACCCGACACCAGTGCTTAACAAGCTTCGAATTCCCATATGTTTGCCTTTAGGCCTTAGTAGACTTTTCACAAACAGATCGCGAGAGCGGAACAGTAAGCACGGCCTGATCACGCGCCTAGTTTAAGCTTCAGCGGTTTTGTTATTCATGACCAGGCCAACCTGAGGCCGCAGGCCGAGAGACCGACAGACCGACAGATCGACAGACCGAACCGATCACCAACGACCCCTCCATTCCGAGCCCTTGAGCCCATCTTTTGTTATTTAGTTACATCGTAACTAATTGCGGAGTCATTTTACACCTTCGAACCTGCGACTCTCACAATTTGGAGGAGGAGGGGCTGTCCGAGCGCGCGCGCAAGGCACCCAATCAGCAACCGAATAAGCATAGCAGATAACGAGTTGCCCAATTTCGCTCTCCTCTTTGCGAGACTCTCCTCAAAAACAGGTTCCCACCGTCGGCATTTCTGTATGTGCTGCCGACCCGACGGCCATGGCGACCCCCAATGCTGCGGGCTCCTCTCAGCAACCCCACGTACCCGCCGAAACCCAAGCCGGCGAATCTCCATCTAGCACCTTACATTCGGCCGGCCGCGACCATGACTCGATCCAGATATGTCGATGGCGAACAGCACAGTACCACGACCAAGAATGCGCTCGATACTTCGACTGCCCTTCCCACGTAGTTGAACGGGCGCTATCGGACACAGAACAGAGACCGGAATTCGCACAGGAAGAACACCAGGAACAAGAAAATGCGGAACATGAAGAAGACACCGACGAAGATGATATCCAAGACGCCGTCTCACTGCTTAGTGAAGATGGTGAAGGGGAGGATGACCATCGAATCGCTCGATCTCCTTCGCCAGAGATTCAGGTTCCAGCAGCCGAAGTGACAAATATCGCGGCGGAGGCTGGTGGAACACCTGAAGTGCTAGGGACACGGCATGAAGGCACAGCAGTGAGCTTGAGCAGTGCAATTGCACCGGGTGACAGCTTGCACTTTCCAAGGCCATTGGCGGGAAGAAGTGGGAGCGGGGAAGTTCAGAATACACTGCCTGTATCCCCGGTTCCTCAACCTCTGCTGAGAAATGATGGGACCGTTCCTGGATCGCAGGCTGCCAACACTTCCGCTTCCAGCCTCGCTTCTGTCACGAGCCCGAGTTCAATGTCACCCCCTACTATCTCGACGCCCATGGAACGCGTCCGCTCGGGGGTGGTTTTGCCAAGGTGGCAACCGGACTCTGAACAGACATATTGTCCAATTTGCGGCACACAATTCAGCATCTTTGTTAGGAAACATCATTGCCGGTAAGTGGTCCAGGGATGTGGGACCCAGGTGTGATAAAAACGGAGGCTTACTTCTAACCACAGCAAGTGTGGCCGGGTAGTCTGCAACTCGTGCTCGCCACACCGCATCACGATACCTCACCAGTATATTGTCCGGCCGCCGGGCGCCCCGCGCCCTCTCTCTCAAGGGCCATCACTTTCCCTTCTAGACAGCCAAGGGTGGTACCCCGATTTTGGCGGTGGTGAGAGAGTTCGGCTGTGCAACCCCTGTGTCCCCGACCCGAACACAGCGCCACCCCAAGATCAAGTGCACCAGGCAAGGTCGCGGAATGAGTTGAGCTCACCCACGCGGGCTGACAACTCCCCATCCTCTATGTGGGGCTTCAACCTCGGCCCAGGGGTTACAAACGACACTCAAACGAGGACCCGAAGCGTTACCTTGGTATGCTATATGCCATCATTTACCTATCAAACAACAGCACTAACCCTTACTTCGTCGCAGCAACCTGGGCACTCATCATCCGCCCGGCCGCAGGTTCCACCACTTCAACGAAACGAGGCTCGCATCCTCTGGGGGACTCCCCCGGCATACTACCGATCTCCCCCTACTTCACAAGGGCCCCAGCCCTACCCCGGAATGTCCGCGCGCTCCCGGCCAATACACAATGCCAGCGGCAGGCCAGGCCCCTCCACCGTCGCAGGACCCTCCTCCTCCAGTGCCACCCGCCACTTCCACTCCGTCGTCCCCCCGCGCCCCCAAATCGCCGAGGAAGACGAGTGTCCCGTCTGCCACCGCGAGCTCCCACCACGCACGCTCCCCAACTTCGAGGCGCTCCGCGAGGCCCACATCACCAGCTGCATCACCTCCCATAGCCGGTACGGCGGGTCCGCCGCGGCATCGTCACCGAGGAGCGGCGACGACGACGACCCGGACGCCCTGCCGGCTGCGCCGCCGCGCCGCACAGGCATGTTCCCCTACGCGGCGACAGAGAAGGACTGCGTCGACTCGGCCGAGTGCTCCATCTGCCTTGAGGAGTTTGAGGTCGGCGTGGCAATGGCGAGGCTTGAGTGTCTGTGTCGCTTTCATCGGGCGTGCATTAATGCCTGGTGGGAGAGGCATCCCGGGCGGTGTCCGATGCATCAGCATGACGGGCTGGGGTATTAGGTGAGGTGGTTGGAGGGGAGTATGAGATTTGTTCAAAGGCGGCGCATATACCAGTTGTTGGCGTTGAGTTGGTTAGGCAGGCATCTGATTTAGGCACGTTGTTGGGCGTTTTTGAGGGATCGGGTGGGACACATTATCAGGCTGAGCATCATATACCATTTTTTTCCCGGGCATTCAAGGACGTTCATTATGGTGGCTCTGGAATGTTGGGCTGGGGTCTGTTACTAGAATGCTGTTTCCTGGTACTTGTTATGTTAAGCTATTGGGACCATGACCGAGTTGATAGCACCTCGGGAACGGAGTCAAGGAACAAACGAACTCATCATGAAACAACGGCTAACTGCCTATGAATGCATACTCCGCCTGTCCTATGGTGCCTGCCACCTTTCTGCTCGTCAAATTGCTTCAAGCCTCTACTATGCAATGGTAACCCCAGAATGATGCAACCCTCGACGCCCCAATAAACCCCGACTCGCCGGCCCATTCATTACACAATGTGTGCCCTCGGTAAGGGACCCATTTATGCCTGTCCCGCCGACGGCTTTGGTTTTGCCGGGTCCGGAGCCCCGAGGTTGTCAGGGCCAAACGACAGCGGAAGGAGCTTGTCAATGTTAGCAGTATTCCGTCACGGAGGTATGGTGGTTGCAGTTGAACACTTACCTCCTCCAATTTCATCACCACATAATTGGTATCTTTGTCGAACATGATGATGGGCACACTCAGGTCGCAGAACTCCCTGATACTACACAGCGAAACCAACCGAGTTAGCATTGCATCATTATCACCACCGCCTTTCCCTTTTCCTTCCCAAACCAATCGCCCCTACCTCCCCTTTCCCACCCTCCTAAAAAACAACCCCCCAAAAAGAAACAGCAAAAAGAAACCACAAAAAAAAAAAAAAATCTCCAAACTCACAACTGCCTACACATCCCACACGGACTCGCCGGCTCCCCGGCATCCGTCGCGACCGCCACGGCGCGAAACCCACCCCGCAAATGATACCCATCCACGACCGCCCGGCCCAGGGCCACGCGCTCCGCGCACGTCGTCACGGGGTAGCTGGCGTTCTCGACGTTGGCGCCCAGCACGTAGTCGCCCGCGGCGGTGAGCAGGGCCGCGCCCACGCGGAAGCGGCTGTAGGGGCAGTAGGCGCGCGTCTTGGCGTCTTGCGCATGGGCGAGTAGAGTGGTGAATTCGGTCGGGGTGAGGTTGTGCGTGGTGCAGGTTTCGGTGACGGCGGTGGGGGAGGTGGAGGGTTGGGGAGGAGGCATGGTGATTTTGATTGTGGGCGTGCCCGTGTATGTGGGTGGGTATGCGGGTTGGAAGGTGGGTTGGTGTTGGGCGGTTGGGATGGAGGTCGTTGGGGTGATTACACGGAGGTTTGTATACACATGTCGGTGAGTGAGAAAGTCAACAATGAGGTCAGCGGGGCACCTAATGTAGGTACCTACATACTTAGAAGAGCGAGGCGGACAGGACCCGCTGTGCCGCCTGTAGCCGAGATCCGAATGTCTCAACCAACGACATTCCTTGTGACTTTAGTTAACTCGCCGCTTCGTTGACTGAAATATGGCTCTGGATATTTGGAGATCGCAAACGCAGATAATTCCCTGCTTAGACACGTTCGACGTAGCAAAAATGTATTTCACCGCTCATGTTCGTGCTCTGAACAGACATTGTCATGACAGAAACCAACATCTTCCAACTCGTTGTCCCCTTCCATGATACGGTGCCAAGAGGCAAGATCGTTTCGCTCTATTCAAAGTCAAGAGTCCTAAATACGATACAAGAAAATTAGGAGATGAGTGAGTGCTGAAAGCGGTGTAGTGAGAAGCGAATAAAAGAAAACCCAAAACTCCTCAATATTTCCTCGCCATGCCATGCCATGCCTCATGTAATGGGATAAATCTTGAACCGCAAGTGTAAAGGGGACAAGATATCCAGCTTGTCGCACAGCCCAATCAAACGCTATACAAGAAGAAACCGCAGCAAGGCGGACGACGTAAGCAGCCCGACTACCTGTCGAGCGCTTGGTTGTGACACTGTAGCACGAGTCAGTCAGCACGAGCAATCCACACCTGACCATGATCGGAGTAGAACATACCATATGCCAATACACGCCCTTCTGCTTGAGAAGCTCGGCGTGCGTGCCCTTCTCGAGCACCTTGCCCTCGCCAAGCACGTAGATGATGTCGGCCTTTTGGATCGTGGCGAGCCGGTGCGCTACCGCGACCGTGGTTCGGCCCTTGGCGACCCGTTCGAAAGCGGCCTGCACAAGTTTCTCGCTCTCTGTCGTGGTGTGTTAATAGAAAGTAGGACGGCTGGTGGGGGAGGGGTGGTCTATTTGGGAGAGGGGATTACTTACCAGAGTCGAGCGAACTAGTGGCCTCGTCTAGCAGCAGCACGCGGGGGTTCCGGATGAGGGCGCGAGCGATCGACACACGCTGCTTCTGCCCGCCACTAAGGCTGACACCGCGGCTGCCAATGTTGGTGTTGTACCCGTCGGGCAAGGACATGATGAATTCGTGGATGCTGGCGTCGCGGCAGCACTGATGCAGCTGCTCGTCCGTGATAGTCGACGGGTCGACGCCCAGCAACAGATTCTCGCGGATGGTGCCGTGGAATAGCGACGACTCCTGCGCCACAAGCGACAGCAGCTTGCGGTACTCATACACGTTGACGTCGGTAATGTCCTTGCCGTTGAACAGGATCTGGCCCTTGGACACGTCGTAGAACCGCTCCAGGAGACTGACAATGGATGTCTTGCCGGACCCGGATGCGCCGACCAGCGCCGCGAATTGCCCCTTCTCGATGGTGATGTTGAGGCCCTTGAAAATGGAGACGTCGCGCGTGGGGTACTTGAAGTGAACATCCTTGAGTTCGATCTTAACGCCGCCGTCCGTGTCGGTAATCTGATCCTTGGATTGCGAGGCGTCGTCCCTGATGCGCGTCTCACGGGCTTTCAGGATGCGGTTGGCGGCGGCGGCGGCCTGCGCGGCGTTGGGACCAAAGCTCCAACCACTGGCCGGCCGACTCGGCGCCCTGGATCACGGCCATGTACGTGACGATGAAGGCGCCGACGTCGTACTCCCGACTGAGGAGCAGCTGGCCGCCATACCAGAAGATAAGCGCCTGACAGCCCAAGCTGGCGCTGTCGGCGAAGGCAAAGACGATGGTAGTGAATCGGGCCTTTCTATACGCCGCCCAGACATGGCCGCTGAGCAGATTCTGATACCGGTCACAGATGTTGTCCTCCATGACGAGGGCGCTGACAGTCCGGAAAGCACCGATGGCCTCGGCACCGAACTTGGAGCTCTCTTGGAACACTTGTTCGTTCATGGCGTTGAATTGCAGCTCGTACCGGACCCGGAAGAAGCCGGCCAGGACGCCAAGGGGCACTGTCACACAGAGGGCGACGAGGGCGAGCTTCCAGCCGTACGCAAACGAGATGGCGAGCGCCCCAATGAGGGAAAAGATGCCGACAAGCAGCATCATAAGGTTGATGCCAAGCAGCTCCTTCAGCGCCTGCGGGTCGCTTGATAGACGCGCAGTCAGCTGTCCCGTCGCGTTGTCATCTTTGTCAAAGTAGGCCGTGGGTTGGGCTATGATAGACTCAAAGTACTCCTTCCGATATGCGGCTGAGATGTAGCCCTCCAGGTTCGTGGACACCAAACGCGGTCAAGAAGTAGCTAAGCCCAATCCCGGCGAGCGAGGGCGAGTCCACATCTTGGACCCAGAAGGTGGCTCTAGTCCATGAGAATTACCGGGGTCCTGCTCTTGAAAACACGGGTGATTACCCTGTGCGAAGAGATGAAGGCTTGTATCGGGATGGCAGCCGCGGCGCCCATGACACCGATCAGAGCAAGGATATATAAGGGGAACCGGCTTCGCTGCTCCAAGATAAGCTTCCCGAAACCGTTGAAGACGTTTCGGTCCTTCCATTTGGCTTCCTGCTTCGCGCTCTCGGCGACCGACTTGGCCGCGCTCTTTTCGCGGGCAAGAATGGCGCCGATGTCTTCGTCGTGGAGGAGCTCCTCGCCCGTCTCATCGCCAAGCGACAACTTCTGCGCATTGACGAGGCCGTAGTAGACCCCTAATTCGTTCTCAAGAAGGCTGTCATGAGTCCCTTCCTCAGCGACTACCCCGTTCTGCAAGACACAGATGCGGTCGGCGTTCTTGATGGTGGACAGGCGGTGGGCGATGGTGACAGTGGTGCGGCCCTTGGAGGCCCTCTCTAGCGCCGCCTGCACGATCCGCTCTCCGCGGACATCGATGGCCGAGGTGGCTTCGTCGAGGATAAGGATTTTGGGTTTCTTGATGATGCTTCGGGCGATGGCAATCCGCTGGCGCTGGCCACCGCTCAACTTGGCACCCGAGTCGCCTACCTGGGTGTGAAAAGCCGTCTGGCAGTCGGTCGATAAACTCGTCGGCAAAACTCACTGGGACACAGGCCTCTTTGACGAGTTGGCGCTTGACCTCTTCTCGGTTCGTTCTCCCCTGTGTCCCGTCAGCCGGCGCCACAGATATAGTGAAAGATGGTGTTGTTGAAGAGGGGGGTTCCTGCTGCCCTGACCGATCTGCGACCGCCCCCTTGCTATCATGTCCCCGAGCTGCTTCCCGCTGTTGTTGCTCCCTTCGCTCCCTGGGGGGCCCGATCTTCGGCTCTGCGGGCGCGGGTCTTCGTCTTCGTCTTCGTCGTCCTCGTCTCTGCCTTGCCCTTCTCCTTGTTCTTCTTCTTCTTCTTCTCCTTCTCTTCCTTTTTCTTGTCCTTCTCGACGGCCTTGGCGATGACGTACTGGTCGTGGAGTGTCTTCCCTCCCTCGATCACCCGACGATTGTGCTCTTGCCCGAGCCACTGGGACCCACGATGGCCGTATTGAGGTTGGCACCGATGCGGAGATTTAGGCCGTCGAGGACCTTCTTAGACGGGCGGCTCGGGTAGGCGAAGTGGACGTCCTCAAACACAATGTCCTGCTCGGCCGAGACGTCGGGCTCTTTCAACGTGCCCATGTTCGGCTTCGGCGCATCGATGACGGCGAAGAATTCGGCGGCAGCCACCATGGCCTTGGAGACAGCGATTAGCGGGGTCGAAATGCGCTCCAGGGAGATGACCATGAGCATGACAGACATCAGGACGATCAGGATGGTTGCGATGCCCTCGAGGCGGCCCTCGATATAGGATTTCATGCCAAACCAGAACGCCAGTGCGAAGGCACCGTACAGACCGAAGAAGACAGCACCGAACTGGACCGACATGAACGGAGCGCTAAACTGAACGGCATCCTTTGCCTTGGCTACCCACTCGGCATATCGCTGGCTCATCCGGTCCTGGGCGCCGCATGCGGTGATCATGCGGATGGTACTGAAGGCTTCGGTGGCTACCGAGGTGCCCTTGGCATCGGCTCGGGTGAGTCTCGTCTGCCCCTTGATGATAAAGGGCAAGAGAATAGAGAGCACAAGCGAGATGAAGAGGATGACGGACGCGGTCACCAAAGTCAAGGACCAGCTGTATGTGAACGCGACGATGATGGCGGTGACGATGGTCGAGGTGAATTCGAGGAAGGTGCCCAACTTCTCCGAAATTCCGAGCTGCAGGGTGTTGGCGGTCCCCGTAATGGTGCTGGCAGCGGTGCCCGAGGGCATCGAGTCGAGGACGTGGATGGTCTGGCCGAAGAGAGACCGGAGGTAGTGCAGGCGAATGGCGGCCGACATGCGGATGCCGATGAGACGGAAGCAGAACTTGTTGATGTAATTCAGGCCGAAGCGGGCGATGAAGAGGGCGAACATGTACAGGGACATGCGGTTGATCTGTCGCGAGAACTCGTCGGCCTCCTGGGCGTTCGGGCTGAAGTAGGAGTTGAAGTCGCCAACCAACCTGCCGAAAACGACGTTCATTAGGGGCAGGGTGGTACCGGCACCTATGCTGGCCAGGGCGGCGGCGGCCATCAGGACGAAGTCCCATTTCTTCGCGTAGGTGAAGACGCGAAAGTAGTCGGCCGCTGTGGCTTCTCTCTCGGGTCGTGCCTTGACCTCCTTGGCCTCCTTGTCCTCATTGACCGGGCCATTACTATCGACCTGGTCCCCAGCGGTAGTCGACTTCTTCTCGGCGTCGACCTCGGCCGGCGGCGGGACAGCCGCCTTACCAGCGCTCTCGACGCTGCTATCACCCATGTTTGCGCCGAGTCGTTTAGTCCACGCCCATGCGGGTGAGGTTCTGGGCGATGGCACGGGTGTAGTGGATTTGAATTAAATAATAAAATAGGTAAGTGTAGGTTGGCTGAAGAAGTGGCAAACAATACGGGAATAAGTAATGTACAGATGCCTGAAATGGTGTTAAGCCATTGGTAACGAACGAACGACTTAGAATATCCAGGCTAGACGGCGAAGAGCCGCGTATTTAGGGCTGAACGGCTTGTAACGGAGATCTTAGTTGTCCGAAGCCCGAGTCCTAGGAGGGTAAAAAGAAGGGATGAGCGCCAAGTTGAGATTAAATGGTGCCAAGAGCTTCCAGCTCTGGACTCTCGAGTCCTGGATGGTTTTGCCATCTGCGCTGCTCCTGCCTGCCTGGGCTGTCCTGCGATGCGACTTAGGACTTTTGCTCTCCCCATGCGGAGAGACCCTTGTCCATATCCGAGTACGCTGTCTTGGCCGTTACCCAGCGCCGCGAAGGTGCTTTCCATGCCTGATCAGGGGAGACGATGTCACGGTACTAAAAAAAAAAAGGTCTCTCGTTATGTACTACGCTACTCAAGATGTTCCTCGACCTCCCTATTTCCCAATGGCATTGCACACAAATTGTTGTCTACGAAAGTCCGAAGTACACAGTACCTCGAAACGCCTAGAAAGGTGTTCCAGAAGCGCGTCTCAGCCCATCACAGGGAGGGATCGCTCGGGCCACATGGAATGTCAGACACGGCCCAACACGACCGATACGATGCATGAGTGGAGAAAGTCCCCATGGCCTCATCGAGACATCTCAAGTCTCACGCTGAATTCTTCCCCAGAGATATCACTCTCAACCAGGAAAGATCACTTTACCTAGATGTTGCTCTAGATCCTGTGACTTCGAGCAAGAGAACCGAAAATCAATGAGACCCAACCGAAATACTTGTAAGGTTTCGCCTCGGTGGGTCCATGAACGAGGTACTGTGTACTTTCATTTTCCTAGAACGGACAAACTAAGCGCAGGGAATCGGTATGCTCATGCTCCCGTCTGGTAGAGGTTGATTTCTGGTTCAAAGACCAAATGCCCGAATTGGCAAGATTCATCCCGCCATCATTAGTTCTAAGGTCGCAAGGCCTGGTGCGACCCGCTGTACTGCTTTTTATTCAGAATATTTCATTTGGCCGAGATATGTACGAGGGGCGAGTGAGGAGGCTTCACAGAAGGCCAAGTCGCTTTTTAAGTTTTTTGACATGGTGGGGTTGGCCGAAAGGACGCGGGCGAGAGTTTACCTGGGACGCGACTGGCCCTCAAGACCACCCCACCAATGAATCTTGGTCCCGCATTTGAGCCTCGTCTCAGCCTTGCAGCTGGACCCGCATGCAGCAGCAATTGCACAGGTTTTGCCGGCTCTTGGAAACAACTTGAGGTAGGAGCTTTGAGTCACCCCGCGCGCGGATTCCCACCCACATTTTGAATGCAGAGAACGTGGATCCTAGCCATTCGGTCTGCCCGACCACGACGAGGACTGACTCCGGCATTGGCAACCCTCCCAACAACACCCTACAATCTCGGGTCCTTACGGCAATTCTCAGCATCATCCTCCTTCCTCCGATCTTCCCCGCCGTTACCTCAGGAGTCCGACCCCGCCAACCCCGCCATCACAGGAACCATGGCGCCGAAAGCACCCAAGTTTGAGATTAAGTCTGTCGTTTCCTCCCCAACCTAGGGTATCTCAAGGGGCATGTCTAAGCGCTAATTCTATGTAGAACCCCCAAGGGCACCCGAGACTGTACGCTACCGCCGGAAATCCCCGCCTCTCCCTTGGGACAAATCTAATGTTGCGCCTAGGGTCCGGCCCGGACATGGTTCTTAGGGAAAAGATCTTCAAGACCATCACCGATGTCTTCAGTATGTGCGGGTGGGCAAATTCTTGCCGGGGACTGGGCTGACGGACGAAAGAGCGCCACGGTGGCATCACCATCGACACACCTGTGTTCGAACTGAAGGGTTGGTGTCCCCCATTGCGATCGTGTTGTTCATGGGTAACAGTTCCGCTAACAGTGACTAGAGATCCTCGCAGGTAATTGGAAGCACGCGACTACCGATCGATGTCTCGCTGACACGACGTACAACTAGGCAAATATGGCGAGGACAGCAAACTTATCGTGAGCCCGTTCCCTCTGCTCATATGAAGCTCGAAAATTGGCCCGATACTTACGATTGGACAGTACGATCTGGCAGACCAGGGTGGTGAGCTCTGCAGCTTGCGATATGACTTGACCGTCCCTTTCGGTACGCCCCCAAGCCGACCCCTGCGTTAGGGCAATGATACTGAACAACTGCCTAGCCCGGTACTTGGCGATGAACAAGGACGTTACCCAGATCAAGCGTTACCACATTGCGAAAGTCTACCGCAGAGATCAGCCGGCAGTGAAGAAGGGCCGCATGAGGGAATTCGTCAGCATACCCCTTTCTAGCACATGAATGGGCATCACACTAACAATGGAGTAGTATCAATGCGAGTATGTGGTGTCTCCACCTTTTCCAGAAACCGCCCCTTTTTCGGTTGATAGCTTGGGCGTCGAGTTAACGATTTATTCACCCCGAATAGCTTCGATATTGCTGTAAGACGCCACTCCTTCACATCAGCCCTCATGGGCCCTGCGCCGGACGGGGAACTGACCAAAATGTTAGGGTGTGTACGATGCGATGATTCCAGATGCCGAGATTGTATGTTTGGCGCCTATTGAGTTTTCAACCGCCGCATCGTCGCCGGTGCTAGCGGCCTCTAGATTCCAATTCTAACTCGTTAACAGATCAGGATCATCAATGAAGTCTTTGAGGGCCTTGGTTGGCAAGGGAAATACACCATCAAGCTCAACTCCCGGAAGATCCTTGACGGCCTCTTCCAGGTTTGCGGCGTGCCCGACAACCTTATCCGTCCCATCTCTTCCGCCGTGGACAAGCTAGACAAGATGCCCTGGGCCGATGTCAAGAAAGAGATGGTTGACGAGAAGGGGTTAGCACCGGAGGTCGCCGACAAGATCGGTGAGTAGTGCTAATCCCCGCTTGTCGAAACTGGCTAACTGTGACCATAGGGAAATATGTGGTGCTCAAGGGGCAGCGAGACCTTATCGAGAAACTAAAGCAAGATGAAGATCTGGCGGCAAATCCGTCGATGCAGCAGGGCTTCGCAGACATGGACTTGCTCTTTACCTACCTTGAAGCGTTCAGCGCCGCGCACAGCGTGTCCTTTGATCTGTCTTTGGCGAGAGGTACGTTGGCGGTGTCTAGGACGTGGTAGTCGCCGACTGTAATGTCCACTGAGCGCTGATTTTCTTTGCGTAGGTCTCGATTACTATACTGGTGTCATCTACGAGGTCGTAACAGAAGGCTCTGCGCCTACGGCCCCGGCTTCAGGAGACGCCAAGGACAAGCCGTCCAAGAAGAAGGGTGGCAAACCCGGTGATCCCGATGAGGACCGTTCCGACGACCCGACCCTCGGGATAGGTATGCGCTCCGTATTCCTCGCCCTGGTACAAAACCGCTGACATGTTCTAGGATCTATTGCTGCTGGTGGCAGGTTAGTGGCTCACTACGGCGCATTCGAATTCAGACTAATCTCGGCGTAGATACGATAACCTCGTGGGCATGTTCTCTGGAAAGACGCAGGTGCCGTGTGTTGGCATCAGCTTCGGTATCGATCGCATCTTTTCCATCACCCAGGCCTCCCAAAAGAAGAAGGAGAGGCGGAACGAGGTCGATGTCTTCGTCATGGCGTTTGGCGGTGGCAAGGACTTCAGCGGCCTGCTCACGGAGCGGAGTCAAATCTGTGCCCGTTTGTGGGATGCGGGGATCAAGGTCGGTTACAATGGCGAAGGCCACTGTGTGGAATTGGAACTGACATTGAACAGGCCGAATTCCTCTACAAGGTGAAGCCTAAACTCCAAAACCAGTTCAAGGCCGCGGAAACAGGCGGTGTGCCGTTTGCCCTCATCCTGGGCGAGGTATGTTCTGCTGCCTTACATTTTGTTTGTACGCCAACCCGCTAACGCCGCAAACAGGACGAACTCGCGCAAGGGAAGGCGAAGCTCAAGGAAATGGGTCTCCCTGAGGACCACCCGTTAAAGGAGGGGGAGCTAATCAGCCTCGACAACCTCATTGAGGAAGTACAAACACGGCTCACGCGGAAGCAGGAGCTCGATAGCATCGTCCAGCAAGCCGAGGGTCTGAAGGTCGTTGATGGGGTCAAGGGCGAGGAGGTCAAAGCTGCTGCAGAGACGGCTCAGACTGCGCAGTAGAGTGCCCCTGGCGGTAGGATTGGTGTTAGGACCATCCCCCGAAACCCACGAAGTCTTGGAAAGGCCTTTCCAAGACTGATCTGTGCCGGACAACATGGTGAAACAACTGCGAATGGCGTGGTTCCCGTGGAAAACATAGACCTGGCTTCGTTAACAAATAGAGTCCCGCGATTCTTCACTCACATATTTCCCTTTGGGACGGTTCATTTTCAACCCACACACACACCGCGCCACCGCGCTCAAACTGCATTTTCCTTGGCAGGGTCAATGCGGGTGAGTCTCGCCATAACGTGTGCGACGAGTCGAAGCCAAGTGGGGATGCCTTCGATGTGCACCCATGCTACGCCGGTGGCCCTGGGCGGTGATCGTGTGTTGGTGGTGTGGCGTCGTCGATCTCCTGCTGGCGATGTTTGTCAGCACACAATTGGCGTAGTTACCATGTTTTATGTCCAGACACAGTACACAGTACAAATGTATGCAACTAGTAACTACCTCGTCGCCTAGTTGTGTGTATGTGCAGAAAACTGCGTGTTTGATCCATCCTGGAGTGGTTTCTCTCTTTGCTTTCGAGAAGATGGCGTCGGTCCCACCGGGGCAAGTCCCGGGGCCACCGTCGTGTCTGCCGGGGACTCGGGGATGGAGGGGGGTGGTTGGGGACGGAAAACAGTCCGCGGCTGGTCAGTGCGTGAGACACGGAATATTGGCAATCATGATTCTTTTCTCTTTTTCTCTTCCTTTTCTTTTTCTTGTTGGTTTATAATAATGCATTGGGTGAGAGCGGTGGATAGTTACTGAGTTCTTATAAAGAAGCTATGTGTTCAGGGAGCCTCTCCTCTTTTCCATACCCCAATCGAAGTGACACCACGATGCCATCTCATAGCTCCTAACTGGTGTTGAGGACGTCGGATGCCGAAGGGGGAACCTCAATGGTTTTTGCGAGCAGCCTCTTCCCCCCACCTAGCCAATCCAGCCCACCTCCGGGTTAGCCTCCTCAGGGGGAACACTCAAACTTTCCCTTTCCGGGCCTAGAGGACCCAATGACCCAAGAGCCAGGCTCGAGCCCCTGCGGCACTAGCGGAAGCACGAGCCCTTCCCGGGTCCCTGCGTTAGTGCGACAATGCAGGACAAGCCCCCAATACCACCCGACCTTCCCTGAGCTGCAGGGCCGTTTCTCTCCCACACAACGCCACCGCGAAAAGCGTGCCGAAAATGCCTCTGGCGTCATGCACCTAAAGAAGGGCAGACATGGAAGATCCTCCTGGCTGCAGGTGTCTTCAAGTGTTGCCCATCCCCTTCCTGGCTTTTTCCAAGAGACATCTGGTTGGGGGTGTTTTTTGTTTGTGCGATTGAATTTTTGCACCGAGTGCCCTTTTTGTAGCTCGTCCACTCTTTCGGCATCCACGAATTTGGTGTTCAAGTTGTTGTTGTTTGTTTGTTCGTTCCTTCGTCGTTGTGTGCTCTTGCATAACTGCTGTACTTGTCCGCTCCTTCCCATCGCATTCATCCCCAGGAGCGTTTGTTCGCCAGGAATCCGTTCCTTCCATCATCCACTCGGAGCTGTGCCGTCGCTTGACGGCATCATCATCAACAACAACAACAACACGCGACTCCGGTCTTCCGTCCGGACCGTGTTTCGCCACCCCCTTCCAGAACCTCGGCGGATTTATCAAACGCTCTTTCCCGCGTGAACAATCCCAACCGGACCTCGTGGAAACGCTGATTCGGATCAGCCTAATAATTAATGACGGTTGCAAGTCGAGAACCATATTCTCCAAGTTTGGGTCGTGTGCAGTTCTCGTTTTGAAGACCAGGGCGATCACGCTGTCCCGGTGTCGATCTCAGCCACGGGCCTTACCAAGATCACGCAGTGCCTTCACACGTGGTTAATAAACTTCCTTTCTATTCCCAAGAAGGTTGGCTAGGGTCTCCTTTCCAGTCTCCTGGGACCAGCCTCATCTCGCAGTGTCACCGTCGAACCCACACCAATTCCGGTTGGCGAATTGCGCTGGTTGCCGGATTGGGCGATCATCTCCATCGCCTCATTTACCCAGCAGCAGGGCGCATGCCTGTACGAGCTGTGGGGGAACCAGCAGGTTGTGGGCTCGGGCCGGTTTCAGTTCAAGAGCAAGCCTTCAGCTCCTTGACGACTTCTGGGGAAGAACCTCAATTCTCTGTTTTGGGTTCTGGGACGACTGTCGGCCGACAACTACCTAATCAGCAACCATGGGTGGACTCATACCTTTGATGCTCGGCTCGGGCTCACGCACTGGATCACGTACGAGCTATATCGCCCCTCCCACTTCTCAGCCATCCCTCAGACGCCAATCGACCGGCGGCTCAACTTTTTCAACGAGCCCAACAACACCAACATATGCAGTAAGGCCCAAGCCGCAGAAACGCCTGTCGCTTCCCGCTCCCGCGCCGCTTCCGGTGTTGCCGTACACGAAGGCGGAATGGAGGAAAACGATTGCGGAAGTCAAGAGGAAGTACTTTGGCAAGAGATATCGCGCATGCTCGGCGCGATGTATCGAGGTTCTGGAGGGCATCAGGGACACCTCCCAGGTTGAGCCGGTATACCTAATCTATCTCCACTTCTATGCGGCGACGTCTTTGGAAATCTGCGCCCGCCCGCTGCCATCCACCGCCCCGTTGCGGGCAACTCTTCTTCAGCAAGCCCGCACACACTTCGAACGGGCTTCGGTTCTCATCAACACCGCTGAGGAGTCTGTCCTCAGAAAATTCCGCCCCGGCTCCGTCGGCTCATCGCGCGGTTCCAGTTGTCACTCACCCTCCAGCTCGATCAGCTCGCGCGCCTGGACACCAGACACTGTCGTATCCTCGCCGACGGACTCGGATTATTCTATGGATGACCAAATCCCGAAGTCCCCACGGCCTCCCCCTCGCCACCGTAAAAAGGTCTCCTTCTCCCTCCCTGAAGGGGCACCCATCGACATCCCCACGTCAGAGCCCATCATCCGCCCGGACTCGCCCACCCTCGGCTTCGATGACGGCTACTACCACTCCAGCATATCATCACCTACGCCACCAGAAGACCTACCCGCCCCCATGCCCGTTAAATTCCAAGAGATTGAAGTGCCCCTACCAACAATACCGGAGCTCGCACAGGAGGAAGAGGAGGAAGAAGAAGTAAAGGGCAACGACGACGACGAGTACAGCCACGAATACGACGCCAAAGCCGCCTACCACGTCGCGCGCTCCGTCGACCGCTGCTGCGAGCACCTCGCCCACCTCCGCGCTCAGCTCGCCCGTCACTCCACCAGCCTCGACCAGCTCCTCCAGGCACAACAACAAGCGCAGACACGCTTGCCGTCTAACAGCCCCACATCGACAAGAACAGCTGCGGACGCCACGGAGAAGACGCCGACGGCGGCTCCGGGCCCCGGACCGAGGGGCAGCGAAGCGCGGGCTCAGGACCGCCAGGCGCGCGTCGAGCGCCTACGCAAGATCGGCTGGCAACGCAGGCGCTTCGATTCCTCGCCGTATGAGGCGTTGTGCGAAGCTGTGCTGGCCGAGATGGCCTGAGTTGGGCCGGCTGTCGGTTATGCACTTTTGGTTTTGGTTGTCGTTGTCGTTGTTGTTTTTTGCTGGGTGGTGGGAGGCTGTTTTATGAGTTTATGAAAGCATTTTGGTGTTGTGCGTGGCGTATTGGAGGGGTGTTATCTACTACTATATCGCTACACCGGCCCACCTACCTGTCTACGGTGGTGGTGGGTGGGCATTTTTGGGGGGATTGGGCTGTGCTTGTTGTTGGCTTGTATTTGTTATTGGTGTTGCTGTTGCGTGTAACTAACTAGATGGTGTGGTGTGGGTTGGATCAGATTTGTGCAAAAAGGGTCGGCGTGAGGGGGGATCTATAGACGGGTTGGCTGTGGCTACGGCGGTGGATTTTGCTGTGATATTGTGGCTGGTGTCGGCTGACGTGGTCGTTGCTGAGGATGGGCCTTCGGGAAAAAGGGGGTGTTGACCGGGGAGGAGCGGAAGCTGCGGAGATTGGTTGTGGCGGTGGAAGATAACTAGTTAAAATGTACAAATTACTTCGTATTGAAGGTTCACTTCGCGTTGTACGACATTGAATATAGTTACTTTTTACATAGGCACATTGTGTGGGACCAAGTTATGTGACTTTTGCACGAGCCATTCGGTTTGTGTCCAGTGTCCTACTTATTATCCACGCTAATTACCCTTTTGAAGTCTAGAAATTTAACTACCTACATCTTAGTCACAAAACCCTATCCCCATTAAAGCAGCAGCGGTCGTTCGGCATTCACTGAGGGTTAACCTGACTGGCCGTCTATGCCACACGAAGACTGGGCAGAGAACCAGTATACAAGGGCATCCATTGCCATTGTCTTATATTAGAGTGCTCCGTAGCGGTTTCATTCCCTCAGGGCCTAAGTTGCTTTTGCAACAATCACGAATAACCAGATAACTCGTTGCCTTCGCTTTGGAAAAGACCGAATCTTCTAAATTACCGGTTTGGCAACCAAATCCGTCGAAACGAAAATCGGGTCGTATGATGAGCCTCGAGATATCGGAACATTCAATGAAAGCAAACCATTCCTCGTCCAAATCTCAGCAGGGGGTATGGCAACAGATTTCCTCCCAGTCCGTTTGAACATTGTCCGAACCCTTCAAAGCCCCCCCGCCTTTTGATATCCTGCTCGTATTTAGGTTACGGCGGTGATGCCTCCCCCTTTTAGGCTGTCTTCGAGGCCTCCTCCGTCACCTTGAGCGTCTCCTCCTGCTCCTTCATCTCGCGCACCTTGGCGAGGACCACCTCGCGGAAGATGGCGCCTTTGATGGTCTTGGATAGCGTACGTTTGCCGCCTTCGCCGCTGCTCGAGTCGCCGGTGGGCGCACCGGGAACGGCAGCAGAACCACTGTCCGAATCATTGTTGTTAGCGCGAGATGAAGTAGAAAATCGGCGCGATTGGTCCGCTGCTAACGTGGCGTCTTTGGGCATATCCGAGTTCTCCGGGTCGTCTTCCTGGATCTTGAGAGCCTCGATGCGGTTGGCGAGCTTGACCATCTCGATGCCGCGCCGCAGCCGCGCGCGCGTAAGGTAAGCGCGGATCTCGGGCAGCAAGTTGTGGTCGGAGGCGCTGTGGCCGCTCAGCCACGGGTGAGCGAGGGCGCGCTGACGAGAAGAATGTTAGCCACAGTAACTGATACGAAGACTCAGGTGCGAGGGGTTCTCACGTCGCTCGACCAACGCTCCTCCGGTTTCGATCGCAACAACCCCATGATAAAGTCCTTGGCATCGTCGCTGACGTCCTTCCAATACCGCTCGTGAAATACGACGCGGCAGGCACTGCACTCTTCGATGAGATCCTGGAGGTTTTCGGAGCGGAAGGGGGGGTAGCCGCAGAGCAGGGTGTAGGTGATGATGCCCAGCGACCACATGTCGACGGGTTTGCCGTGGCCCTGCTTGAGCATTACCTCGGGCGCCGCGTACCCAAACGACCCCGCCATGGTTGTCAGGACCTCGTCCTTAGTGCCAAGTGTCTTCGCAATGCCAAAGTCGGCCAGAACCAGGTCCGAGTCTGGGTCTTTGGTGAGGTAGAGGAGGTTCTCGGGTTTGAGGTCTGTTCCAGCATCAGGACAAGCGCGTCCCAAAGGTTTCCGTAATGCCACTTACCGCGATGGACAACATTGTTCTGGTGCAGGTAATTGACCGCTTCCAGAACCTGCTTGATGGTTTGGGACCCGTCCTTCTCAGTAAACTTGCCCTGCTGGCAAATTCGGTCGAACAACTCTCCACCAGTCGCGAGCTCTGTGACGATGTAGTATTTGTCCTGGACGCCGAGGCATTAGCTTCGATCTGTGCCTAGTATTGTTTAGAGGGGTAAGAAGGGTGCCCACTCTTGATTCGAACCAGTCTACAAACTTGACAATGTGCGGGTGCTGGAGGCGCTGGAGCATGTCCAACTCGTCTAGGACCATGCGCTCATTGCCCCGGACCACTTTCTTCAGGATGATCTTGATCGCGACCCGGCCATCGGGACCCTCCGCCTCTCTGACAATTCCATACGTGCCGGCGCCGAGGGTGCGCCCAAATCGGTACTTCGCCCTAGATCACGACGTGTTAACGGGCCTGCGGGGGAAGAAACATCCGAGGGGCAGGAGAGTAGGCGCACTTTTTGTCGTAGCTCTCCGGTTGCCCATGGAGGCGGTTAAGCATGTTCGAGACTACATGATATTCCCGTCAGCTTCTGCACAGAAAATGGCATGTGGCTGGCCGTGGTAGAGATCGTCGCCGAGACCAGGGGGCTGGAGACAAACAGACCGAAGCTCGACAGCGCCTGACGGATCGAGGGTGACTTACAGCTCATGATTGCGAGCTTTGCTGAAAAGAACAAGCTCGAAGCGGTCGGATCGAATCAAGTATTAGACTACGCAAAGCTCGGGCTTGCGTAAAAAGTTTACGGCTACTCGGTGCCGTCGTTCGATGCGTTGTCGGGGTCGGTCAGGGCAGCGCCTTGGCTATCTGGCTGTGTTGCAGGTGGGGATATTCCGCGGAGGGGCAGAGTCGGCAAGAGGCTGGGCGGAGCGGAAGTGCACAAAGCGGCTGAGGAACCTGGAAGCTGACGGGGTCGAAAAAGGCTTCAGATACGGAAACTGTTGATAGGTCGATGACCCAGGCCGGAACGCGCTGCGAAGGAGGTGAGGAGGGGGCTTGGCAGCAATTGGGCTGGACGAGGGGTAAACCTGGATGCACTCTTTGAGAACCCCGCCAATCTGCTGAAGTCTTTCCGCTTACGGGAGAAGCAAAGCAGTGAGAGGGTGGAGAGGGCAACTTCTGTAATCCGGACTAGCATGAATAAATGAGTTTCTATACGCTATGGAGGCTCACCATGAGGCACAGAAGTGGCAGGATTGACTCGGTGCCACAGGAACAGACTGCCTCGCTGAGCTTCTTTTTTTCTGGGGCAGTTGGTTCCAAGGTGCGGCTGTGAGAGCATCGGGTCTCATGTGTTGGCTGTCGTGGTTGTCTGGCTGTGCCTTGACTGTGGGTCCGTCACCCCGCCAAGCCGCAGCTGCGGCAAGGGTCTCAGGACCCTGGGCTGGGTGAGGTGACAGGCCACCAGGCCACTCATCAGATCTGTGTGGTCCTTTCCCCATCCGAGCCATCCCAAGAAACTTGCGAGTGTTTGTCCTTGCGTTGGGCTGGCAGGTGGGTAGCTGCATCTCGGTTGCTGACAAGAGGTTCGTTTGGGCTCTCCCTCCCGCTCTAGTTTAGGTATGTACCTGTTTATCTCACAGGGATGAATGGGTCTAATGTGTTTGTGCGAGAGCTGCACCGCCTCCTCTCTTACCGAGTAAGGCACAGTGGAGAGGCAGAGAGCCATCAACAAGCTGGAAGAGGTGATACCGGGCGCTTGCGCATGGCAAACCGTTTCCTCCCCCTCTGCAGTGTAGATTATCCTTTCGGCAATACAGACCGGGGTAGGTGCCCGTCGGGTGCCGGGTCTTGCTCTTCACATGCATCCAAGGAAAGATGCAAATGGATGGCGTAAAGGTACGGATAGGGCAACTTTCTCAGTCTCGGGAAAATGCCTTTTCGCAGATGTTTGAGCCGTAGATAACCCGTGATCACCTGCGTGATCTTGATCATGTCTTGAACCGCCTACCAATACCAGCCAATGAATGGGCGGCGTGGGCTTCCCAACCGGGTTCCTTCCTGCTGGGTCTCGCCAGTGACCTCAGGGAGGTAAGGTTTATGTCGGAGGCCAGTGGAGCCTTGTGTTCTGAAACGGGCGACTCCCCGTCTTTCCTCCGGTTTAAACGCTGTGCTGTTCAATGATCAGACCAGCTGCGCCGGCTCAAGCGCGTTCGTGCGACGATTAACCTTCACAACCGCGTTGAGGGCAGAGAAGGCGACGAAATTACGGTTTGTTACCTAATAATTAGGTTTTCGCTGCCGTTATTCAACCGGGTTGCCCCCCCCAGCCTAGCTCGCCGCCGCATGCACGACTCGGTCGACAACTTCATGTTCCCCGCCCACATTTCCTTGAGCTCTCTCTTCCGCCACTCCTTTCGCACTAGCCACATACATAACTACCTACGTTTCTGAGCAACCCCGCCATTAAAAGAAAATGACGGTTCCTTTTGCTGCGAAACGGCTGGGTAAAGAGCTGCAGAAGGTCGGTGGCAGTTCAGACATGACGAGGATGAATGAGTTGATCTAACACGGCGTATCTAGATTAGCAACTCGCTGCCGCCAGGCGTTGAGCTGGTCTCGGCCGAGAATTTCGAGGAATGGCTTCTAGACATCAAGGTACTGGACAACAACCCGATCTACCAAAACCAGACATACAGGCTGAAATTCCGGTTCGGCCCGTCATACCCAATTGGTTTGTCCTACCTGCCTTTGCGGCTGGGAGTTAGAGTGAGACATTAACTTTCACTTGTAGAGCCGCCCGAAGTTGTCTTCGTCCAGCTTCCGGATCGCCCGATTCCGATGCACCCCCATGTTTACTCGAACGGCATCATCTGCCTTGATCTTCTCGGCCAGCAAGGGTGGAGCCCAGTGCAGAACGTTGAGAGCGTCTGCATGAGTTTGCAGAGTATGCTCACCGGCAACTCCAAGGACGAGCGGCCTCCGGGAGACGAAGACTTCGTCCGCGCGAACCGCCAGCGACCAAAGGACATCCAGTTCTACTACCATGATAACAACGTGTGACTCAGTATTTTGTATTGGAGGATTTGGGCATTGGTTTTGGGTGGCCGGGAATTTTCAGTCTTTGACTGCATTATGGAGCGAGGGCGGCCTTGATGATATGAATCTGGCGTGGAGATTTCGCATCTGCGGTAATCGGGTATACAGCATGTCGGGGGCTGAGATAACCCATTTCGGCTAGGTAGTTATTATTTTGAGGACCGGAGGTGAACGGGCATTAGTCTGCCGGTTAAAGACAGAAAGTTAGACTTCGATAACCACCTAACAATCAATCACGACGGCACCATGGGTTAGTGAGGTTGCCTGCCCAAGGGAGGTCAGCCGATCACCTGATTAGCTGGAGCTTGGGCCAGTGCCAAGGCGCCTCGGTCCCAAGAGCTGGGCAGCTTGGGACGTCACCGTGTGTGGCTTTCGCAGCGCCGAGTGCCCAAGGATCCACTCAACACTGGAACACCACCACATGGAGAGCTCATTATCATCATGGCTCCTCGTGCGGAGTTCGACACGGAGCAGGTCCGCGACAGGGCGCGTAAGGACCTGCTGCATCTCCTCGAGGGAGTAAGTCGATATATCCGATTTGAACGCGCCGTAGTTCACGTTGAGGTTGACTGACATGCAGTGTGCCCCCTAGGTTCGCGGCAAGAAGAACCTCGTTATTGAAAAGGAGCTAGCCGGCCCTCTTGGTGTCGTGGTCAAGGCCTCCACACTGCGCGACTATGGTGTCGACAATTTTTTCTTTCTCGAAAATAAAAACACAGACACGAGCCAGCGAAATATCGTCTTTATCGCCCGCGGCGAGTCCGCCTCCAACGCTCATGCTATCGCAGGTGAGCTCATACCCTTAGCTCAAAGCTGCAGCTCATTCGAACTGCCGGGACACGTCCGGTTTGTGACGAGGGGTAGACGTTATTAGGTTCTCTCAGTTCACCGGGCACGGTCGCGCTATTTGGCACGAGACTTCCCCGGCCGGATGGCATTGTGGCATGCTGACAACCAGCAGATGAGATAATCCGGCTCCAGCGCGAGAGTCAGTCTCCCCACGAATTCCATATCTTTTGGGTGCCTCGGCGGTCTTTATTATCGGATAAGGTCCTTGAGGAAGCTGGTGTGCTTGGTGACACCAATGTCGCCGAGCTAACTCTGTTTTTCTTCCCATTGGAAAACGATGTTTTGTCCCTAGAGCTAAACGATTCCTTCCGGGATCTGTATCTCTCGAAAGACCCGACGCCCGTCTTCTTGCTCGCCCGCGCGTTGATGGGGATACAGCAGAAGCACGGCCTGTTCCCGCGTATCATTGGCAAAGGCGACAATGCAAAACGGGTAGCCGACCTTTTGTCTCGCATGCGTCAGGAACTCCTTGCCGGCGAAGACGCGGGAGAAACGGACAAGGCAGGGCTAAGCCCCAGCACTACAATCGAAAATGTCATCATCATCGACCGTGAAGTCGATTTTGTGACGCCCCTCCTGACACAGCTGACCTACGAAGGTCTGTTGGATGAGGTGTTTGGGATTCAGAACAATCAGACGGACGTCGATTCGACGATTGTGGGTGCTGCTGCACAACCAGCTGGCCCGGGCACGTCGGCAGCAGCGCCATCGAACAGTGGACAGTCGCGGAAGCGCAAGATTCAGCTTGATGGGTCGGATTCGCTGTTCGCACAACTCCGCGACGCGAACTTTGCCATTGTTGGCGGGCTCCTGAACAAGATAGCTCGGCGGTTGCAGAGTGACTACGAGAGCCGACACAGCTCGAAGACGACAACGGAGCTTAAAGAGTTTGTGAAGAAGCTGCCCGGATACCAGGCCGAGCAACAGAGCCTGAAAATCCACACGGGCATGGCGGAGGAGATCATCAAGTACACGCGTACTGAGAACTTTAACAAGCTGCTAGAAGTTCAGCAGAACCTCGCAGCGGGGGCGGATCCTTCGTCGCAATTCGATGCGATTGAGGAGCTCATAGCCCGCGATACTCCATTACCTCAGATTCTCAGGCTACTGTGCATTTACTCGTGCATTTCGGGCGGCATCAAAACCAAAGAAATGGACCATTTCCGGCGGTTGATTTTGCAGGGTTACGGATATCAACACATCCTTACCCTCCACAACCTGGAGAGATTACAAATGTTTTTGTCGAGGGCGTCCCCCTTGGCGTCCATGATACCCATGACTGGCGCAGCGGGCGGGCAAGGAAACAAGACAAACTACACATACCTCCGCAAGCAGCTTCGACTTATCGTAGATGAGGTCAACGAGCACGATCCCAACGATATCGCTTACGTCTACAGCGGCTACGCGCCCCTCTCTGTCCGACTCGTGCAGGCCGTGTTACAGAAACAGTACCTGCTCTCGATCACACGAGGGAGCGGCGCCGGTGGTGTAGCGGGCCCGGCGGCTGGGGGTGCGCAGGGCTGGCGTGGATTTGATGATGCCGTTAAGCATGCCCGCGGGCAGACCTTTGACGAGGTTCAGAAGGGCGAGGACAAGGCGGTCAAGGCGCGGGCTCTGCTGTCGGGCAGTGGCGACAGGAAGACTGTGTTCGTTGTGTTCGTGGGCGGCATCAGTTTTACGGAAATTGCGGCGCTGCGGTTCCTAGCGAAACAAGAAGAAGGTATGTTCCAAGCTGGGAGGAGACGGACCGCAATTACCCACGGACAAGACTCTGATAACTGACTTGTGTTCTGTAAGCAGCCCGGCGAAACATTATCATCTGCACGACCTCGATTATTAGCGGGAACAGGATGATGGATGCTGCGATTGAGACGGGAACATTCGAGAAGAACACTCTTGCGGTGGAGGTACCGACGGCTCCATGAGACCGAAATAAACAACAAGATGATGATGCTTGAGCTCTGCAGGACTGGCGATGTACTCGTACATAGAGTTATGGGCCTATAGGTGGCCTAGGGGTTCCATGGTTTCTCCTAGAAGCTGTCGCAGAGGCCGTCGTGTGTTCTTCGTTGTATACAAGGTACCCGATTTTCAAGAGCCGTGATGAGCACACCATAGTTTCGTATCCAATCGAAAAGCTGCCCGACGACACAATGCGATTGCCTTATCGTTGGTGTTGGTTGTCCAGCTCAGGCACGGGCATGGGTGCATGTTCTGCATGGCCCGCGGCGCTGTTCGGGCCCCTCACGTGATGGTGCCATACCTGAAATGGCCTGTTCGATGCACGGAGCTAGCAGCACTTGGCGCTGCTGTGGAGTTGAACCGCACTGTCTCTCAGCGCGCGAGAGACTCCTCGTCCCACCCACACAAGACGACGGCCACCCCGGGGCGTCGAGGCCCAATTCTTCAATGACAAAATTTCCTAATCTGTATTGGTGAGACTGGAAACGCAACCGTCTATTGTTCTTAGCCAACGGCACGGGGGATGAATTAGAAGGCGATGACTATGTGTGTTCGAGGTACGGTGCACTCCCGGTTCCATCGATTTTTGGAAATTGGGGGATGGAAGGGAAGCTTTTTCGGATCAGCCCCGTGGATCCCATATTCTCCCCAATCCATGACACCCAATTCACATACATATCTCGCCCATCAATGCCTCAAAGATGTCATGCTGATGCGTGCAAAACAGAGATCCAGACCCTCTCTCTTTCGTAACCGCATTCGACCTCCATCCGGCAATTGGCTCATAAACCCGGCTTGTGGTACATTATTGCCATCTTGATCCCTTCCCTGCCTCTCTGCCTCTGCCTGAATTACGGTATATGGCTCGGGGGCGAGCGGGAACCCGTCAGCCTCGACGACAACCCCGATCCCAAATATCGCGAAAGCCCCAACCACCAATTTAGTGGTCCGTGGTCTCCACCGATATAATGGGAGCTCCTTCGAAGCCCCGCACTAGACAGTCTAGCGGTTCAGGAAAGGGTCTTCTCAGAGGAGTCAGGGATACCGACTCACGTCGCTCACCACGCACCTTACTCGCCAGTCCCGCCAAGCCCCCATCACCTCCAGCTAGTACGGTATCAGATCTAGAAACAGCCCCAAAGACGATCCATCACGTTTCGACACACGGCTCCGAGGATATTGCCCCCGAGATTGTTGTTTGGACTGAAGACATGGACAACATGGAGGTGGACTCGCCAGAGTCGGCCGCCCCGACCACCCCCCCCACCCCAACCGTGGAAGGGAAGACAGCGTATGTTCTGTCTCTATTCATTTGCCCTTTTATGTGCTGTATCTCATTCATTTTCTTGGCGCCCCCCATCTCATGGTATTAGCATGTCCAAAGTGCTCTTTCTATATCTGTCCCTGTCCTCGTAATCCCCATGTTCGAGCTCACTCCTCACGGACCTGCGCTGAACCGAACGATAGAACACCGGTACCCATTTCCGAAACGACACACCCGCCCGCAGCGCTGTCGAATCCGATACGGACTGAAACGCCTGGAAAAGAGTCCTCGCTATCATCATTATCCTCTATGTCCGATCAATACGATCTCTCATCCTCTGTGCCGTCTGGGTCGAGTAAGGCTACTACCCCCATCGATGGCGACAGCTCTAGAGAAGCCCTAGCGGCCGGTGTTCCTCGTTCCAGCCAGTCGATAGACTCGCCAAGGCGGAAATGGGATGTGCGACCCAAGGTCTCTATCCCTCCTGATCTGCCACTCTCCGAATATGCGATGCAGTGCGTCGCAGCTGCTGAGGCCTCGAGGCTCAACCCTTATTCACTTCACCAGGAAGAGTACTTGATGTTGCGGGACCATATCAGCCACGCTCAAGTGACGACCTACTTGAATATCAGGAACGGCATTTTACGGCTCTGGGTCCGAAACCCACAAATACCTGTTACGCGTGAAGAGGCTGTTGGCTGTGCGAAGGACTCGAGGTGGTTCGACGTCGCTGACGTCTGCTACGATTGGCTTGTCCGTCGTGGTTACATCAACTTTGGATGCGTCGAGGTGCGGTCATCACGTAAACACGCCAAACAAAACGACTCTTCCCAACGCAAGCAAAAAACGGTGGTTGTAATCGGTGCGGGCATGTCCGGCCTCGGTTGCGCGAGACAGCTGGAGGGATTGATTGCGCAGTACGGAAAGAAATTTCGCAGTCTGGGCGAAGAGCCACCCCGGGTGGTTGTTCTCGAGGGCAGGGACCGAATTGGCGGCAGAGTTTACTCTCGGGCCTTCAAGTCGAGGCCAAAACAAACGCCAGATTTGTTTGAGGGAAAGAGATACACCGCCGAGATGGGAGGTATGATTATCACCGGGTTCGAGCGAGGCAACCCCTTAAATATCCTTCTCAGGGGGCAGCTGGGCCTCGCCTACCACATTTTGAGGCCAGAAACCACACTCTACGATCCCAACGGCAAACCAGTAGATCTACATCGAGATCAGTTAGTCGAGAATCTTTACAACGACTGCCTCGATCGAGTCAGCGAGTACAAGTTCAAGCAGCCAGCATCGAAATTGATTGAGGCCAACAGAGATTTGATTGATGAGGGCAAAGACAGTTCAGCCGAAACACATAAAACAATACGACAGATGGAGGAATCTGCTGCGGCCCAGCCGTATGCAGCGCCCGTGTCAGAGCAGAATATTGCCCCACGAGTGAATCTCGTGCCCGTCTCGACCGACCGAGCGACCGGAAAGATACACACAGAGCCGGGGACGCCAGGCGCCCTCAAAGCAGCCCACAAAGCAAAGATGATAGGTTGGACACTGAAGCAGGGTGTCAGTGACGACGCAGACCTAGACATCGAGACAGCGACTAAAGAGCCCGGCGCTACTCTCGGGAGCGTAACAGACAAAGTGATTGCGCAGTACAAGGATCTGTTGGACCTAACCGCGCAGGACTTTAGGCTCATGAATTGGCACATCGCCAACTTGGAATACAGCAATGCAACCAACTACCGCCAGCTCAGCCTCCAAGGCTGGGATATCGACGCTGGCAACGAGTGGGAGGGGGGTCACTCCATGGTTGTCGGCGGTTACCAGAGCGTGCCGAGGGGCTTAATGCACTTGCCCACTTCTCTGAACGTCAAACAGAAGTCACCCGTCAGCAACATCACATACACGTCTGGTGGCACAACAGGCCCGGCGACGGTGACGTGTGAAGATGGCTCCATTGTAGAAGCCGATTTTGTTGTAAGCACTATCCCTTTGGGCGTGCTGAAGCACGGGAATGTGAAATTCGAGCCGCCACTCCCCTCGTGGAAATCGGACGCCATCGACCGCCTTGGCTTTGGCGTCCTGAACAAGGTGATCCTGGTGTACAAGGAGCCCTTCTGGGACGAGGACCGCGATATTTTTGGCGTGTTGAGGAGTCCTACCATCCGCCACAGCCTAGACCAGAAGGACTATGCCTCTCAACGGGGACGTTTCTTCCAGTGGTTTAATGTCACGAAAACCAGTGGCTTACCAGTGCTAATCGCGCTTATGGCCGGAGACGCGGGATTCGACACGGAACAGACTTGCAATGACGACCTCGTCGCCGAGGCCACCAGCATCCTTCGCAGCGTTTACGGGTCTCGCGTCCCCCACCCCATCGAAGCGGTCGTCACGCGCTGGGCCTCGGACAAGTTTGCTCGCGGCAGCTACTCATCTGCGGGCCCGGACATGAAGGCCGACGACTACGACACCATGGCCCGCCCGATTGGCAACCTTTTCTTCGCCGGCGAACACACTTGCGGCACACACCCGGCCACCGTCCACGGTGCTTATCTCTCCGGCCTGCGCGCCGCCTCCGAAGTCCTCGACGCCATGATCGGCCCTATCCACGTCCCCACCCCGCTCATCCTCCCAAGAGACCACGGCACCAAACGCAAAGCCAGCTCCCTCCTAGAAGGAACAGGCCACCCCAACAACCCTAACACTAACACCACCAACAAAGATTCCGCCCAAGCCCGCCTCGAAGCCTACGAGGCCCGCCTCTGGGAGCACATCACCACTCAACTCGGCCCACGTCCCCTGCCCCCCGCCAAACCCGCCACCAACGCCTACATCTTCTACAGCAAAGCCCACTACGACGACGCGCGCGCGCGCCTCGAGGCGGCCCGCCGCCCGGGCAAGGGCAAGCCCTCGGCCAACGAGGTGCGCGTCATGAACGCCAAGATGTGGCGCGATGCCAGCGACGAGGTCCGCAGGCCCTTTCTGGAGGCGGCCGAGGAGCAGAAGCGCGCGCACGCCGCTGCGCTGGAGGCGCACAAGGCTGCAGCCGCGGCGTGGGATGCTATGGCGATTGTGGTGAGGCGGAACTGGGTGGCGGAGAATCCGGAGGAGGGGGAGGGTTCGGGGGCTGGTGGTGGTGGTTTTGAAGATGTTAAAAATGAATTTTAGGATTTCGTGGGTGCTGAATGGCACCCTTCGGGGCCGAGGAACAAGCCCTTCTCTTGTTTTTTTTTCTTTTGGTTGGCACGCACGGGGAGATAATGGGACACACCGGCAGCAGAATGTTGAGCGAATTTGTGATGGAGCTAGAGATATTTATCTATTCTCGTGTGTGATCTATCATCACCAGGCATGGATGGCGGGGGAGCGTGGGTAGAACAAAACATTCTTAGATGAGGGGCAGAGAGCGATGGAAGAGTGAGGTGGTTGGTTGTGTAATTGTTGTGTGTTTGTTTATGTTTGCCGTATGCGTTGTGTGTATATGTTGGGGGTCTTTAAAAGGGGGCCGTTGGGTCAGCACCGTTTGGTGGGCGTCATCGGGGCATTCGCGTGGCATTCCGTGCATTTCGGGGGTCAGGCTTTCGGCTGGCGATAAGTCGGGCGTGGAAAGGACGTGGGGGTAATATTCAGCAGCCACTAGAAATAACACAGTGGAATCCGGCAGGTTCTGCGTATTCTTCACCAAAAGCTTTACCTGACGCGGGAACCCGACATAGCATACAACAGCCACGACGTGAACATATCAGCAAGAAACTTTGTATTCGGAAGGCGTTGATACACTAAGGGCCGGATGCAGGGCGAGGGCTCTGGTACTTGATATACAAAGGGAACACACCCCTCTCTTTTTCCCCGCTGTGGTCTTTTCTACGGAGGTGAAAAAAGAAGACGAAACTCCTCGCCGCAGCAGCCGCCCAAAACCCCGCTCGCTGCACACATCCCCGCTCTCTGCTCGGTCCATGGGGATTACGCGACTTAGCCCGCTTACATGTCCTCCGAAGCGGTGGCACCGGTGATAATTTCGACCAGCTCGCCGGTAATGACGGCCTGGCGGGTACGGTTGAAGAGAATCTGGTACTTGCTGATCATCTCACCGGCGTTCTTGGAGGCGTTCTGCGGGAATTAACGTTAGTCATGTACACGTAGGGCAAAATGTTGAAATATCCAAGATGACTCACGTCCATAGCGTTGCGACGGGCAGAAATCTCGCAGGCGTGGCCCTCGGACAGAGCCCAGTAGAGGGAGTTGGCAAGGGAGTACTCGCGGAGGTTGGAAAGCAGCTCCTCGTCGACCTCGAAGGCGGCGAAGTTGGCTAGATAGTAGGGTTAGCGCCTCGTTTGGCCAACGTCGGAGCAAGAATATTAAACATACGGGACGCGGCAATGGCATCCTCGCTGTAAGCCGGGAGAACGGTGGGCTCGTAGCTCTGGGCGTTGATGAACTTGTTGTAGATGATCTCAACGTCCGAGTAATCGCCAGGGAGCATGACAATCTGGTCGGCGATAGCCTGGGCCTCGGCAAAGGTGGGGACGTCCCTGCCGACACCAGCGAAGTTGAGAACAATCTCCTTGGCATTGGTGCGCTGCAGTTGCGAGCGGCACTTCTCGCCGAGGATCACGAGGTCGAAGTTGGAGTCCTCGAGCGACCTCCGGCGGATGTAACGAGACAGGCCGGAGTGAACACCACCGCAAAGACCCTTGTCGGAGCTGCAGATGACCAGCAGCTTCTTCTTGCCCTCGCCCTCGAGCGGTTTGGTCTCGGCCGAATCGAACACCTGGTTGCTGGTCTCGCCGTACTTGCGCGACTCGGTCATGGCGCGCTGCGCACGGGTCAACTTGGTGGAGGCGACAATCTTCATCGTCTTGGTGATCTTCTCGATGTTGCGAATCGACTTGAGGCGGCCCTCAATCTCACGCAGCGTCGCGTAGGTGGCTGTCGGAGCTGCCGCTCTGTTCGTCGTCATCGGTTAGCCCGGATTCTCCATGTCCATGTCCAACTCCCCAAATCCGTTGTTGCCACGCCCGACGTTTCCCATGAATTTCCTCGGCCTCCCTCTACCCCCTCCATCCCTTTCGATCCTCAACCATCGGGGGCTCCATTGAACGACGAAAAAGGTCGGGCTGGAGGACGGTCACATACCGGAACGAAACGGCAGCACCGGCCCTCAGCGCCGGGCGGGCAGCTCTGGACAGCATGGCGAAATGTGATGCTGCACGAATTCGAAAAAGACAGTCTCTGCTGGCTGTGGCCCCGATTGACCACGGTGTGTGCTGGCGTCGACTGATGGGGGGGGGGTTGAGGTCAATTGAACGCAATACCGCAATTGGCGTGAGAGGTTTGCTGAGCTCGGCTCCACTTTCGTTCCGCTTCCTGTTCGTGCTCGCCCGTTTTCCCGGCAGCTGGCGATTGGCCCTCGGTGGGGACTCTTCTGGTCGTCGCTGCGACACCTTCCGGTCTGGTCTGGCTTAGTCAGGCAGTTGTCGCAGACCAGCGGCGCTCGGGCCTTCCAAGCACCCCAGCGTGCCCAGGCGCCCAGATCCATTGTGTTGCCCTCGAAATAAGGCATTCATCAGCAGCGGAGGCTCTCGCATTCCCTCGCCGCTGCCGCTGCCTGCGGCCCTGCAGACTCGAAGTGCCTGCCACGGTGGCCCAGGAAGCCTGCATCCAATTACCATAGAAAAACCGGGGAGGCTAGCACTCGGGCTGCTGCAAAAGTGGGGCACAAAGAATTCCAATCTTTAACCTCACACTCGCCCCAAGTTCTTGTTCATAGAAGCCCTTCTTTTCTATTTCCTGGCCTCCTGTCTTCCTTCCTTTTTTCTCCGCTCACTTCCTCGCATTGCCCATTCTTTCGCTCGCCACCCTGTCTCCTTCCAGGCTCGCGCCCGCGGTTTTCCGCCCATTTTTCCTTGCTTCGGCTAGTTACAGGACTTGCCGTGAACTTCGCAGCCTTTCCACTGTTCCAGACTCGGCCCGCTCCCCGACGTTTGCGAAGCTGACGGGTTTGGCTGCGCCGCGTTTCGTTTCGCCGACCACCACCATCGATCCCGTTCGAACTCGCCCAGCAAGTATGCCTTCCGATAGCTCAGACGACGACATTCCTCTTGCACGGAACAATCACGGTAAGTTTCTACTTCACCGCGCCACCTGCGGTTTTCCCCCTTGATTCCCCCGTGGAACAAGGCACCGGACCCCGACAAACCTGGGGTTGACGTGTCACATTTCGGCGCCGCACCTTCCCGATTGTCTCGTCAATGTCATTATGCGGTGATCTCGCAAGGGCATCTACTAAACTCTTTCTCTTTGCAGCATCTGCTCCCTCTGTTTCGCGTTCTACCGACCGCGCAATGGACAAGTCTGCCTCGAAAGCCCGACCTGCGCCTCCGGGCCTTTCAATCCGGCATGGTCCAGTCGATGACCGCATGGACATTGATTCTACACCCAACGGGACTGTGAAGCGAAAGTCTCGAAGCTCGATTGGCCAAGCCGTCAAGTACAAGGACGATTCCGACAGCGAGGACGCCGTGCCCTTGGTAGGATTGCCCACTTTCTCTGCCGGAGTTTCCACAGACAAGCGTGGGCTGACTGTTGTAGGCCAAACGTCAAAAGTCGCAGCACAAGAAAGTCGATTCTGATAGCGACGATGTGCCAATTGCGCGGAAGAACGGCTCGAAGCTACCTCCTTCGATCAAAGAGACCGCAACACTCGAGTCATCCGATGACGACCAACCCTTGGGGACAAAGATTGCTCAGAGGAAGGCCGGCATCGAAAAGGCTGCTGCTAAAGAAGCCAGAGCCATCCGGGCGGACGCCAAAACAAAAAAGCCCACGCCAAAGAAGGCCATCAAGGAGGAATCCGATGATGAGCCACTAGCGAAGCCTAAGAAGCGTCAATCAAATGGCGTTTCTTCTGCCAAAAAAACCAACGGCGTCAAGAAAGAGGAATCCGATTCTGACGCGCCTATTGCAAAGAAGGGGAAAAAGGCTGCCCCGGCACCCAAGAAAGGCAAAGCCACCCCGCCTGACAAGGGCGGCAAACCCGTAAAAGATGAATCGAAAGAGAACAGCGAAGGCGAGGACGAGGAGGAGTACCGATGGTGGGACGCCCCAAAAAAGGAAGATGACTCTGTCAAGTGGACAACGCTTGAGCACAGTGGCGTACTCTTCCCTCCAGAGTATGAGCGTCTCCCCAAGAACGTGAAGCTCCTCTACGACGGACAGCCCGTCGATTTGCATATCGAGGCCGAGGAGGTCGCAACCTTTTTCGGCTCCATGCTCCATTCGACTCAGAACGTCGAAAACCCCGTGTTCCAAAAGAACTTCTTCGCCGACTTCAAGGATATCCTGAAGAAAACAGGTGGCGCCAAGGACAAACAGGGCAAACCCGTTGACATCAAGGAGTTCAAGAAGCTCGACTTCACCAAGATCTTTGATCACTACAAGGCGCTCGGCGACGCTAGAAAGGCACGCCCTGCTGCCGAAAAGAAGGCGGAGAAGGCCGAAAAGGACAAGGCAGAAGGTCATTTCATGTTCTGCAAATGGGATGGCCGGAAAGAGAAGGTGGGCAACTTCCGCGTCGAACCTCCGGGTCTTTTCCGTGGTCGTGGTGAGCACCCCAAGACCGGCACCGTCAAGAAGCGCGTCATGCCCGAGCAGGTCACGATCAACATCGGGAAAGACGCCAAGGTCCCAGCTCCGCCTCCTGGGCACAAGTGGAAGGCCGTGCAGCATGACAACAAGGCGACTTGGCTAGCCATGTGGCAAGAAAACGTTAACGGGAATTACAAGTACGTGATGCTGGCAGCCAACAGCACTGTCAAGGGCCAGGCCGATTTCAAGAAATTTGAGAAGGCCCGTGATCTCAAGAAGCACATTGACCGCATTCGTGCCGACTACACAAGGGAGCTTAAGAGCGAAGTCATGGCAGACCGGCAACGCGCCACGGCGATGTATCTGATCGACAGGTTCGCCCTAAGAGCCGGCAATGAAAAGGACACGGAAAACGAGGCCGAGACCGTCGGCTGCTGTTCCTTGAAATTCGAGCATGTCACCCTCAGAGAACCCAACACGGTCATCTTCGATTTCCTGGGTAAAGACAGCATCCGTTTTTACAACGAGTTCTCCGTGGACCGCCAAGTCTTCAAGAATCTCAAGGTGTTCAAGAAGAGCCCCAAGGAGGACGGCGATGACATCTTTGACAGGTTGACGGTAGGTCGCAACCGCGCTTTGGGCACAGGAAATTTTGACCGCTGACATTCGTGGCAGACTTCCCAGTTGAACAAGCATCTCTCCAGCTACATGACTGGCCTCACAGCAAAAGTGTTCCGTACATACAACGCTTCCTGGACCATGTCGCAACTCCTTCAGAAGCTCGAGGTCGAGGATAGGACCATGGCCGAGAAGATCAAACTCTATAACGATTGCAACCGGGAGGTCGCCATTCTCTGCAACCACAAACGGACCGTCGGCGCAGGTCACGAAGCGCAGATGGAGAAGCTTGGTGACCGCATCAAGGGTCTCAAGTACCAGAAATGGCGCACCAAGATGATGATGCTTGACCTGGACCCCAAGCTGAAAAAGAAGAAGGGCGCCGAGTTTTTCGAACTGGACTCTGATCTCGACCAAGCCTGGGTCGAGGAACACCAACAATTTCTCGCGAAAGAATTGCAGGAGAAGATCGAGAAGAAGTTTGCGAAGGACAACGAGAAGCTGGAGGCCGACAAACAGGCCAAACTGCCGGCCAAGGAGCTTAAGGAGCGGTTGAAGGCAGTCGCAGAGCTCGAGGCCAAGTTCAAAAAGGAGAACAAGACCAAGAAGGTCGAGGCCGAAGGCAAGGGCCCCAGCGTCGAGAAGTTGACGACGGCCGTTGAGAAGTTGGACGAGCGCATAAGGACGCTCGAGATGCAGTCAGCGGACCGCGAAGGCAACAAGGAGGTTGCCCTCGGCACGTCCAAGATCGTGAGTTGCTTAGCCTCTGCCTCCTGCTGTGCAGTCCTATTTGCTAACATGGCCACCCTAGAACTATATCGACCCTCGTCTCACTGTCGTCTTCTCCAACAAGTTCCAGGTCCCGATCGAGAAGTTCTTCTCCAAGACTCTGCGAGACAAGTTCAACTGGGCCATCCAGTCCGTTGGCGATGACGATACTTGGGAGTTCTAGGCAGCGGTGGATATGGGTGCATTGTATTTTTGTACACGTTAGAGAGCCTGATTTCCTTGCCCCACCGCATTATCGAGGCGTTCGGGCGCACGCTTCGCTAGGCTTCATATGTTCCTGGGCAGGGTGGCTGTGCGCAGACAAGGCCACAGTTGAGCGGTTCACAGCGGCGGCGTTGACCGGTGGTAAGGCCATGCTGCATAGGAGGCGAGCTGGCCTTTTGGCGGGAGGATATCTGCTATTTGCAAGCCGGGGGGTGTTCACCAGGGTGACGAGGTGCTACGTTTAGGGGAGGTAATTTGCACAGCCCGGGCCAAAAATATTACAAAGCCAGATGATTAGCCGCGATGAGTTAGACCCAATACATCGTCGTTACATGGGATATTTGAGAGCGTTTTGGTTATGGTAGCAGTGTCATTAATAGTTCGTTCACACGCGTGAAATCTCTATGCTAATGATGATGTATGTAAACGACATCAGCCCCGCCCATCCCGAAATATCACTTAGGTATGCCCCATATCTATCGCTGCCGTAAATGCTCCGTAACGCCATCCCATGCTGAACCAATCTCTGGGTCATCCAAAAGCTGCCGCCGAATAAACAAAAATCAGAAGAGGTAGTAAAAGCTGTAACCGGCAAGCACCACGGCGAGGACCCTCATGAGGCCTTGGCCCGTGGCTGTGACTGCATTGTTTGCCGCCGGCGCATCAGCAGGGACCATCCCGACGCCGGGTGTTGCCGTCCCCCCTGGGGCTACACGCGTTGTGAAGGTGGCATCACTGCCAAAGCCCGGCGAGAGCGAGGCAGAGGGTCCCAATGAGAAGGAGCCCGCTGGGGGTATCTGGAAGCAAGGTGTTAGCATGATAGTGCGAAATAGGTAGCGATGTTTTCCCTCCCATGAAGGGAGGGGGTAATTGCGGTTCTGTGGGGGCGGGCAAAATAATGATACGTACTTACGGTGCTCGACCCGACGGGCACGATCTTGCCCTCGGAGGTCATGATCCAGCCGTCGGGGATGGGGCCGACGGTACGGACGGGCCCGCCGCTGCCGTCGGTGGCGGTGCCGCCGATGATGCCGCCGGGCGGGATGGTGGGCGACAGCGACCCCGTCGCCGCGGGCGCGCTGGCCGTCACCACCACGGAGCCCGCGCCGTTGACGTTGCCGTTGATCTCGCCGCCGTCCGACCGGATCGACTGCCACGTGCCGGACTGGTCGCCGTACGTGTACTTCTTGCCCGTGGAGTAGTCGGTGACGACGGCGGACCGCACGATCATGGAGAAGGGGCCCTTGGAGTAGTCGGTCGGTCCGCGCGCCCACTCAATGGTCCCGGGGGGGTTGGAGGGGTCGCCGCCGGCCCAGGCGCCGAACTTGACCTGCATGGGGGTCTGCGGGTACTGGCCGGCGGCCTCGTCGAAGGTGAGGGTGCGCACGACGGTGCCGCCGACGTACCAGACGATGCGGTCGGTGGTCCAGTCGATGGTGTAGGTGATAAACTCGGCCTGGTTGTTGGCGGCCGGGTTGAACTGGCCGCGGTTGTAGTCGGTGGTCTGGCCCTTGCTGAAGTAGTTGGTCTGTACCTCGCTGTCGTCGGAGCCGAGCCACTCCATGTCGATCTCATCGAGGGTGTCGGAGAGCAGGACGAGGGAGCTGACAATGCCGGCGCCTGGGGCGGCCTTCATGGTCACCTCGACGCGGCCGAACATGATGTAGAAGATACTGGCAAGCTGTGGCGAGTCACCTCTCCCGGCGACGGTGAAGCTCACGCCATCGCTGCCGTAGGTTGGACGCCCTCCACCAGAGACGAAGGAGTTTACCTCGCCTTGGGTGAAGTCAACGTTTATTGACATGCCCAGTGCCGTGTTGGCGGGACAGGTTGCTGAAGCCAGTGTTAGCAATTCGGTACTTCAAGTCGGGTTGACATGATGTGTGGGCCGACTCACTTGATAGTGGATTACATGATGACCACGTCTGGGCGAGTGCTGTCCTGCTGAGCAACACAGTTGCTGTTGCTGCTATCCCCTTCCATCCTGGCGTGAACCACATGGTGTCAAAAATGTCGAGAACTGCAAGGTTGATCTGTGCAGGCTCAGTGCTGGGTTCTAAACACAACCTCTAACACGTATGGGATGGTAGGAAGCTGTCCGAATTGATGATCTGCATGCGGGTGTACTTGTAGGTACGGAATATGTACGAAATATGTACGAAAAAAGATGATGGGATCACGCACTGCAACGCAGCCCTGGCGACTGGGTTTTAACAAGTCGACCAACGGACCCCAACACAGAGGGCAATCCAACATCACCAACCTCCCGAAATCGTCGTCATCCCTCGGTGTGGAGCTTTGTGAGGAAGCGCTGAGGCCAAGGTTCAGGCGAACAGGGGTTGGTCCCTGAGGAAAGCGACACGAGACCAATCCGACGAATGACTCGCAACCCCTGGTTTTCTTCAATTGCTTGGAGGGAATTCGAGAGGAGGAGGTTGGGAATCGTTGGGTTTCTTGGTGGCTGGAAGTCTTGGCATCGTCAGCAGAACAGACGAGATCAGGTTCCACTTTTCTTTTCAGACCCACCCGGTGCCACCTTCGCCCAGCCAGAACTCAATGCTGGTGATGCGTGCCAGTTCAATGTGGTGGGCAACTGCCCTTCGCGGCTGTCCTTGTTCCCTAGAGGAAGGACTCGGAAGGAGCGTGATTTCCCCCAAGTTCTACGTAGATCGATCAGAGATCCGAGTCCGAGAATTATCGTACCTATCAGCCCAGCGACGAGCTCAACCGTGATATTCTCAAGTTTGTCATCGCCGAGGACATAGGACGTTATATTGCAATGGCGATATACGCGTATCCTACGGTCGGTATCATACACATACAAAACAGCCCTATCGTCAGAGGAACTTAGCCGGTTCTCCGGATGTGCCGCGAGGTTGACATCCAGATGTCAACAATACCCCTTTTCCAAGAAAGTGGATCCTAGCCCCTAAATTTTGGACGGACACCAACAACACTACTTCATACATGATTTTCTCCGGCGGCTAGTGAGTATTACATATGTCGAAACATTTCAGCAAAGAAACCCCCCGCTCCTCCTCGCCGCTAGGCCCCATCCCGCTCACCCTACAACCTTGACTCGTCAAGTCTAGCCCTCGGGCAGCCCCTCCAGCTCCGCCCCCTGAACTCCAAGATGCCTCAACCTCGCCAGATACCCCAACAGCTCCTGTCTCTTGACTAAAGGAAGTCAACTCATGCACAAGACCCTTTTGATCGATACTACGTTACCGGTTCTCTACTCTCACCTATGGTGACTCATGATTGTCCGAGGGAGACCCCCCCGGATATTAATCAACTCTACTCATTCAGCAACAAGCGCAACCGGTTTCATACCAGCTCAGAGCATAGGTCGGGGCATGCCCTGTATGGCTACTGACATACCTGTTCCCTGAATTGCCAGTGGCGCCTTCTCCACAGCAAAGACAGAAGAAGTAAGGTTACTTACACGTTGCTGGTCAACCGAACACCCGACCCGAGGATGGTGTGTCCTCGCTAAGGCTGTAGCACCTCCCTCCGTCACCCGGTTCCAAATCCCAGGAGAGCCCCAGAGCGCAACAGCCATATTCCATACTGGCTGGCTCGGAAATGGTTAACCCAGGGAGGAAGGAGGAGCGTTGCTTCAGGCCCTAAACCGGGCCAGAACTGGGCCAGAACCGGGTCAGACCGACCGGGAGGGCGCCGAGCCGTCCGATATCTATTCGTACTCCAAACCCCACTACCCCCAGAATTGTTCCTGCAGCCTCTGCGAAGTCAAAAGTAACGACTTCTATTGAACTTGAACAGTAACATCTTGGGGTAGTGGTCATAACATCATCAACCAGAATGTCGTCCGTGGATGCAACCGCACATTTCTAGTCGCGGTTCTCCTTCCGCTCCGACTTGTCGTCCTGCATCTGCCCTTCCACCAGGGAAATCGGCCGCCTGATTGATTCAAACATTCCATGTCTTCCAGCAATTTAACCCGAGAATCGCGCCCTCTCTTCGTCCCCTTGACCCTTTGCCGCAATTTGGGGTCTCAGACACCTATACACGCCGCGGCCCGAAGCGCTGATCGCCATGGCCGCACACGTTGCCCATGGGAGGTAGCCAAGTAGGATCAGGTACACAGGCGCCCGGGCGGCGTACCCGATCATGATAGCACAGCTGAGGAGAACCAAGAAGATGACGAACTGAAATGGGTCTTCGCTTTGTCTCCGATGTGCGAACGATGAGACGCAACAGCCGAACACCAGACAGGAAAAGAGCATGAGGCCCGGAGAGGGGCGGAAGATGAAGGCGCCGGTGGTATTTTCGGCTCCGTGATTTTGCTCCTAGATCAACCGGTTAGTCAAATATTTCTTCCTGAACCAGAACCACCTATTACTGACTCCGTCCGGGCCTTGGGGGATCTCATTCTGGGTAGTGTACTCCCAGGTCACCAGACTGCAGAGAGAGCTGACGGTGATGTCCAGGATGTCGGAAAACCAAGACCGACGGCTCGGTACCGGGCTTGCTGCCCCGGGGTTCTTATGAGAACAGCACGACTTAGTATTCATGTTGTCTTGTTGATTGACGTATCGGTGAAGACGGCCTGTTCGGGAGTACAAGAGCTGAGAGACTACCTTGGTGCCCCTAAAACATCGTCAAAGTACGGCCTTTGATATAGTCTAAATATTGAGATCATCACTCTCATTTTGGCCCAAACCGTCAATCTCGGAGTCGCCGAAAACCACAGCCTCGCCATCGTCACAAGCACCTACAGCCGCCTCTCGGTGACTGGTCAGATGCAACCCGGAGTATTCACATTCGGATGCGGGGTAAAGGAAACCGGGGTTTGCATATCTTCGGAATATTCATGCGTGGGCGCCCAAACAAGGCCGGTTGGGCAGCGAGGGGGTTGCCTTGTCGGTTGTCGACGTCAGGGCTGACTGTAGGGCTGACGACGCTCACCGAAAGCCCACAGCAGCCAATCCAGCGACGCCTGGAGTTTGAGCCGCACACGCAAGGCAGAATAGTGTTGGGATCATGACAGCGAACCACGCCCGCGGCCTCCTGCCACATGAATGTGTGCAACTACTACGTGGAGAGACGGCCCGGAGCGTCTATGCGCCCCAAGACACCACACACCGGAACACCTGTGCGACACACCAATCTTCGAGGCGAACGGGGTTTGAGGCGGGTGGGGTCCTCTGACTCTTGTGGTATGCGTGTAATCCACGGCACAGCCAGCCTCTTAGTGGTCGCCTTGCAATTGACCTTTTGACGGTCGGCTGTTGCCAGGTTGCGAGCTTTCATTCGCATCCCCGACTTTCGTATAGATGTGGCACCCGACACGCTGAACTGGTTCGAGAGCGGCCTCCTAGTTGCCTGTTCTCATTCCCGCTCCTTATTTTTAGGGCTTCGTCCATGGCCTTCTTCTTATTAGCCCTGCCCCTTGTCACCCAACTTCGTTAATCTTAGAACCCTTCGAACATTCTCGTGCGGCACAAATGTTTTGACCTTTGCTCTAGGCAGCATGCAGCACCTCGCCGTCAATACTATCGACGATAAGATCTTTGCAGAGCCTAACCAAAAAATGGAGAATGCTCATACCCAGAACGAGAGGACCCGCGCCAAGGTCGTAACTTGCGGCATCATGATCGGCTCCGCCCTTTTTTTTCCCTTGGCCAACACCGAGGAGCCGTGGGTTCGAGTGTTGTAAGGCCAGGCATCAGCTCTTACCAACAAGGCGCTAATCCGGGCCCAGGACCCTCACAGGTTTCCTCCTAAGTGCGCCGAGCTTTCATGCTCTACACATCGAGCCCTTTATTCGGTAAGGGCTTCGGACACCTAGGTTGCCTCTGGTATTTTGCTGACCATGCCCAGATTCGGACGCTTCACTGCTCCTGTGGCTTTCGCTCTTCTTCTAGTCGCCGTCCTAGTGGCTGGGCCCTCCAGGACAGACCTCATCCCCTGGCTCCCGTTGTTCAGTGTTGCATTGAGTTTGATCACGGTTGTCATACACGATATTTTCCAGTATGACGGGAATGTGGAGGACGAGTTCTCAGGGGTCTCCATTGACGCACTGAGTGACCGTTCCCTCCGGACCGTGTCTACCCAGCGGCGGGCCCCGCTCCCGCTCGAGTCCAACCGGTTCAACCCCCTTTACTTTGCCCGGCACGGGCCATCTTCCACGACGTCTACCCGGACGGGCACAGATGTCACCGATATTACTCTCACCGGCGTTGTGGGGCAGTGGCGACCACAATGGGATGATAGGACGCGCATTTATTTCCCAGAGGCCGTCCGGCCGGATCAGGAACACACCACGGAGGAGCCTCATGCAAAACCTGCCAGCCCGGAAGAATATGGGAATCCGGATGTGGACTCGGACCTGGACTCAGACCGTGGAACTGTTGAATCCGACCAGCCGTTGCTCGGACCTCAAGGAGGCGTGATCTTTTGAGCACATCCGCAGTGGCCCCAGGAATAGGAGACGCTCTTTCATCCGAAATGGAGGCCTTGTGTGTCGATTCCGTAATCGCACATCCTCTTATCGCGTTTTCTTCCTGAACCATTTCCAGGGGCTTCCCAAACTCTCAATACTACATCAACGCACCACACATCAGGCGCCGACTCGGCACAAGTTCAGTCCCGCTCTAGCTGTTGAGCCAGCGATAGAGCACACTAGATTCCCGGAAGAACCAACTCATGGAATGCGACCTCACTAAGAAGTTACAGGATACGGCACATTGAACGGCGTTTTTCTCTGGGGGGGTTTCTCGCGGGTTCATAGACAGTCTGCGTCCCACACCTGTTGCCCAAGAGCCATCTCTTTCAGCACCCCGTTTTAGGGTTGCTTCTCCTACGTCGTGTGAGCATTTATCGGCGAACATGGTTTCAGGCGGCCGTCTTTGATATTTACAGCATGACATGGCGTTGGTTAGGGACTGGAAGAGGCGGCACGGGTCCAACCCAACAGGAGGTCAAGACCGGGTGTCACTCTGCGTTGGGGTTTTGGGAAAGGGTGGGCGAGCATTGAGTACTGTGCTGTGCGGGGAGGTGAGAAAGGGGGGAGAGGGGACGAGAAGAAGAGAGAAAGAGAGGACAACATGGCAACCGGAAAGTAAGCTGGTTGTTGTTGCGGGGCATGGGCATGACGGCCCAGCTTGTTCTGATGAGCGATGACACCTTAATATATATAGGTACGATTTTGCACTACGTTTAGACTAATACAGCATGGGATGCATTAGGGCATGCAAGTGCTGCCTTCATCCCCGATTCCGGTTCGGTCCTGGGTGCCTATCTCTATCTCTGTTTATCCCTTCCATGTTAGTTATCTCCTCCCCTGGTGTCGAGTCTCTTCCTTATCTGTGGAACTTGATTCTAGACCATCGCATCGACCGGTCCTCGCCGGAAGCAAACACAAACACACACAGTGCAGTGCGGTGCAGTGCAGTGCACGGGAAAGCCAATTTGATATAAGGCATTACGTACTTGCGGAATAGCGGTGGCACTACAGTGGTCACAAGGGCATTTTCAGGTCAATGATCAGTGGTTCAACGGGGTTAACAACGGCTACCCTCGGGCCCGGAACCCCGCCATCGGCCCCTGGCCACTTCCCTTGTAACATCCGCCCGGCCCTTCCTATCTGTCCGGGGGTGATAGTTCAACTTCTTTGTCCTTTTAATTTCTTCATCTTGAAACAATAAACGTATTCCAAGTGCCAGTCCCCAATTGCATCTCCTGCATCTTGATTTCTCTGCCGATTTACGCTTCGGACTTGGACCCGAGTATCCCGGCATCCGCTCCGCTCCGCCCCGCACCGCACTCCCGATCCGTCCCGGCCAAAATGCGGAGTGCAATCCGGACCGGCGCCTTCCGAGGCCTGCCGCCGTCAGCCCCCGCCTCGCTCCACTCCGGCATCAAGAGCGTCCGGAGCGCACCCCGCCGGCTTTCCGTCCCGCCCCCTTCGGCGTTCCATTCGAAAACCCCTGATCACTCCGAGGCTGCGGCTGCCACGCCCAAATTCCCGGAAGCCGAACTGACTCCGCCGCCAACGCCCCAGGAGCGTATCACCATCGCCGACATCAAGGAGAGACGGGCCAGAGCCGGGCGTCTCAATGCACCGACGGCGGCGTCCTGCAATGCCGACATGTTCAAGGCGCCGGTGCGTACCCTACCCTAACCCTTGCCTTACCCCTTACCCCTTACCCCTATTTCACAACAACAATACACAATTCGTCCCAAGAAGACATATCTGACACCGTATGGCTCCTCAAATAGACAACAGGCAAACCCAAAGCCAAACGATGGGATCGTACGTAGCCTCAAGCCCGCTCTCCTCTGCCACCCGCCCCTCCCCGTAAGACCCTTACCCCTTCGGCGGAGCGTCATCAAGACCCGCCTAGTAAAAAAAAGGCACCCTTCTTCGTCCCTGGAAACCTTGGTAGGGTTGTTAAATAACTCTC